TATATATATATATATATATATATATATACATACATACATATATATGTATACGATTTCGAATGAATTATTTATTTATTTGTGTGTGCGCGATGTGTTAAGTGAGATTTAGCTCGTTAGAAATTCATCGAGAAGTTCCTTTTTAATTGCTCGATGCTTAAATTAGAATAAATTAAAGTTTTAAAATGTGATACAATTAAATTTTTTTATAAAGAGAAATATTTGTTTTATTTCTCTGGAAAAAAACTATTGTTGAGATCGAACAATCGTCTTTTGAAATTTGTTTTCTTTCTTTATTAGCGTTCGTCGAGGTAAACAATTAAAAATTATTATTGCGCGTTACGTTTCGTAAATTTCAATATTTAAGACACCAAGAAAGAGCATCGTATTGCTTAAACAATATACAATTTCTTTCTTCTTCTGCATATGTCAGTCTTATTATCCTTTCAAGATAGACGCGCATTATAGAAGATTGCTCGATCCACGTAGTTCTTATTTTTAGATCTTACTGGAGCGTCTCGTCTCGCATCCGGATGCACCATTGATCCACGAGAATGCATGTCTTTCATAGGGAATGAATTCACTCTCTGACTAGCTTGCCTGTCAGAAACGCATCCCAGGAACTGTAACACAAAAATCAGTAAAACTGATACTTAAGTAATTGCACAATTAATGTAACAAATTTTACAAACCAAGTAAAATATTAGATTTTCAATTTATTTTCTAAGAGAGATGATGTATGTAATTTAAAAAGATCTTTATTCTTGAAGAAATAATTCTCGAGAAAAAAGACAACGGAAAAGTTTCATATTTCCGACCAATTTAGTTTTTGGGCGAAACATCGTAATTGGTTGCATTAATTAAATTACTCGTTGTTTATATTCCAAAACTGTTTTTCTCGGTTTCCGAGATTCGTTTACACAATATCGCAAATATAAATTCCTTACCGTGAGAACGAGGTGGGTTAAAACGTGGAATACAACGTATGCGGTAAGAATCCAGTCGACCCATTCCGGAATTTTGGCCTTGTTCAGCCGCACCGCAAAGAAGAGCGCGATTACTGAAAGAATTTATTAGATTACGCGCGCTCAATATCCGGGCACGGTTTGGTATTTTTCTCCGCTTAATATATACGTTTTAATTGATGTCATCGAAAAATACTTACGCGCACATATTTTCGCTATATTACCGACGAACCAGTGAGCCCAATTGAAGAGAGCTCTTCGCGGCGCTCCAGGATGCGGTCTCATGGCCGCCATGAAGGGCTGAATAAAGCATAGTATTGTGGTGGCTAGGCCGAAGGAAGCGTGGAACGTCTCGGTGCTCCAAGTGCCCAGTTCCACGAATATTATCACGAAGGCCGCGATCGTCATCGACCAGGTAAGCACCATAAAGAACCTGTGCCACTTGGAAGAAAATCGATAGGATTTCATTACACGGCGAAAGGAGTTGCGCGAAATGAGAAAGGTATTCGTGTGGCTTTCCGCTTTCCTTTTGCGAAATTCAAACGTTAATGATGTATACTTTGAGCGTGGCGAAAATTAATGCCAAGTGTTTCAGTGTTTTGCCGAATATTCATGTGAGCGCGCGATACGGCGTAATAATAAAGAAATTGTTTATATCAAACGATGTGTATATATATATATATTTATAAATGACGTAGAATTTAAAAACAAGATATTTTCATTTTTCTGTTTTTTGATACATCAGTGTTTTTACGTACGTTTTTAACTATTTTTCCTAGGACGAATAATTCAATTATCACGCTTTATTATTGTTAGAATAATAATTGCAATTACGCAAAAGCTTACGTAAATTGAAAATTTATGGAAGCTCTAATTTTATTTTTCGCAATCAAAAACGGTGATTTTTTTTAACAGACATATTTTTACGTTAGCGCAGTATATTTTTTATATTCACAAGAGTGGAAAAAATTCAATTTTCTTATATATAAAAAGTTCGAGTATAGATTTTTGATTACGACGCAATTCAGGTCGAATCCAACAAAACGGGTTATTTTAAAAAATAATGAAATAAATAAAATAAAATAGCGCTGTCTACACTGTCGAGAATGCGCGGAACAACGGTATATTCGCGCGATTGTCTGGGAAAGTACGGACTTACAGCAAACCAATGATCCTTTCCGCACAACTGGGAGTTGACCCAAGTCTGTCTGTAATATCTCGCGAGTAGCATCCCGATGGAAGCCGTTCCGATCCACGATGCCAGCATAAGCGCGCCATGAAGGCGAATCAGCAGGTCGCTTGCTGCAGTCCATTCTCCGACATCGGACAGCCTCTTCGAAGTGCTGGTCCCAAGATAGGCAAGACTGTGAAAGTCAACGCCATTTCCTGCAAACGCGCGCGGAAAACCACCGCGATGTTGTTTTATTTTATATTTAAAAGAAATCAAACGCGACGTAACGTATCGTTGCAATTAATCCGATAATCGCCGCGCGAATAAAAATTCTAACGCAATCATAAACGCGTCACGCGCTTCGAGTAGAAAAAAAAAAAAAAAAAAAAAAAATAAGGAAGCTGTCAAATTCGCGGTTCTCGCGGGAGAGTTGTAAAGTTTTTAACACGACCTCGCGCTCTCTCGGCGGAAGCGCAGACGAGACGCAAACTTGGCATTACTCGCGCGAAAAGTTGCCGAGATTTCTTTTTTTGTCATTTACTTCGGAGAAACGGCGACAAAACGCGCCGCGTCGAGCCGTAAATCTTGCATTTACCGCGATCGTTAAGTCATAAAATCCATTTTCTGGTGGTTTCGATAACTCTCGCGATAATTCTCTTCCGGGTCGAACATGGGATTCGCGCGCGGGAGACGGTATAGTGAAAATAAAGAACGTCCAATAAAGAGACGTGAGTAAGTACCTCTCAGATTGTCGCCAGCGGCCACGAGAAGATGATACGGCGTGTTGACAAGGTCGTACGTTCGTCCCTGAAGGGTAGTGAGTTTGTCCCGGCGAAACTTGCAATAAATCATGTCATCTTTGACCGTGCCTGTCTCCAGCTGGACCGCTCCTTCCGGCTGCGTAGAACAAGGAAATCGCGTATGAAGGCCGATGTTTATAACAGACACGAAGTGTCTGTTCGTTTTGCTTTGCTTACGCACTTTGTGTCAGAAAGTTTATCTTTACTGTTTATTAAATGCGGAACATAAGGATAGACTAGTGGAAAAGTGATCTTGAGAATCACCGTGTACCTTTTAGATAAACTGTTCGATCAACTCGAACTTATTTAATATATATCGAGAAAATTTCGATATTGAGAAAATTTTCCATCAAGCAAGTTTTCCGAGTTAAAACTGTCAGTCGAAATTGAACTTTGAATTAAATTCAAATTAATTTTCAATAGACGAGTAACGCGATGTTGAGGTCAAAGAAGAAGAGAGTTTACATATAATGTGAAAAATATCGCTTCTCTCATGATTATATTTGCAAAACGTAAAAGATTCAACGGTTTTATCTCAACAGGGAAGCTGCTCCGCGTTGGGCGAGTGCAATAATTGGGATTTAATGGGCCAGCCTCGTTGCCCGAGACGGGGCAAATTAATTAAGCACAAAGGTGCATCTAGTGGAGCTCGAAAGGCGGTGCGGCATAGTAAACGATACTCACCGTCGTATGGCGCGTGTTACGCTTTCCGGAATTCCAAGACATGTGTAACGCAATTTCGTCGTTCTCCTTCGTGCACTCGACTACGCTGTCGTCACCCTGCGCACCACACACACACAGTTCGCCCGTTACATGTAACCACTTAACTCCTGCTAATTAATGGTTAATTACGCACGCGTGAACCGCGTGCGCAAATAACTGCAAATGTTGCGATACAATTCCGAAATTCGCGAACGCGAATCACGACGTTTTAGACAAAACCGACGTAATGTGCAAACAAGCTGATGAAAACAAGAACAAGAGCTGTCGAATCGCGGGAGATCGCCGCGTGTGATGACTTTTCAAAATTACAGACCGAAACAAAAAAAAATATATATATATATATCTCGCGAGATTATAACACCTCGAAGAAAGGAATAAAGTACAAACATAAAGTAAAACCTTCTCTTTCCGACGTTTCAACGAGAGTTTTCTCAAAGACGATAACTGCGAGAACTCGGGAGAGAGTAATAGAAATTTCAAAGAGGATGAAAAATGCAGCGCAAAGTAGCTTCGCGTATACTTAAGTAAAAACCAGTTTCGCGGAGATTATGCAAGTTTCCGCTTAAATAGCGCCGGGAGTAAAAAGTCCGGTAACGCGCGCGGAAGATATACCCCTCGCGTCTCTCTCTCTTTCTCGTCCTTTCTCCGCAAATTACCATATTCTTGTCGTCCGACAGACCGACGGCGACGTATTTGGCCTTTTCGCGCGCCTGCATCTCGAAGTGATATTGGTCGCCCTGCACGATCACGGCCACAACGGCGATGCAATTCTTGGTTTTTATGCAGCCCGGGGGCGCGCCGAAGCAGTTCTTCGTCGTGTGGCAGCCTGTGTAGAACGGGTCCTCCACGTCTTTCGTCTGAAACCAGAGAGAGATAACACACACACACATCTTAGGGATAACGCGGGAATTTACCTTGTGCAGGGGGGTATATATATACGTATATACACGCGAGATACCGTCGCGATTGCGGAGATTGCACAACGTACTTCCGTTCGCTTTGGGATCGGGATCGAGTGACGGCGTGACAGACGAGAATGAGCCCGCGAGTGCATAAAGGAGGTTCCGAGGTGCTTGTCGATCGTGAAAGATGCTCGGGAAATGTCGATCGCGTATTATCGCCAAAGTGCGCCGCTATAATATCCGAAGAAGAAAGCTTTCCCTTATCTTCGAACAAACCGCGAAAGAGAAAAATCGAATTATATTAAGGAAAATTGTATTAAGAAAAATGCAGATTTTATTCGAAAATGCGAACTATCTAATGGTAGTTTTTTGAGGTGAAAATTAATTAATACGTGCGTTATGATTGACACTTTAAAAATACTTTGCACGTACAGTGCTTCGTTCTTTATTTTATTTATCTCTTTGTTGGAAACTGTCGGAGTCTTATTTTGATTATGTGATTTAGATTTTATCATTAAGTTACAGTATTTCGCAGAAAGAAAAATCAGAAAAAAAAAATAAAATAAAGAGAGAGAAGATGTGAGGCAGATTAATGTCATCTGAATTTATTTTTGTAAGTCGAAGGACACGTGTGCGTGTAAGGTAATGAGTAAGCAAGAAATCCTAACAAGGAAGACCTTGCGAAACAAATCGCGCGCGACAATTCGCGCGATAGCGCGACCCTCACACACAGTCCAAACGAAAAGGAAATCTGCGGCCGGGAGAAAGAGAAGTTTGACGACCAGCCTTCAACTTAGATACGCTTCGCGAAATTGTGCGTTCACGCTTCGCCGGCCTCGTTCGCCATTACCTCGCTCTTTGGTGTACTTTTACGCTTTTTTATCGCGAACGCCGTTTTCAAGGAAAGGCCGTGCGCGCGCGCGCGCGCGTTCGCCTGGCAGGATGTAATTATTCAGTAAAACCCCGTCTGTATTGTTTAAGCAAATTGAAAAGCAATTTATTTTCAACGGAAAAGTATTTTTGTTATCTCACGACGGCGATCGCGAGGTTTTCTGTCTCTGAGAAATATTCTGTAGCGAATGAAAGAAATCTGAAAAGTTTTACAGACCACGCGGAAGAAGTGATCGATAACTTAATCAGCTTATTTGTGAATTATGTAATTAAAGATAAAAATATTATAATTAAATATCGAAAGAAACTTAACGCAAATAATAAAATTCAATAAAATATTAAATTTAAATTCTTCAAATGCGATAAATTCTATACGCGAATGATTTACATCGAATTAATGCCGTTTTCGCATCGGTAGGATTTGGAGAGCGCGATCTGCGATTGTATCGCTGTATACTATAATCTGTCAGCAAAGCAGCCCTTCTCGGTGCATCGTCGCGGCCGATAATTCATGTTTTCCACTCGACGACTTCCGCGCGCGTAATAAAAGACGAAATCCGGGAGGAAAAATGTTGCGCTCGGAGTAATAAAAAAAAAAAAAAAAAAAAAAAAAATCGCGACACGCAAAATCGCAAACGCGGTCGCGGAAGTAAACGGTGAAAGTACATAAAGCATAAATTCCAGTACGTTGGTTTGCGATCGCGTGTTTGTGCGTTTCGTACGCGATTAAGGGCCTGTGCGCATGTACACACGTACATAGAAATGCATAATTCACATATCTGCGCGTCACGCGCCGTTATATTCGCCTATCTCCCGTGTACGTATACGTGTGTATCGTGAATTTTTTACTTTCCACGAGACCGCCATGCCGTTCCGAGATGTACAGTATAAAGAGCTCGTATGTTTTCTCGCGTTACTCAAAACCTCGATACTCCCCTGGTAGGAAAAAATAAGGGAGAAAACGAGTTCAGTTTCGTTTTAATTATTTCGCGAAAAGATTTTAATATTTAAAAAAACGAGAAAATATACACAGAACGGAATAAATAGGAGATTTTTTCTCCCCTCCAGCTGTGAATTTTCAGCAGTATCTGTATTTTTGCATCGCGGCGTAATTTCAATTACCCATAGTTACGTACATTTTATATCTCGTAAGCAATGTCCTCGTATTTGCGCAAGCTTACGATAGCTCAACAAGAATATAAGCGAATTTTAATTAAATTTGAATATCGTTAAATTGCAAAATGGAGATTTATGGATGCACCATTTTAATTCTCCCAATTTTCAATAATGGATGTAATTATTTATTTATCTGCGAATATACCATACTCATGGGAAGCTCTGACAATGTTTATTAATTAGAATATCGATGTAACTTCCGCGCGAGTGAGAATTTAAATGCGTATTAACTTAATTTAACAATCCATGCGCGTGAATATACAAATACGGTAGCGATATACAAATTCATTGGGAGCAAATTATTATTTTCCGGAACAAGTTGGAACTTATAATAACGCACACGTCGGTCGAGAAAGATTAGAAAAAGCGATCTTCCATGCTAAGCGATCGGCCATTGATGCGAAATTGGTTTATATCTGGACAGGTTCTGATTCATCCGGTATTGTCTTGGATAATATAGTTCTCAGGATATTGTGGATATACTCTTCTTCGTGAACGGATTAAATTTCAATGACAGGTCTTTCAAAGAATCAATATTTATTTAACGAAAAATATATAATAAAAGATATTGCTATTTATTTTGCAATAGAGCAAATAATTCTTAAAAAAATAGAAATTTCTCTTCTCATATTGAAATTAAAAAGAGAATTTCTTTCAAAAGAATATCAAAATTTAAATTAATTAAAAGTGTATTTAAAAAATAAATATATATATTTTATATCTATATTAAAAAGCAGAAGAAATTTGTTATTTCTTTCTTTCTCATAAAACGAAATTTGCTAACAATTTAGTTTCTGGACATTTTGTCTGCGACAAATGGAAATTGAGAAAGTTGTCGAGAGAATATAATTAACGTGTACTAGCTTTGTATTGTATACGCGTGGGTTCGCTGTACATCCCACAATATTCGCAAAGCCGCACCTATCGGGGATACTAGCAGGAGTACCGGGGCCCGCTCATGTCGTTTAACGTGTTGTAATACCAGCACGCGCGCGTTCATAATGGCGAAGGTGACGAGGAAATATAATACTTACCGCATAATCGACTGCGGGGCTGTAGTAGGGCGGTGTGGTGGTTCTGAACGTACTTATGGGCAAAGGTGCAGCCGACACGTCGATGGACCGCTTGTCAACGGTAACCCTGGACGACTCGACGCCGACCCAGTACGTGCTGTAATCCTGAGCGAACGTGGAACTGTGTGTGGAAGAAATAATTGAGGAAGGGTCAACGATCAGTTGAGTATATAAAGACATGCTCAGAGAAAGAAGGTGTTTAAAATGTGAATAATATTATTTTAAAGATTAAAAAAGAGGAAAGAAATTATACAATACGAAATTGAATATTTATTACAACACTTTGCGTTTGCGTGTAACAACGCAAATATAAAAATAAAAAAGACCGAAAGCAGAAAGAAGAAAAACTAAATCGAACAATTTCTCCGAATGAGAAGCTGTGAGTTCGAAATATAAGGGTCAACTTTCCGAAGTAAATAACAAAGTTTTCAAAGAGGGCACCAGCTGTGTGTTTCATCAAACGTGCATTAATAACTCCGCATTGATTATTACGAGGTAAAGTTCATGAGGAATATTTTGTATGTCGACACCGTTATAAACTCTATCGTAGCAAGCGCCGTGAATTTCAAACACGAGCCCCGCGCGAACTACCGGTAATGATTGTGATTCATAAGTGTGACACATTTAAGTGTATCCCACGTTTGTGTGTAAGAGTGCGCGCGCGCGTAGCTGAGATCATTCGCAAGGAATCGTGACTCACAATTAAGCCGTTTCCAGACACTGGTGTTTCTTGTTCTTGAATTTTACAGGCGTTTCCGAAACTTAGATCTCTCGCAAACTCTCGTGGGAACAGCACAACAAGCGCTCGCGCGATCTACCTTGCTGCGGTTAAAGAAATACGCTCAAGCGTGATAAATGATTTGTTATATTTAATCAGCAAAGCACAAGCTGTTTAGCAAGATACAGGTGTTTTTTTGGAAAAATGTCCTTCGAATCCTTGGTTTATTGCTCGAAGAATGACGGGGCATAAATTTTAGCAAAAAGAAACATCTCGTCGGTACAGAATGTATAGGAACGCGAATGTTTGTGACAGGTATTTTTCAATTCAAAAGAAATTTTAATTGAGAAGCGTGTATTTAAAAAAAAAAAAAAAGAATTAAATCGCAGTTTAATTTTTCTAATTAACAAATTAATTCTCGGATGTAAAAGTCGTCGACAACTTTATTGCAATTCAAGATGATAACGTTGAATAACGCAATCCACACTCACACACACGCATGGTTCGCGCGAGAAGCTTTGTGAGAAATCATTATCATTACGCAACGCGAGAGAGGTACTTACTTGAAGATAATGGTACCCTCGTAATCGAACGGAGCCTCCCAATCGAATTCAAGATTGTGCTTCTTGCTAGTGTTCATGTGAGTCACGGCGTTCTAGAGACAAAAGAAACAGGAAAAGTTTTTCTTCAGATAAGAAATTGCACATCACTGTCGTTTGCAAAAATTTCGCGATGAATGATTCAGCCTTGAAAGAACTACGTTAACGTTTTTTTTACGCGTAATAGTGCATTCTTGCCACGTGCTCTTAATCGTGAAAAAATATCGGCTGACGTAACACAATCCATAATATAAAATAACTGCGCCACAAATTCTTATAATACGTCAAAAATTCTGTGTAATAATGATCGCAATTATTTTGCCAGGAAAATCTTTAGAACTTCTCTCTGTCTCTCTCTCTTTCTTACAAAAGAAATTAAAATTTTCTAGATTTTCAAAACGCAATTGGCACAATTTTAAACTTTTATTGTTCAAAATATTCAAAGTTTTTATATATGATATAAATCAAATCGGATCTTTAAATAGAGCCACAAGCTCGAGATCATAGAAGATATTTGTACCTTCACACCCGGAATGCATTCCACGGGTTTTGCCAACTCGGGCAAATTTGCGAATTCGCCAACGTACTCGCCGGTGTCAACGTCCCTGGCAACGATCATGAAACCCTCGTACGCGAGACCCTGGGGACTTCCCAGGACCAGCCGCACTCTGCCTTGTCCGATTGCGGGTAACACCTGATAAGGAGGATACGACAACTGGAGGGAGGAGTCGGGATGACGAGGCATCAGATCCGAGCATATGGAGGCTGGTGCACCATTGGGTAATCCCAGCACTCTTGCGAGCGAGCAGCAAGCCAGGAACAGCAATATCCTTGACATTTCTATAAAAAAGAAACAGGCGTCAAAAGAAAAGATTATCAAATAGACACAATCACAGAATTTATTTTAAAAAAGATGTAAATTAAAACCAATAAGTAAAATATATAAAGTACACGCGCGTAGATATATGTTATAAAAATATTATAAAATTGTATAAATATTTTCATATATAAATAACAAAAAAAATTATAGAGAAACATTCTCTATATTTTTATATAATAAATTCTTTAAACTTTTATAAGATATAAATACATAATTCATTTTATTCTTTATATTTTTTTATTATTTATTGCTCGTTTTATTTTTATATGATAAAAAAATATAGAAAATTTTAGCGAGAAAGATATACGAAGCGTCCTCATAGTTTTGTTAATGCAAAATCGATTCCGAGCTAGTCAAGGATTCTGTCATTAGAGAGACGTTTGGTTGGATTCCTGTCTGTTTGAATTCAGAGCGATATGCGCGCAAGAGCGAGTTGCGGTATCGCGATCTCGCTCGGGATTTTCCCCCGATGAAATGACGAGACGATCGGAAAATATTGAAATAGAAACGGGCACATACTTGTTTAAACAGGACATGCGAACAACACGGCTGTTTAATCGGCTGTTCACGTCGATGTTGAATTCATCCGGTGTAACGTAAACAAGAACGTTCATCTGGCGGCAGCTCGCTGTCGCTTTATCCATAATGCACGCGCGTCTTATCCTCAGCACTCGCGTGTGATCATACGCGCGTGAGATATGCAGCAACATCGTGTAGCACATAATGCGACATAAATTCCAATTGGATTTGCATTCGTAATCGATGAGCGATCAAGCAGTAGCGCGAACATAATTAAATTTATTTTAGAAATAGCTAGATTCTGGCCGTGTCAATTTATACATATAGGAATAGCTAGATTTCACTTTGAAAAATACTCTTTTTTTCTTGATTATCTTAATCGCACTCGGAGAAACACAATTGCAATTATAAATAAATTGCTTTGTAAATCGAAAAAAAATTATTCACGCAAACTCGTTTCGATATCGTAACAATGGGGGTGAGATACGCGTCGGTATCTCACCCCCATGATAAGCCGATAATCGTTTCTTCGTCGTATGATCTTAAAAGAAGCTTAATTGTTGTTCGCGCGCAAAGATAGTTTTTTTTTTTCTAGATAGCGATAACGAGATAAAACGAGATATCTCGCGACGTTAATGAGCGGCCGAGCGAGGCGCGAAAAGTGAATGACTTCAAAGAGAGGAAACTCGTGCACACGGCCCACGCCTGAAGCAAACTGACTTTCACCTATTGAGAAGTTTAACTTGTTACGAGCTTCTCAGCTCGAGCATTCCTAAACGCCCCGGCTGTTACTGAAATATTTCCCGCGCCTGCGAATTATGTAACGCGCGACTGACCCTCGCCATTGAAATGCCACGCAGCTCCGCGTTCGTTCGCAACCAGACCTTTCTACGCCACGGGAAATGTGTTGTGTCCGATCCTTGAAGTCAATAAAATCATCACCTTGCGTGTTAAATATTTGTGCAAAAAAGAAATTGTTGTTTTTGTTACTCTTATTCTTTAGACTTTAATTATTCCTACACTTTCTAATTAATGCAGAGGCGTATACAATGCGGAGATTTCTTCGTGATAAGAGGAAGGGAAATTAAAAGCAGCGAAATTAAAAAGAATTCGCGTAACGCAACGTTAAAAAAATAGAGAGAGAGAGAGAGAGAGAGAGAGAGATAACTCGAGTGCATATTTCTGTAAATTTTTTTAAAACAAATCTCTAGTCAGGAAAAATCCACTCAAATAATTAAGAGCGATTGTTTCAAAGTAACGTGTTGACACAGAAGACACGTCATTGACACAAATCTGTTACTCTGCAAGATTTATATCGTACAAGGAACTCGAGTAGCGTGTTAATGTGTTCTTAAGTCAGCAATAAAACGTACGCGCGCTTTTCCGCGGTACTTCCAAGAATTTCTGCGATTGCAAAATCGACGTGCGATCGCGTTCGACGCAAGGTCGATCACTCGAATTGTTGAACACTGTTCAGCACTTTCACGTGCGAGCGCACGACGCACGTGAGCCAATTAAAATAAAAAAACACTCGCGATAAGTAATAAAGTAATCTCGTTACGCGAAGAATTAAGAGTGACTTTCTGTCACTCAGCGCGTTTCATTGTTAAGGAAAACCTTATCGATCTCTTAATACGACCATTTAAATCGCAATAATTAAAGCGGAGACCGTGCTCATGCAAGATGAATTGCAATTACTCAACGTGTAGTACGTGTAGTTATATAACAGCACGAAGTAGTTAACACACTTAGCACATGGTTGTTTTATAAGGTGATACGTTAATAATGTATTGTTAATAACGTGTTTTTTTTGTGCAACATACGCCTTTAGAAAATAATTGCTTATAATTTTCTTAGATTTTTTATTATTTTGAAATACAATACTGAAAAATTTGTTTACACACGGAATGTGTGTATCGACGTTTAATTTAAAAATTTCATATTTCTAGAACAATAAAACTACGTCATGACCGATGATATCGAATCGTTTAGTCGCCTCTATACACGAACGAAACCTCAATTTGTAACTACAAACGCGCGTTAATATTGCGCTCTCCGTGATTATTTTTAATCTCTACATTTACATTCCGTTTATTCGCGTCGTGTGCGACACAACGTCCGCGACATGTAAATGTAATAACCGATAATTGGAAAACACATTCGCGAAGAATACAATTACCTCTCGACAATGGTGCAATCATGAGCGAGTTGAGGCGAGTCCGTCGACACCGTCCAAGATCAATATTGCAGATGCACTCGAAATTTCTCTCGGACGGAGTCTGCAATTTGCAAACCGCGCTGCGGCTACGCGCGCGCGTGTGTGTGTCGCTCGTGTGTGTGTGTGCGAATTCGGTTTGAAACACATACACGCGCACGCGAAATGTGCCAATTACATACGCGCGCGCCGAGAAAACCGGGACACGATTGTTTTTTTCCTTTTTAAGTTGCAAAAAAAAACGCTCGGGGACGCAAAAAAAAAAAAAATAAATCACGTCGGCCGATGTCGCGGCGCGGTTTGCGTTCACGACAAATCGGAAAAGAATTAAGACCGCGATAATCACGTGCGTGTCTAGCATTATCATATATCATTATTCTATTGTGCGGGAGAGAACGAGCACAAGGCTTCGTTTTGCGGTTTACAACGCGCGTATGTGACTCACCCCGAGCGCGTCTCATCTCGCGCATATGCGCGCGCGCGCTTCAATGTTGCACACAGGTGTTTTACCACGGGTTCACAAATGCACGTGAAATCTCCGACTAGATTGTACCTTCCTCCTGCGCAAGATTCCTTCGTGAACGGATAGGAAATTCCCATCCAAATGTACAAAAGGAGAGTTACATAAATGTCGAATTGAGTTCCACATTTATTTCTTTGCAATTATATTATATTAATTAATCACGTGCTACGCCTTTATTACACCGTCAGAAAAACTATTGAATCGCGCATTAAAATTGAAAACAGTTTGAAATTTTCATTTGCTACTTTTTGATACGTCATTTTGCTACATGGTTTTATTTTATTTGTAAAACCTTGCGCGTGTAATACATATCTACACGCGGTGTGCGCAATTTGCTTTAATATTTCCTGAATGTGTCCGATAATGCTATCGCGAAATTTGATCTTCTGCTTAATCATCAGCTTACGCAAACGTATTTAAATTGGAAAACACCGACTTCATTTGCTAACAAAACAGGCGACGGCGATGACAAACGGCGGGCACAGCGCGGCGTTTATAAGCGGAGGTATCGTAATTACCGAAGTTATGAAATGGCAGTTCTGTAACTTCGTCGAAAGTCACGTTGTCTGTATTTCTTCACTTTTTCATGTACCTTTACATTATGTATATATTATACAGACAGCTGCAGCGCAGATAGAGTTGCTCGTCTTTTTGACTCGTGAAATTCGTTCAGCAAAAACGTGGCGCGTGTTTCGTATCATCGTGATATTTCCCGATGCGCTCGCTCTCTCTCTCTCTCTCTCTCGCGAGTGCGCTTCTCGTGCGGTTACAGTTTGCTTAGCAAGATATTGTTAATACGTCAGTTCAATACGGAGACTCGGAGCAGACGTTATGACTAATTATAAGTTATATCATTTAAGACGATGTGAGTAGTCACGTGTCAAGAGTAGCTATCGGAAGTTACACGCTGAACTCACTCTTTCTAAATAACGATTACATTTGTCTAATGATAATCATGGGCGTGTGCGATAAGGGCGCGACCCTAATTGCGTTAATGTAAATTTAATTTGATTTTAATTTACCACTACATACCAAGCTTTTGAAGAAACACATTGTTGCGGCACGCACAAGAAGCAATTACCTTAATCGAGAGGTAAAAAAAAAAAAAACTATTATAGGAACGAATGCTTTGAGAAACCACAATTTATGCGAAATTTACAACTGTTCATTAAGAAAATTCCAAATTTCTCGAATCTCTTGAGACTCTTTTGTTGCGCTGTTTTGCACATTTTTTTAAGATCGAATACATTAAAAGCATTTGTAGATTTTTTAGCAGATATTTTTTTAAGATACTAGAAATGTGGTTTGAGCATTTGTTTGGTGCAAGTTACATGTATTATATTGATGAAATCAATCAAATTAAATCCGCCGTGAAAAGAAATTCGCGCGACGTATTTCTGAATGAGCAATTGTATTGGCGCGTAAGTTTGTATCGCTCCGAATGTCATCAGGGCGAACAAAGTAGTCGCGTCTCGTAGTCTCTTCCGTGTTTGGTGAACGCATCGCCATGGTTACGTGTTGTGTCCTAGAATTTCCACGAGCGAGCATTACTCTCGCGTCGGTATCGTCGAACCGCAAATTATTTTATCGGTTACGTAAGGCCAGAAACTGGCGTCGTTGCAAGAATTCAGAGAAACGCCATTCATCTCGTTGCCGCAATTATTCTTAACGTTCTCCTTTAGCGCGAGAGCAGCACGGCGCTCTCTCTTTCTCTCTCGCTCTCTGCATCGATCTCACTACGATTACTTCGCTTTGTCTCGCAGATTGGAAGCACAAATTAGGGCAACGTGTCCAAGGTCTGGACATAAACTTGGCGAAAATCATTCTTCTTTACAAACCGTAATTCTCGTACAGTCGTCGTTGTACTTTTTAAGAAAATCTCAATAATTATTATCTCGTTAAAATTGTAAACTCAAAACCGTTGAGTTTAGAATTTTAACGAGATAATAATTATTGAAATACGTCTTTTTTAACGATTCTATTAAGATATGAGTATTTTTATCGCATACTCTCCCAAAAATAAACACGAGCGAGAAACATCGACCATTGGTTATTTTCAACAATTTTAATTGAGACCGAGCGAAGCAAGTGATCGACGTGACACCGTATCCTATCAAAACTAATCAATTCACTTAATTAACTCTGACTAATGCTCGGATAGCAAATCTCGGAGGAGTGTATAATCGCACATGAATTATTTATATATCGCGTAATCAGAAATGGAACGCACAAGTAACGCGTAACAAGCGCGCATCTTCGCTTCAACGATCAGTTAAGTGATATACTCATTTTAATCGCTCAAGGAGAGATCGCGAAGTCAAGATTCTTTTTCAAGATGATTCCTAGGACTCTGGAAGCCGATTTCTCTCCCAAGTCGATTAACTTTAACCGTAATTCAGCCGTTTCTTCGTCTCTTTTTCGAGATCCCGTGCTGCTGTGGGAGAAGACGGAAAGATAGAAAGAGAGAGACAACAATCGCGAACTCATGATTAAAGTTAATCGACTCGTCGGAGAAATCAACCCTAGAGCGATCGAAGGGATCACCGATTCCAGCGGATCCACTCGATCGTCTGCTTATCGTTGCGGAGAATCGCGTTCCCACCAATCGCGACACACGAAGACCCGGGATTAAAGAAAAGCTGGCCAGTAAATCTTTCACATTTCTTTTCGCGTGTAAAACAAAAACTAACATAGCATTAAAAATAAAATTGCAATAAAATAACATTGGTGTAACGCGTTGCTTCGCGTCATTCTCTCTCAAGTGTTTTATTCGCAATTCCTAGAAATTGGTTTTTCGCAAGAAAAATTGTACGTACAGTTTTGTAACATTTACGTGTTTTATTTACTTCCGCGAGTTTCAATCAATGATGAGAAATTATATGTGTATTTGTAATAAAATATGAATATAATAATATATAATAATAATAAAGACGAGGTAAATAGCAATATGTAACGGATCAACGCTCGAATCTGTCGCGCAAAAATTATCCGCGTAACGGGATAGAGATTTTGATCATCGTCACGTATATACTTAGAATTCTGAAAACACACGGGAAGTAGCGCAGCTGAATTTCTTATAAATATTTCCTGCCTTTTTCCGTTTCTCTCGTAACGCTATTTCATGAATTTAAAATACGTCCCATTCGTGTCTGGTATTTTTTACACCTTGCGTGTTACACCGGTGTTTCAATTGTAATGTACATCGCATTTTATTGCGCAACGTGATTAAGTTTCAAACAAACTCACGTGTCGCAAAATGTTATGTAAAACAAAAACAAAAAAAACAACTGTGAGGTTACATCAATCTTTGATATAATAATGTCGAGTTTTTTGCAAACGCTTTCAAAGTACCAAGATTAGCGAGCAACTAAAGAGGAAAATGTGTGAAAACCGAATGTATAGAAAACTATAATTTTCAGCTGCTGATCTCATACATGGTTGGAAGAAAACAGCAAAACGTATGATTCAGTTGTTTATTCTTGGAAATTTACAGATATACTGCCAATGAAAATATATGCAAGAAACGCGCGTTTTTTCGACATAAGTGTAGAATAGATAATATTCTAAGGAATTTAAACTCTTTCGAGAATTTTACGCGCATGCGCTTTTTACGATCACTTATCGCTTGTTCGTTTATAAATCAATTTTTTTTTTAACTAGGTTTTGCAAACTGAAATCATATTCTGTGTATGACAGAATACAAAAAAATAATAAATTCATTTGTTTTAAAATAAATTTATATTTTTGATGGGTATTTGCTGGAGATTTATGAAAAATCTCTTTATTTTGTATTTTGTATTTTGTAAATGTTTAAAAATTTGTTTTGTAATTTCTATATGTTTTTATCAATTCTTTTCGATTAGTTTGTGATACCAGAATTTATTAGAACACATCTCATCGATTTCAATATCTCTGTCTCTCGAGATAGATTTTTATGGATTTAAAAACTTTTATGATTTCCATGCATTTAATTTAAATTGCACAATGAAAGTTTCGACACCTTTTGGAAATAAAAAAATAATTAGTGCGCACTCACCGGTCCTCATATTTGCGTGTTCAGTTCTCTCCAAAAACGCGTTCATCAGGCGCGCAACATGCGCGCCAAACAAATTCGTGAAAAGGTCACGTGTGTCGTGGCGCCGCTCCGGCGTACATACAAAAAAACACACACTGTAAATAAATCCTGTAATACTCAATGAAGAGATTTTACGGACAGAGCGTCGTGTCCGTCGATCGCGTCTCGCACAAACTGCGAACAAATCCCGATCGATCGCGACGACGCGCCGCGTCGCGCGAAGACGCGGTCTGTCCGGTCTTTCTTCGGGAATTTCCTCGCGAAGATCGAGAGCTCGATTAGTCTCGCATATACACTCGGATAAAGCGGCACACTCGCGCTTTTGTTGAAATCGCGCGTACTCTCGTACAACCGGGAAACGACTACGAGCGACACACTGGGTGTCTCGATCATTCGCCGGACGTGGATCTCTCGCGCGCGACACTTGTTGATCCCGCGGCGACACACATACTTCCGTCGACTGCGTCGCGAACCACACCTTGCGAGAGACTGTACGAGAAATACAGGCCGAGTTGAAAGGCCCTCGGCCGTGAGAGAGACCAGCTCTCAGGTCTGTAGTTACTTAGGCGTTTTCACGTCGCTGCGATCGATAACGCCACTCGATACTCGGACTCGATACTCTTGCGAGTGTTGCGCACGTGCGGAAGATCGCGGGAGATGATTTTCTTGAATCATTATTAGCTTCGAACGTAAATAGACGCGCTTGGTGTGTCAGTCAAATTAGGGTCGCACAGTTTCGTAAACTCGCTTTATCTCAATCTTCGTTGTAAGATCTGACGTCGAGCAATAATCTGTCAAAATGATATATTATATGATATATTATATAATGTTATCCGTGTGAGGAGAAGGTATTTTTAGGTAACTCGTTAAATTGTTTTAATTATCAGTATGTTTTATATAACGTGATTTGATTATTGCAATTTTTATTTCTCTTTCTGCAGAAAAATCACAATACGAACGCTCGCGTCTTGCAATTCGGTTCTATTTTATCATAAAATTAGAAAATTAAAATTAATTGCAATAATAAAATGGCTTTTTAAATTACAAATATGGCAAGTAAATTGTACTAACATTTTTTGCACTCTAATTAATTAATACATCTTCTGTTCTATCGCACGGCTAATGAATTCCAGCTTACATTGTTTCAACCTTCTTGCAATTTTTTTGTCGTGTTTCTCTCCAAACTGCGGGAACATTTCTCATTTCTCTTATTTCAAATTCCACTTTTTGCTCAGTACACCTGCTTTAATCCGGCACTGAGAGTCGCGAGAAGAGAGGGACTAACAACCGTGCCACCAAAACGGTACGACGCGCGGCGACGTGTATACCGTACATTCACTGTTCGTCGTTCACCTGAGTTTTATCGACGTATTTTTTGCCATTCTCTCTCTCTCTCTCTCTGTCTCGCGTTCTGCCTCTCGCATACCGACAAGTCTCGTCATTGACCGCAAAAAGCGCAAACGATATTGGACGAAGCACACAGCGTCTATCTCTAGAAACGAACGCACGTGAGTGGATCCAAATTGGCTCTCGCCTTTTGAAGATGTTTCGCCGAATTGACGTTTAAATTTCTTGCTTTTATTGTGTACGTTAATTTTCAGACAAATTTGATACTTCTTAAATAATGCGCGAAGTTAGCGTCGCGCACGTGAAAGCATTTTAGAAATGTGTTTTCGCCGTGTTTAATTTTCTTGGTTTATTAACGTGACGACGAGTTTCGCAGCGTTTAAAAAGAGAAGTTCTTTTGTTTCGTTTTTTTTTTTTTTGTTTTGTGAATTCATAAAACACTTAAGAGAGTGATCGAACAAATTGCGCGATTTAACGAGGATCTTAAACGCGATTGGAGAGTTTCACAGAGAGAAATTAACCGATTGCTCGCGCTTAAATGAAATTAGAAAATATCCTGCGCGCATTTTGCGCACGGGTCACTTTTACCGGACGGTGTAAATTGATATGAAACCGGTTTTCTCGGAAGAATTGCGCTTCACAGAATGTACGCCGCCGCGCTTATCACACTCAATTCTCGCACGGGACATAAGAAACAGCTTCATCCATCTTCTCGTCAATGATCTAATGAAAATGTCAAGTCTGTCTCTGAAATGTCACTATTTTGTCTCGTTCTTCGATATGCGGCTTTTATGCAAAACACGCTTGTGATAAAAATTTTTTAACGTACATTTCTTTCAGAAAATAGACTTTGGACGTTTAAAAAAATTCTTTTCTTGGTTGACGCGCTAATAACAAACTTGCTGTTTTTTTTTACTTTTGTTCAATTTTACTTTTGTCAATAGTAATTTATATCGTCGCGGTAACACAAGCACGAAATTACCGTTTGTTCGCCGACTTCGCAGTTTTCGCGACGTTCTGCAGAGGTCGACTGTTCCCGCTGCTCGTAACTTCTGATGGAGCGTTTTACGTTTTGCTTATTCATTAAAACATTTCAAAACAATTACGTTTCAGTTAATTGTCTTTACTTTCTGCTTCATTTTTCACTCTAGTATCCATTAGAAATGCATTTTTCACGCGAAATATTAAAATTTCATTTATTGCGTTCTCTTTTTTGAATGCCGACGTGCCACTTTGCACAGTCGCAATTTTATCAATTTTATAAATTATTTTACAATAATTTAACAATTTGTATTATATTTGTATTATATTTGTATTATATTTTTTTATACGTTAAACATCCACACATCGTTTGAATTGCGTCAGCATTTTCTTCAGGTGACTCATGAGGAAAGTGGTGGAACCATCGGAAGTGGTTCGCAGTATCATTCGAGACGCGTACAGTAACAGTGTGTGTTGAGATAGACCTCGGAAAGCGTGAGAGATATGAAAAAAAATATCTGCAAAATTAACACATATCAGTACAAATTTGCGATTCAAATTTGAGAAGTTCATCGGGTGTGTGTTTTGGCGAATCAACATCAGTATTCAATTCCATTCCGTGTGTAACGTCACCAAGACCGAGTCCAAACACGTGAACTGATCGAGAAAACAAGAACCACAATTCAAGGCCAACCAGGCAAGTAATAATTTTGTGATAGCAAACAAATTGTAGGACTTTAGTGGAAAACACATTTTACACTGCGTGCGTTGCACACAAAAAGAGATTTATATAAAATTACATTTTGATTTTTCTTTTTTCAGATTTCATCTTCGAGCTTTTTTTTACGAGAAATGAAGTCAAGTGCGAAGAAAAGTCCGCCGATACCTGCGCGTGTATCGTCTTTACAGGTGCGCATGTGCGCGCAAAATTAACAGCCGCGCAGCGGGACGCTCTTTCTTCTCGTAGACGCGTTACGATCGTTTTAGCGAGATAATATTACACACGTAAGACGGGAAAGTACGCGTGTTTACGTGTCGCGTTTTTAACAACGAGAATCCGCGTGATTCAACGTGGCATTCGTTGTTGCATCAAATTGCGTCATCTGCGGTCGAGTGTTCGTTTCAAATTGATCGCATATTTTGAAAATGTCGTTGTTCGCTTGCTGCGTCCGTCGGGTGAGTTTCTTCTCTTTGTGAACACGATTGACTGTTTCTCTCTTTCCCTCTCGACTGTTGAAATCGTCGTATATAAATTGCGCGCGCGCGACTGCTAATTTTTTTATCTGCATGATAGATAGCGCACGGCTACACGCCGACCGCGAACGAGCAAGATATAAATTTTAATCACATCAGAAGGTCGCCCACTCGACCCGGCAAAACGTCACACACTTCGTCCGGTGTGTGTGTGTTTTGATTTCTCTAATAAACTGCTCGTCGATACGTTGGATCTTGATTGCGTGAATGTATTTTGTTGATTGTGCGAAACGGCGAGCTGCATTTTGAACAATGATGTTTTTATTTGTTTCTATTGCACTTCTACTTATTACGGTGTGTATTACTTCATCTAAATTTTGTATACGTTCTTGATAAGAATTGCATGAATATCGCGAACTCGTGCTGTTTTTATTAACATTCGACCCGAATAGTCTTAATCGCAACGGTGTTTGCGCGTTTTTCCACGAAAGTTACAATGTGTTTGTTACAAAATAATGAACAACAATAATAATGAACAACACTTACTTCACTTACTTACAAAAGAGCCTGAATTTTCTCGGCTCTCACCCCTGTCGTTCAGGTGGCAGAATCGGTGGATGGAAAAATAAAGCAAACACCGCGGCGGAGCGATGGGCACTTGAAGTACACATGCGTGCGCGTTGTGTATGTGTGTATATTTGTTTGCGTATCAGGTGCGCGTATGTTGGTGTGTGTGCGCGCGCGACCGCGGGAACAGAGTGAACGTCAAACCGCTCGCTACGATGAACAGATACATTTTACGCTACTTAACGGATTTCATGCTCAAGTGTCAAAGGGACCGCCGTCCTTGCTCGTAATCAGCGGGGGGTCGTATTAATAGAACGATGATTCTCACTGTTTTGTAAAAATTCTTCTTCAGAATCGATTTCGTAGCCCTTCGCCGCGGAAATGTCGAGCGGCGTCGCGAAGATGATGGGCTTATTAATTACAGCTTAAGCAAAAAGTTCTTCAAGCGTCTCTCACTTACTTTTCGTGATGAGTAGAAGAACAATCTTTAGAAAAAATAAATCAATTATTAAAAAATATAATTTTATTTTTCTAAATTATTTGCTCCGCAGTCTAATCGACGAGCGGAAGAAGCGCAGCAGCAAATGGAGCCACCGGAGATATCATGGGAAAACAGTCTGGGCTCGCGCCACGGCGTGCCCTTCGACGACGACACGAAGGAACTTCTAAAGATCTGTCTCGATGTCTCGTTGCCGCCACCGACTAGTTTACCGGAATTAATCAAGCGAAGCGACGCGTTTCCCGTGAAGTTTCCCATTAGTACCATGAGATGCGCCGCTTTGAGGGACAGGGGAATCAGCGCGGAGACTATTGAGGTTTGCGCAAAGCGAGCAAATTACTCTTCCAGCAATGAGAAAACTTTATTTAATATAAACTGCATATTTTTGATTATTGTTTTTTATACACGTAAAAAAGTTCAGGTTTTAAATATTAAATCTGAAATATCTTCCGTAATTTTTCGAATAGCTTGAAAATTAATTGTAATTATAATGTAACATTACTCAGATTTTTGATATTCCATGAGTGAGTTTTGTTTACTTTTTGTTTTAGTTAAACGCGAATTCGGTGTATCCGCTAATACACGAAGCGATGTTGCCCCTAATCGCGCGATGGTTGAAACACAAGCGGTTGTACGGTAGTTCTGTCGAAAAAGCGTTGTACAAGGACATGAATCTCATTGAATTCATTCACCGCTTAATAGAGAAGAGAGCGGTCCATTTTTACGGTTTGAACGATCGATGGAAATTGATTGACAACAAGTCTGGCGTCGACGGATGGGATACTGTCGGTACCGAGCAGGAGAAGGAACCTTTGGTAAATACACGTCGCGTTTCAATCAAATATCTGTAATGAAAATAACTACGGTAAAAAAAAAATAGAATAAAAATATTCACAGGGTTTTATTTATCGAGAAATTCAATTTAGAAATTTCTTAACAGAAAACGTGATGTTTTGTTAAACGTTTTCTCCGCGTTTTCTACCCGAAATATAAGCCATTAAATTTATTAAATTTCTTCACAAGATCGATATACCTGCCGTTCCTTATACGATATTGGAAATAATGAAAGTAAGATAGAGATATATATCTCTGTCTCTCGTTGTAACATTTTTTTTTACCCTCGCGTCTCTATAATAATAAACGTTCTTTTAATCAAAACAAATAGGTTCTGGCGAAATGTCTTAGCTACGACGAGATCAAATTGTCGGCGATGATGGTGGTGTCGTCTCACTCGGAGTTCATAAACGACGGCGCGCGAAAAAACAGAGGCGTTGTATCCAGCGATCCAGACGCCGTCCAGCCTCGTGGAGTTATTATGGGTGTCGTAGGCACAAGGTTTTATTATGCATTTATTATAATATACCTCCTCTCCCCGCGCTCATTGGGCATATTTTTATATACACGTGCGCAGACTCCCGTGAAGTTGTCCGTCGCGTCTGCAGATGCGTGTTCTATTTTTATCCCTCTCTCGCACGCGATTATTTTTATATTCTGCATACACCCGCTCTTCCCGAAGGCAATTCGAAAATCACATCGGAAGACATATCGAAATTACCTTGCCAATATTTAGTTTTTTTTTTTTTTTTTTTTTCATCAAATCATTTTATAAATAACAAAACAATGAAAAAATGTTTTTGTTTTTGCTAACCATACATCGCTAGATTTGAAAAGACCCGATTTATGGAGTATCAGGATATCATCATTACGTCGGCACAGAATAACGCGGACAACGGGTAAGTAGCAATTTTTTTTGTCACGTGATTGTTGCACGAAATGATATTCTTCACTCTGTGTGTGTGGAATCAGCTTTTAATTTATTTAACCAAGTTTAATTTATATAAAATAATATGTACACTCTGGGGTTATGTATCTGCTATTTTTACGATGTGTAAGATAAAATCCCTTTGAAAAGATCGATGTGTGGAACAGGTACGGATCCGCGACGGACGGCACGTCCGAGGAGAAGCGCGGCATACGCGTCTTATGGGCGAAGTTTTACGGCGAGGATTACCATCCGGTCTACGAGGAGGTCGCGAAACGCGTTAAATCGAAAGAAAACAGACGTTACGTGTCGTTGAACAGCCAGACGATCTTCGATATCGAGAATTATATGAAGAGAACGCTGCTCACCGTAGAAATAATACTGCTCGAGGCGAACACTCGCGCCGAGAAGCAAAACACGACCGCTTTCGTGCACGTAGTCGGATTCGGTCTCGGTTAGTTTGCACTTTTTGATGTTTCTCTAGAATTCGATGACAACTAAACTTTTAATCAGATAAATGTTTGATTTTTTATTAATTTAAAAAATAACTATACTTTATCGTAATAGTGATCCGACTGATGTTTGATTTGCAGGTGTGTGGAAAATAATGCAGGACCAGGAATTGTATTTTTTGAAGACGTTTGAGATCGCCATTCGAAAGATGAATAAGAAACTCAAATACGTGTCCGACATCATGTTCGCCTACTTCCATCAACAAAAGTGCGGTGGCGCGGGAAACGGCGATTATTTGGGCGGTTAGTGAGCAAGAAAATACACAAGAATTTTTAACACATGTACAATGATACTTTGTATCACTTTCAGATATAAAAATTCACTTTGCCGTGAGAGAACCGCACAGCAGACTGTTCCGAGCTACCGACGCCAATAAGCTCCTCGTGGTGACTTACGCCTGGGATGGAAATGCGCTGCCAGGTTTAAATTTTATTCACTTTTTTTTTTACACATTTGCACATTTACACATTTCAAATTTCAAAACGTTGTCCGACAAGTTTAAAGTTTACTCGCAAAAGAATGTGTGCGCGCGATTGCCGGTTAACGCCTGCTCCTCAGACGAAGTAAATGTTTTTTTTTTTTTTTTGCAGGAAACGAATTCTGGAACAATTCTCTGGAGTCGAGCGGCGATCCGGCGGCGGCGTGCAGCACCCAGATAACCGAGCTGCACAATTCCAGAATCAATCCGCGCGCATGCGGTGCCAGTTTGCACGTCGCATCCGCGGAGCATGGAATTTTGCACATATCGGATTACGCGAAGCTTCACCTTACTTAGGTAACCACCCGATACGCGCCTCCTTATCGACGGTCTTCCTTGCTGAACGATGTTCGATCACAATGTAGTCACCACATACCGTGTGACATACGATGTTGTATATCATAATCATATGTACGAAACCACTGAGATAATTTTACCTTCATGCGTTATACCTGCATTCACTCTCAAATCTCTGGAAAATATTGGGTCGTTCGGAAAGTAATTTTGTTTTTTTCACAAGTTGTGTTAATTGTATTTTTAACCAGCCAATTTTATTCTAAACTATATTGTCATTACATATTTTGATAGCTAACATTTCAAAGTTTATTTTTAAAAAATTGAATAAAATATTTATATAGTATAAAAAAATTGTCGTTCATTTTCCTGAAAAAAAAAAAAACGAAATTACTTTCTGAACAACCCAATACATAGTTTCTTCACATTTCGACAAACAAATATCAATCACCGACGATATCTTGCATGTACCAGAAAATATTTTATACTGAAACAAAAAAAAACAGTTCAGAATTTGTTTAATGTTTGTTCGCTCCACAAACTCTCTCCTGTGTGTGTACGTAATAAAACGCAACTTTTCATTTACAACGGGGGAATGTTATTCGAAATCCCTTTCTTTCCAAAGCACGATCTTTTCTCCCGATCTTTCTCTCTCTTTCTCTCTTTCTTCCAATAAACCCCAGGAAAATACTCGCTCTTCAGGACAGGGCTTGCCCGACGGGCAACAGCGGGCAACGAAGACCATCACGATCACCACGCAGTCAGCGTAGCCGCAGCGCGGACGTGGACTGCTTGAAGAAGTATACGGAACGTCGTGTGGAGGAGCGTCGGCACACGGAGATCACGGACACCAGCAAGCTGGACACGTCGCGCTGGATGCCGCTGCCGAGAAACATCCCCCGCGGCTTGCAAACCGTGGGAGCCGCCAAGAGATCTTCGAGGGACGAGCGACAAGAGAGCGTCGACGAGTCGGCAACGATCAGCGAGAAGTGGACAAAGCCGAGTCCACCCGCCGAGAATCGATCGCCCAAGATCATCGAGTCCGAAAGGATCGAGCGCGTCGGCCGAGCGCAGCATCCCACAGGCAGGAGCCACAGCACCGACGTGGCCGCTTTGAAGAGCAACGCGGACAAACGCATCCCCGAACAGCGCAGACACACCGACTGCAGCGACTCGCGCACCATCGCCACGAGGTTGACCGCGCACATTTTCCACGTCCGAAAGCGAGAAATGCCGTGATCGGGATTGTAGTTGAGATTCGTAGGCGCGATTGATCACGATAGTCGTTACGGAGCCTCCAACGGGTAATGGGCGTCTAGTTTCGGTCAGATTTCTCTGCTTATCTTCTCTTTCGTTCATTTTGCTTTTGCAACTGGTTGCTGGTGTTGCACGCGCCGGTTTGGTGTGTTGATTGTCCGAAATGTCGGTGCAACGTGAAAACATAGTGGTGCCTGGTTTTTGCCCCCATAGTTCGACCGGAACTAGTCGCTAGTATCTTTTCACGTTGTGACGCTCATCATCAGAAACAAAAAAAAAATTAGTAGCAGTGTTTTTTTATAATATAATATAAAATTATTAAAAATATGAAATATTGAAAGAGTTGTATATGAATAGAAATATAACAAAATTTTTTATCAGAGAAATGTATAATATCCCAGAAAAATATGCATGAACGATTGATATTGTGTGATCCTAATGTTTTTAATTTTATTATTTTTTTCTCGTAAAAAAACAATTCGGTCCAATAAATTACGCTTTTATCGGAGGCTGTTTTTTTTTTTTTATATGTTGTTCTTGCTGTTGAAATACGATATTAAAGTAGCAGGTGTATGTGCGCAATATCAAAGCAAAACCTCGATTCTGGATGTTCGATCTTCTCAGGTGGCTACCGCAGTTGAACGGCGCGAAGTTTAGCCGGGAGTCATCACCTCTGGCGAAAATCGGCTGCGAGATCACAAAGAGCGCGGCCACCCGGTGGATAACCTTCACGAAGAGTCCGTCACCCAGCCCCATGCCGAGAGCGAATTCCGAGCGACGAGATTCCGTGACGGAACGCGACAGACAAGACGAAGAATCTTGCAAGGACGCGGACATGTCCAAGTGGCAGCCTTCCAGAAAGTTCTCGCCGGTGAAGAACGAGAGAGGTCACCTGCAAAGACAAGGTATACGCAACGTGACGCTCTTTTTATTTGGTTTTCATATATTCGGCTATTTGCGCAGGATATGTGCTACTGATACATTTTACTTTAGACGAGATAGATCTGAGAGATCGCTCCTTGAGCGTCGCCGACGCTACCGAGCGAGCGAACAAGCTGAGCCAACGTATGCGAGATCTGTACGATTTCAAGACGGAGAACGAGTGGCCGAAAAGAGCGGGATCGGCGGGATCCTGCCAGCGGGACAACTCCTGGATCAGCAGTAGCGAGGAGGAGAAACCTAATTATCTCCCGGTTCGCAGAAATAGTCAGGATCTGGAATTCAACGACAGAATTCAGTCGGCATATAAAGTATGATCAGTATCGATACTTATTAAATTATTTTTATTATTGTTATCGATTATTACAAGGTTATGGGTATTGAACTATAAAAGGTCGCGAACGTAATTTCTCTTCCCTTACGTTTTCTCAGTCCAAGGCTCAGCGCGAGGAGGACAGACGAAGACCGAAGCGCAGCACCCACGACGACGAAGACGAGAAGGATGAGCGTCTGCGGAGATTCAACGACAAGCTGCGATACAGCGAGGATCTCGGCAGGGAGGAGCCGCGGGTTCGGCCGCGCGAGCGGCGCACCTATTCGGACGACTACGACGAGAAGGTGCGACGGGAGAGACAATACCGTCTGTCGTCGTTTCGGCCGCCTTCGCCGTTGACGGTGAAGAAAGAGCGGCCGGAACCGCTGGCGATCAAGAGACTGGTGGACAAAGAGAACAAGCGGAATTCGGACGCGAGCGCGAGGTCGCGCGGAAGTTCCGGCGTCAGTTACGTCGAGGTGGACTTCGTGAAGAGAGAGCAGCGCACCAGCGACGTTAGTTACGCGAGCGTGAGCCTCGCCAAGAGAGGAAGCGTCGAGTGCAAAGGCACTCAGAAGATTCTCGAGGTGCCGCCCAGGAGAGCCTTCAGCCAGAGCGACGAGCGTCCGGCCACCCCGATACCGCCGATTGAGTTCAACGACGAGCGATATGTTCCCAAGAAACTACCTTCGGATTCCCCGAAGAGAGACAGCACCAGATACAAGGTGTACCTGACGTAGGGAACGCCTGCGAAGGCAGGCGTTTCGCGAAACGAATGCCGCTTTCGCAGAGCTTTAGATTAGCGTGGACCAAATCGCGGGGAAAAAGTGGAAGTACAAATTCAATATTTATATATAAGTGTGAAAAATCATTAGTACGGAGAGAGAGAAAACCGTGATTTTAATAATTTATAGATGTCAAAAAAAAAAATATACACACACGTTTGTTACGAAATTCGTTGTGCAGCGATACTCGATGTCGATTTTGTGTTGGACACGTTTTTGTCAAGAAAAGGTAAGAACAAATTGAATTTTGAATATAAACGTTTTAAACGAAGAACATACGAATATGGAATTGTTGTCTCTAACTGTTAAACGTTCAGATGTGTTTGATCGTTCAAGTGTTTGATGTGTTCATCGTCAAGTAATATAAAATTGATACAAAAAATAAAAATAAAAAATAAAAAAAAAATAAACACTCGATATACTCTGTTACACTGATAACAGCCCGAGCGGGAGTTTCTAATACACGGTGAAATATATTTGTAACAGAGGTTTACAACAATGAACCGAAAGTTTCCTATTCGTGTTTTTCATGTCACTGTTTTAAAAAGCGCAACTGCGATATAACAAGTAATGTACGAACGATGTAAGATGTGAAATGCATAATAAAATATTCTTTGAGGAATCGCGTGTCGTTCTTGTAAATATGTTATTTCGAGTTTTTACTTTGAAATATTAATAAATATATTCCATTATATCACACGCATAAACACGATATATATCTCCTAACATATGATCGAACATTTGCAGAATTACATCACTATACCTAAGCTCGTAATTTGAATAAAGTGTAAAGATCAGACAATTAATACTTCCACAAGATTAAATTAAAAAAAAAAAAAAAAGAAAAATTATTTTGTATAACAAGATGAAATGTTTATTAAAAATTAGAACAAAGTATAGTTGAGAGACGACTTACGCTATACACTACGAGAGCAAGACAGATGTACAACATTTACAGCAAATTGAGAAATTTTATGTCAAAATTTTACATGATTAAAAATAAAACTTAACTCATCGAGAAATCTATCAAGAAATTATCTAATTTTTGTACGCGCTGCGCGTACCAATTATTGTCAACTACAGCATGAAAGAAACATATTTACACGCGCACGTTGTTGAAGCGAACTAAACCGACGGGTCGATCGTTTTTTATTTGCACAAATCGCCGCGAAAACCCGAGTCTTTTAGGAAAGTGACTTTGACCCTTTTTCTGACCGGCACACTATGTGCGGGTGGTGGCGGGGCTCTGCACTCCCTCGAAACCTGTTCCTCTTCTTCCCGCTCGATTTTGAATCTCTTCTGAGCGCAGCTCGATCCGTTTGATCCTATGCCGTTCGCGATCGGCGTGTTGCTCGTTAAGGACGACGAGGATCCATTAGATACCATGTTGGTGTTTGATGGAACTTGCGGCGATTTTGGAAAACTCGAAGATCGCCCCGTTGAGGAAGAACGTACAAGATTTCCGTTGCTGTTGCTGTGATAATTATAATTATTTATTATTGCTTCAATATTTTTTAGAAACATCTAAGAACATTACAAAATTTTACAAGTTTGCTATTTTACAAATTAAACATCGCTCATGTCTTTCTCTCAATTATTTTGCTAATTACAGTTTTTACTAATTCTATTGTTTGTAGAGACAAATAGTGGCTAAATTACCTGTGAAAGTTGCTTTGAGTAACGACTATGGAAGGTGTGGCGCAGCGTTTTCCACCGGAAATTGTGGCACCGAGCCCGACCGGTGCGATCATCAGCAAATTGTTGTTGCTTTTGTCACACGCCGCGTGCGAGTTGTGTCTTTGCGCGGGATAATTAATGCGAAAGACATGAGAGTTTTCGGCGACGCTCTGATTTTCCTGCTTCAAGAAGGTGATAGCTGGCTTTGTCTGGTACGTAATTGCGGTTTGATTGTTCAAATGCGACTCGCACTTGATGCGCATGTCGTGTTGCTGCATCCCGTTACGATCCTGATCCTTTTGCCATTCCAGAACTTTGCTCAACAAACTTATGTACCTACGAAGGTTAAATCTCAGCGGTGTCTTCAATTTTGCATTTAATTCTATCATTTATTTATTCTACACGACAAGTTTCTTACATCCGTCGTTTTTTTTTATATTAAAAAAAAAACGTCACCTTATCGCCATTCTCAGTATCTCGTTCTTCGACAATTTCTTGTCCGGTGGATGCGTCGGCACCAATTTACGAAGCTCCGCGAAGGCGCCGCTGACGTTCTGCTGCCTCCACCGTTCGCGACTGTTGGTGAACAATTTTCTGACCCCCAAGTTCCCTATACGGGGCGTAGGCGAGCCCAAGTGACCACTGCCAGGCGAAATGCCATCTAGCTAGAGAGATCATCGTAAATTTTATTGAACCGCCACCAATTTCGCGAACAATTCAAAATACTCAAGTTAATTCGATCATCTGTCGGTCCTTTATCAAAAAATTCGAACATTTCGTTAATTTGCTATATTAATTAATAATCAAGAGAAGAACATCCGGACAGTCCAGTTTCACTCACGGAACTGGAACGATCCCGCCGTCGTTTGCTTTGATCCTCCTCCTCGTCCGTGTCGTGGGAATAAAATTCGTCGGAAAGCGTCGCTTCCTCCTCGGTATCCCTCGACGTTCCGGGCGAGTCGCCGGCTTCTTCCGGCAGCTCACCTTCTCCGGACAGTAAAGATCCCGCCGGGGAACCATTTTCCGCCTCTGCAGCTCCCACGCCGCAGCCACTGTACGTTAACATCGGCTGCAATAATTGACAAATACGAACGCACTGAATTTAAAATATCAAAAAACTCCGCTGTCGAACTACTCGTTTTCATTTCGTTGATATTTAGTCTAGAAATGTTTTAAAAGACAAGAATTCGCTAAAATTTTATAACACCTTAACGTTTCAAAAATGTCGCTTTGTGAACACCGGAAATTATTTATTGTCGCTGACTTAAAAAAAAAACGTGACTAAGTATCATTGAGGGAGTCAAACTTAATAACAAAACGCGACTAACGAAACAAGCCAATTACACCCGAGATCTTGTTGACGATCTCGAGTATAATTAGCCTACAAAGAGCTAACAGGAAGTTGATATACTGAGCGTTCTCTCCTCATCTCTGTCCGTGACATTCAGATATGGGACTATTCGGTCTTATCTTCGTGTCGACATTAGTCATGCGTGCATGCGCGCTCGTCGTCGCTTCGCGCGTATCAGTTTTACTTTAAACGAAAAATGAAAGACGTTTCCGCTTAGCTTGTATTTGCGTATTTTCTCTGGCACTTTCACGCGTTAACGCCTTCTAAATTATTCGACGTTGTTTGAAACGTTGATTCCCTCGATGCAACTTTTTTTTTATTTTGTCCACGCAAATATATTGCGAAAACGTTAGCAACGCCAAGAAACTTCTGTGCAACATCGATGAAACGACAAGCACAAAAAGATTTACACGTATCTCTTTTTTAAACAATTTTATATAAATTAAAAAATTCTTTTTTTTTTTCTTTTGCAAAACATGTAACTATTTAAACGGATATATCACATATTTTTTACACGCAAAAATGCACAATCGACGCACTTACACCGGGACACTGTCAAAAGGATTGAGAAAATTTTAATTTTACTTTGAACGCGCACACCGAAAGGCAACCAATACTCACCATGTCGCGCTCAAAGAAATGCCAATAATATTACGAGATTACAAAACGGATCAGCAGTGATCTCTCGAGAGAGAGATCTGGTTCACATCGCGAGTATGATAGAGAGTAACCACCGGCGTTCAAAGAGCGACCGATTTGACTAACACTGGGTCCGGGGTGACCTCCGGGTAAATGAATTTCACGAAGGCGGGGCGCAGGCTTATGGGTGGAGCTCGTATCAGGTCCGTCCCATCCGCGCTCCATCCAGCATCCCTGTATCGACGCCGCTTTGCGAATATCCATCATCTGGCGTATTCAGCAAAAAAAAGAGAGAGAAAATCGCGAGATCGTAACACACGTACACGATTCCTAATGCGAAGATCTTCGATTTTGATAAATTTTTGTACTCGATATAAAGTTTGGAAAGAAAGTTTTTTCGTCTATTTTCACTGAAGTGATTTCACTGAGGTGTGACACATTTTTTAGTAATTGAATAAAAACAACACATTGATGAGTAAAAATGATTTTAAAATATATTTTATAAGTAACAGTTCAATTTGTTTTAATAACAATAAGGCAAGTTACATTTGTTATATAAACTGAGAGAGAAAATTGAAATATAATCGGCAAGAGAATCAAAGTGCCAAAAGTGTAAAATTTATCTCACTTTTAAATTACCAGCGAGTTTTTTTTATATCTGTGATAAATTATACATAATGCCACAAAAAAGGTACGTACTATGAGACACGCGTTGACCAACGAGCGTAGCGCACGTGACCTTTATGAGTCTTTTATTCCGAGATTAAGGTGTCGATATGTTTGAAAAAAAACATGCCAGTTTAGCGACTTTAAATAATACTTATATATTTGAAAATGTTTCAGCATCAATATTTATATAAATTACATAGAAAAAAACATACAAATGTCTGTTCGTATTGCGTATTAAAATTCTTATGATGAATCTTTCTTGGCAAATCGAACATATTTTGTGTAATTATCTATCAACAATTGTTACTCAATGTTTGCAAACAAAACAAATCGGTTTCCATGTTCTTTTGTTTTTTATATGTAGCTCTACATTTAAAAAACTCGCGTTTATTTTCTCTATTTATGAGGAAACAGTACGCAACCAAATGTGTCTATCAAATTTTTCGTCGTTTATCTTATCGCGCCCAACTCGTGTCCTATCGGACACAAAGAACAACCAAAACCTTTTACTGGACCAATCTTCAAACAGATTAATCTTAATCTTGAAAGAGCAACGACAAACCTAGGCGATAAGCAAATTAATTTTCACCAAAAATGATTACACATTCAGAATATTTAAAAAGATTAAAATGCGTCAGTCATTTGGAAAGATTCAGATAAAATCCTTGCATACTGCTACTCGAAACCAAACCAAGTCCCACGCAGATTGGCTCGTAATGGCGCTCGAATGAGCATCAAACTTGATACGATCGCCTAATCTCGTTCCCGACGATGACACCTCGACGCATTCTGCTGGAAAATCTGCAGCACCCTCCCGAGGTGTCATAATAAAAACAACCCGTAGCTGGTGGCCACTTGACGACGGGGGGTAGCCGTTCTCTCACCCTTAATGTATACTAAGCAGGGCTCTCGTTTTTTTTATGCTCCTCGAATTGCGGGGATCCGCCTAATCGAAAGTTGATTGTTTGGGAAAAATCCTCGCGACTGTGCGTCCCGTTCAATTTTGCGTAGAAAATTTTCACCAATGTAACAGTGCAGTTTTTATTGTTTCTTTTTAAAGATCAAAATTTTGTACAAAATATAAGCAATAATTTTAAACTATTTAATTATTTTTTTTACAACTCGATCACTCAATTGTTTATGTTGTCACACACACGTACATGAATAAACATTGTAAAACACATTGTTTAATAAAAAAAAATAAACAAAGTTCACAATGTAGATATGAAAAATAATTTTTTAACAAAAGATTATTTTTTCATAGACCAGAAAATTTTTGCAAAATAGGCAGTCCCACCAAGTCCCATTACGGGAATCGATAAAAAAGAACCCCTGGTTGTGCCGCACATCAAATTTAATAGGGGATATTTTGTAGCGGTTTCCCACAGGCCGACGACTCGCGGCCCAATTTGCGCGTGCCAATGAATAAGAATAAGGTATTAATATATCGCCACCGCCGCACGCGAGATGGACTTATTACGTGATTGTTATCAACCGTTGGGTCTTTGGATCTCCGTCGGTTTTCAGATAAAAATCTAGAGTATCGTTAAGATCGACGATCTATTCGGAAAATTTGCGTCAATATAACGCGACAGAGGTTTGCAAGAGTTTTCACAAATAAATTTATCGTGCGTCGATTTAAACATATCACATATCAGATATTTCTCCGGATTAGAACAAGGCGGAAAAAAAAACTGTCGACGAAGATTAATTACGAAGACGGTGTAGCGTAACTGTTAATTAAGCGTCGAGGTAATCTTTCCACTTTACGGCATCTTAAAAATTAATCTTTCGTCGATTTGTCCGTTTAATCCTCGAGATTAATACCTCACGCCCGTTGCCAGGGCCTCCAACAACTTGACCCTACGATTCTACGAGCATGAGGAGGAAGAGGAGAGGGATGACTGTCGCTTGAGAGGGCTGGAGGGCGGAGCGTCCCTTATCAGCAGCGAACACTCGCGCAGCCTCCGTCTCCTCCGTTTCAGTAGCGCGTTTCTGCCGGAGATCTCACCAGCACTTTCACTTGTACATGAGTGTCACCTTTAGATAGCTATCTCGAAATATTGTTTCCTTGTTTGCGTCGACTATACATCAAGTGATTTGTTGTTTAGACTTGCGTCATTGCGTCGCGAAAAAAACGTTAGTCGTCATTTTTCAAAACGATAATAAAAGACGTTCATAAAATTAATGTCAAAAGCCAACTGAATCTAATTTAAGTTCCGAGAATTTTAAGTAAATTTATTTCTTTTTTTTTTTAATCGTGTTACACAACACGGAAGGGATTTTTGTGTAACTCCGGTTTGACAGAATGTGACAATCGATCTTTAAAAAAAAAAAAAAAACGGAATTAAATCGCATCCCGAATGGGTTAAACTAAGTGTTCTCTATCGGGCACGCGTGAGGGGTCTCGCCGGGGTGTGTCGATGAGGGAGAGAGGCGTGTCGCCTGGTTTTGCGCAGCGTCCCATGAACGTCAATGCGCTCGTCCCCGACGCGGCATCCCCTTTGGATGCTGGGGGGGTTGCGAGAGGATGCGAAGGGTGAAATCAATTTTCGTTATCGCCGTCAACCAGCCGCTCCGCGCTAATCCCATTATTAGTGTTTGTTTTCCACGTGTGTGACACTCGACATATCGAACACTTCGAAACTGCGCGCGTGCGTATCTGGTAGCGAAGCATTTAAAATGAAACTCGTCACGTCTGTGTACAACCAGGGATGGACAAAATTGAAATTACTTTGGCGTGCGAATTGCTTTATTTCTCAGTTGCACACAATTCAACAAATTCAATTGTATCGTTCGACATTGCGCGCTTTAACAAAAACATTAATCGATTATCAATTAATCGATATATTGTTCATTAGCCTTAACGATTATTCTCGGGAATTGCGTCGGGAACGCAATCACATCTCACTCAAGATACATATCGCGATCTCACGTACAAGTGCGCGCGTCAATTGTTTGTACGAATCTCGCACAAAAAATAATCCTAGAGTATTTGTAACAGCCATATGTAGCGAGGAATATAATCTCGACGCCAGTCTTATAACAGACCAGAATAGATCTAGCAGAGGTACGAGTTTTCTTCAAGACATTTTTCTTATTAAAAATATAGAGCGCTCTATTACTCGGTTTCGCTTATCACACGATATTCGGAAACATCGAAATCATAGCGCTTTCTCGACTCAGACAATAATTTCGGAGATTTCAGTAAATGAAGTGTTACCACTGCACCGCGTAAAGTAACACGTACGAGCGGATTTGATAAACGAGATACTATTAATCGAGTCGGTACAGAACACAAAAATACTGTCGATCTTGCTGTGGTACAATCGCGATCTGTCATTAATTGAAGGCGAAGCAGAGGATCAACACAGGTACCATAATTACGCAGATTACGTAAATCGCCGTTCTTGGCTCGCACGTTGACATCACGATGTACTCCTCGTTCCACTGCGAATCGTTGCCGCTCACCGGCAGCTCGAGTATCGTCTTCTCGTTGCTGAAGATACTAAACGGTAACGAGCACTCCGTCGTGCTGTTCTTGCATGTGTGCACGGGATTCGAGGTGTCGTAAACGGTCTTTAGAAGATCGAATCTCACTCTCACGTAATTCGGCTGGATCTCGTTCTCCGAATTGAACACGAAGAAGTAATATCCGTTCAAGGGCACTCTACGATCACAGAGTGTGACAAGATTTAATAGAAAATTACAAACATATTAATTAATTATTTATATTAATCCAAAACAATTAAATGTGAGTGACAATCGCCGCTCTCGTCGACTACCTGTACGTAACGGTATTGGCGAAGGATGCCGCGGAATGATCGTTTTCGTGTTTCGGCGTGCAATGACGATGCGGGGTCAGTGGTAGATTCAGGATGAGACCTTTGCACTCGAGCAGCCGCTCCTCGGAACTGCTGAACGAGCTCCAGAACTCGGAATTGCTTCTGTCGTTCAGGGACGTTTCGTTCACGCTCCCTCTGTCTTCCGCAATGCCGTCTGGATGTAACACACCCTGACGAATGTGTAAGGAATCACAAGTTTAAATTTTACACGTTCTTATCATCAGTTAAATACTCCAATGTAGTTTTCTCTCAACGCGACCTCTGTATCTTTCAAATTGTTTACAGTCTGGTCTTCAATATCTATAGTTTAGAGTCTTCAGATAACAATTGAGGAAGAAGCGATATTTTTTGTTGTTTGCAGATAATTGCTTGAGAGATAATCGCGTTGTCGTTTATTAAAATGTTCTCATTCTTTGATAAAAGAAATCAAACACGCGACGGAAAGATCCGGACATATCCGGATCTTCGAACGGCGGTGATTAATCTTTAATTGTGCGAATATAAACGCGATCTAGGGCATTATACATGTATCCACTCGATAAGTTGCATGGCAAACAGAACCCCGTTATCGTTTTAATGAAGGACAATGCGTTATCAATAATTGAGATAACGTCGTTTGCGCGTGCCGAGGTGATAGTCACGCGCATTGTTTTGAGAACAACTAATTCTTTGACGAAACTTTGAAATTTATCTTTTAATTCGCAATAAGTTTTTTCAACTATATAATTGGGAAATAACTACCTCTTCTATCGCTGCATCGGCGTCTTCATCGTCTTCCGTCAGTTCTCGATGAATCGGCGACGACAGCACGAGATCTCGTCTTCTTCTCCGTTTATCTCGCTCTGATAATGTCTTATCGTTCATCGTTTCGTTCACCAATCGTTTCAACGCGAAACCTTCGGCGTCGTTGATCGCGTCAATCTCGTCCATCAATTTGCGCAACATCTGCCTACCGCGATTGCCCAGGGAATTGATTTTCCGCAGGACATCTTGAAATTGGACTTCTGCGGAATTCGCACGATCGGTTTTTGACTCTTCTTGTTCTTTCACAATTTCCGATTGCGTGCTGGTTTCTATTTGCACGTCGGATGTCGCGTTGCGTTCTTCTTCATTGTGTTGTTTCATCTCGGGAGAAGATATTTGTTCAGTAGATACGTTCAGAGTTGGTGACGTGGATCTGAAAAAAAACAAACAATTATAAAAAAATCGAGATATGAGAAAAGAGGACAACAATTAAAAATAAATAAAGTTTCAAAATTGAGAAAAACAGGTTTTAATTTTTGTTCTAAAATACATTAGCTATAAAGATGTTGCTTTTAAGAAAAAAAATATAACGTACGTTATATTATGCTTCGATATTTCTTTGTTGTCAAATTTGTCTGTTAGCTCTTCACGAAATAGATTTTTCAGACTATCAACGTAATTTGTGACAGGCGGTTTGTCAATATTGACGGCGTCTCTGAAAACGGCTTCGTAATGATGATGAGGATTTTCCTTTTGCTTCTTTTTCGTATCCTGAGTCTTGACGAAGAGTTGAGTGAGTATGTTGCGCATCGCCTGAGGATCTAGTTCGTTACTGTTTGAATGATGCCCGGACAATTGGTCCGAAGTGTTTTGACGAAAGACGTTGCCTTCGTGATGGAAATGTACGTTCTGACCCGCCCGCCTCATCTTTTCGGGTATATTGCTGGGACGATCTGCCTGCACACAATTGAAAACAAATTGCACTTCACTTTCCTAACTAGAAGAAAAATAGTCAAACAGATGAAGAAAACACATACTTCCGTTCTCTTATCGAGAAGACCTTTCTCCTCGGCGACTTCAAGAAGCTCTTCGAGTTCCTCACTACTGTCGTCTCCGATGAAGGCGCATTCGTGCAGGTTCTTGTGTCCACGAATTATTGTCAAAGAAGCACCTGGCCATCTTCAAATAATAAAATACTCACTACTCGTAATTACTTAAAAGCGTAATTAATTTGTTTTGGAGGCCCGACGTTCGATAAACTCGCTTGAAAAAAAACTCGAGTCGGAAAAAATTCTAAGGTTGCTTCGAACTCGCAACCATTGAACTAAGGTCGCGAGATCGTTGGTCAAGCGATCGGCATTATTTTAGTTTGCAAAAAATGAGAAAATAATCCTAAAATCTTTTTTGCCATCGGCGAGCCCTCATTTTTATCATTCTACCTTACACAAGTTGAAACAGTGACGCTGCTACCACGTAGGAGGTAAAATCCCCAATACTCCTTCATGTCGTCCTCCATGACCAGGTGTCTCGTCATCGATATGGGCTTCGTTTCCTTTTCGACCGCGGGCTCGCTGCTCATCAGATACGCATTGAACGTGGTGTTAACTCTAATTATCTGACTCTGCAAACGATATGTGTGATTTGTTAAAATTATTAAAAACAATACACGCGGAAAGATAAAAGAAAACTCGTCAGGATTAAGATGATATAACAATCAAAAAAATATCTCACTTGGCACCAAGTGGTGGATACTCTGGCATCGACTAATCTCTGATCCGATACCGCCAAAGGGTATAACTGGTCCGAGTACACGCGGTATCGCAGGTAAAGTGGTCCAGCGACAAGCATGGCCGGCAGAAACATCCCCAGCAAACATAATCGCAGCAATCTCAGAGGTACCTTGTAATTCGACTTTCGAGGCCGCCAGTCTCGAGGACGAATGCCGTCCTCTGTATGAAAATTGTCAGATAAAATATTTATAATTTACAAAAAGAGAAATAAGAAAACAAATTTTTTATTTTTCTGTATATTTTCTCACTATTATTGTTTTATATAACATTTTATTACTATCATTATTATAACATTTTTTTTATCACTTATAACATTTCTTACATCAACATAACAAAACAAATTTTTTTTGTAATCGATCGAGATTAGTCAGAAATAGACGTCTAAAATAAAAGAGTCTATAGACTGATTCCTTCGATACGGAACGCAGCATGCATCACAAAAAATAGAAAGACACAGTTCTTTATCATTCATTATCTTCGACAACAAATCGAGATACGCCTTTGCTTTCACATGTGTACACACACGCAGAAAACAGCGGAAAGTTCCTTCAGAATCTTTGAAATTTCAATATCCAACGTCGAAATCGCGAGCTTAGCATTTTACGAGTTCTCTCTCGCATTGCGTATTGACACGCAAATAATCGGGTTTAAAGAAAATCTTATCGCATGTGTCATGTAATAACCGTATGTAATCTGAATTTCGCGATTGATAATACATTTGACGGAGCAACTCGTGAATTCTGCGTCTCGAAAACAAGCCGCAATAAAATTTACGAGGTCGTAAAAGTAACTTCTATAAACGAAGTATTTCCGAAAACTTTTATCTCGTCGGAAATAAAGTGAGACAATCTTCGAGCAAGAACATCTTCGGCTGTCCAAAATATATTGTGGCGCTGCATCGTGTGTAAATAAAAAAATTACGCGAGCAATGTTTATCACACTCCGCGCGATAACTCGTCAAAAAAACATGAGAACCTTCTCTGCGACGAACTTTATTTAGAGGAGAGACACGTGCGAGAGCGGAGACAAAACGCAGATTACGCATATATGTATAGCGGTTTTGCGAGAATTCGTGGAACACGCGAATATCGCGCCAGATTCTCGCTCGTGACATCGAGCTCGTTAATCGATAGGTCGTCCGGTCTCACCTTTGTCTCAAGACGTTGATTAGCATTCGCGGAATAACGTTTTCTATAACAGATAGCTCTCTTATCAGCGGTATCTTTTTTTTCTTTACGAGCGACGTGGAATAAAAAAAAACAAAATCATTATACGCGAGACGTTAGAAAGCGCAGTAAAATCAGAAAGCGCATAAAAATCAGAAAGGTTAATTCGTATCGTATCTTATCGAGAAACATATGACAGTTCATCGAGGTTGGTTAAGTAAGTTCATTGCTCTGACTTCGTTAAGACGCACGCAACTCGTCTTCACACACCTCGCACACATTGGTCCATCGAAGACGTGCCATTTTTCTCGAAAATACGCAGCGATTTAAAAAAAAGAACAAAATTAATTTTGCCGATAAATAATCTGACGCGTGTTAAAACGCAATTGAGATTTTTCTTTATTTACAGAGATAAGCGACTCTTCTTCCGCTTTCTCAGTGTTTTATCATAAAAAAAAAAGCTACACGAGGAAATATTCATCGACATGTATATATTGCGTTGCGCTTTGTTTACGGAAAGAAAAGATTCGCAATATCGCGTAGAAATGTGCATTATACGTGCACGCGCGGCTGAAAATCGCAATTCGTGCCAACCAAGTCGGGTACGTAAAAATAAAACCACTTTGTCTCGCCCTCGTGGGAAGAGGACTCGCGCTGTGTCTCGGTAGCATTACGTGCGATTAAATGAACCACATCAAAGAAGAACGCGCGATTAGAGAGGAGAGTGCGGTCTTTTTGATGACAGCATTTTCTCTTGTCGCGCCGCGTGACGCGACTGGCGAACGATCGAACGTTACGATTATTGTATCTGCATTTTTTTTTTTTTTTATTGAAACCAATATCGCTCGTATTACGTTTTACATCGCAATTGGAGAATGTGTTTTTTTTTTTTTTTGTCCGCGCGTTTCACTTTATTTTAATTATGATGTTTTTTTGTCTTTTAAACACTAAAACTTACTGATTAAACGTAAAAAGAAACGCGTTTACAATTTCCTTCGGAGAAAGACAAGTGTCATATTATACACACGTGCAATTTTCTGCGCAGGATGCAATAATAATAATCTTCGTTCAAAGTGCAATCGAAAAACAAACGATGCAACTGTGTGTTTGCTAATTTCCGATGCTTCCTTTATGCGTCGCAAAACGGACGCATCATCATTCATTGCTAATGATAATAATAATCGGAACGTGCGACAATGCGTGAAGTGTAACAACAAATTCAGATTGCTTCCTACCAAGTGTATCGATTTTCAAAGGTGTCGTAGACATTCTCTTCGAAGGATCGCGACATAGACACCCTCGCTCACAGGATACAAGTCACAACCTTGTCTCCTCTTATCCAGTCAAACGCGCGTAAATGAAAATTTTTTAACACTTTTTTAGAAAATATATATTATATTTATTCTGCGATACTGACACTTTACGCTGCCGATTATGTTATATAATATCACACACTGTAGACATGCAAACCGTTTTTTAAATTTTAATTTTTCATTATTTCACGCACGCGCTCGATTAACACAGCAAGGAACTTTTGAGAAATTTAATGTTTCTTCGGACTCTAAGATGTGCATACTTGAATTTCGAAACAATAAACGATCTCTTTAGAAAGAACGATCTCTTTTGTCTTTTACATTAAATTCAGTTTAAAAAACATATATATCTCGTTGCACACTGAGACACAATGATTCAAATCTCGACGTTAAGTTGAAACGCGTGATGCGTATCAGTCGCCGTCAACAGATCGACTGAATCTGCAACGAACGAGCATGCTATACTTTGTATCAACGCCTTATCGCGGTTAAATGCGGATTAAAGAAGTCGCGATCGGCAGCCGCCTACTTACACAAGACACGCTGTTCTCACAGGGAACACATGATGACGCGTGTACGGTCATCGGCAAGAGAGAGAGAGCAATGTACCTGCTTTTCAAAATAAATTCTAGGTTCTTAATCATCGGTTTCCGCTTCTTTCTCTCTCTCTCTCTCTTTCTCACTTCTGTACTCGGTAACCGCGTTATTGGCAATAAGCGAGTAAGTCGACAATCTCGCCGCGCGTAAGACACAGCACGTGATGATAAGACTGTAGTTGAAGATAAATGCGCTGTGGAATTATTTAATTGCAAATATACATAACATATATATAGTTTGCGCCGAGAAGGTAAATTTACAAAGACATTGTTTTGTCGCGTTTCCAAGAGATTCACACAAAATACAATCTCTCTGATACTGTTTTTTTTTTTTTATCAAAAAAATATATTTTACACGCCGCAGAAGAGTATTTTTATATACAAAGACTGTTTTTATATACAACTTTTGTATACGCTCTCTAAACACTTGATCATGCAATTTAATAATAATTATATAATTAATCATATTTAATTTTAAATTACATAATTGAATTATATAATTGAATACACATATCACTTATGACGAGGAGAAGTTTTGTTACTCTTTTCGTCTTTGGACTTGTAGGACTTTTCACCCCTTCGTCGTTTGTTCAACGGATTTCTAGGGTCGTAAATTTCGAACCAATCGTCGTTCTTCGTGCTGGCATCTTTGGCAAGCACCGGCGCTTTCTCCTCGCAATGCAAAGCATGCGCCATCCAAGAATCGTCGTGCGGATCGTCCTCCTCGTTGTCATCTTCGGACGTTTTCTTTGAATCCGCGCTCTCCTTCGTCTGGCTTCTGGCGGTTTGAAGTTTACTTTTAAACTTGTTCAACAGATCCATCGTGAAATCCTCGCGCGTTTTGCCTTTTTTAGGCAAGTTTGTATTTTTTGCTTTGTACTTTTCCTGAGTCTCTATGAATTCCTTCATAAGTCCGGACTTCTTGTTTTCTTCCTTCTCGGCTTGCTGTTTTTTCTCTGCCTCCTTCGCTTTCTTCTCGTTCTGCACATCGCGCTTCAGTTCGCGTATCTCTTTCCTAATTTCTTCGCTGTGCATAAAATATTTTTGTTACAATTATGTATTTAATACGTATAACACGCATATAGTAAATATAAAATAAATGTCGCATACGCTTTTCTCTTTCGTTCGTCGTCTCGATCTTTTCCCAAGTAATATTCCTCGATCTCACCGTCTTCGTTCACGTTAATTTTCACGTCAGCGTTTTCGGTGTTTGGCTTTGATTGGGAAATATTTTTAGAATCTTTCAATTTATTTTTTATCCTCTCCTTCATAGCTCTATTGTTTTCAATACAAGTATGTTAATTTTGTAAAAACTACTTTGCATTATATTTATTTGTTCACAAGTAACTTACTCCTTTTCTTTTGCCAAAGCGGCCAACTCTTCCGGAGTGCGTGTCTCGTCATCGTCACTCTCCCAGTCGCTGCTCCGATCTTCCTTTATTTTTTTACTTGGCGGCCCGGCAGGCTCGACCGTTTCCGAGCTCAACTTGGGATCAGACAAGCAATCGTGTGCCGATTTGCCTTTGCCGCTATATTGTTTGTTTAATACTGACGACTCCTCCTCATCTTCCTCGGCTTCTTCCCCGAATGACAGTAATTTAAAATTCCTGATATTGTATAATTGATAGATGTAAAATATATAAATGTGTTAAATAAACCAGTATATAAATAATCTGTGCGTTGATCTTACTTTACACCGGTTTTTTTATCTTTCTTGCTCTCCTTATCTTCCTTCTTTTTAGATATTGTTCTTGGAACAATATCTTGGAATGGATTGTTCAAGACTTCTGTTTTCAAAATTTTCTGTGGATACTCGGGTCTTTCATTCTGAAATCAAACGTATCGCTTATAAATTATCTACCTTTATATACACCGATAGAATATACATAAAAATGTCAAATATATTTACCTCATCTATAATTGCCTCTTCCAACTTAAGCATATTGTAAATTGTTTCTCCGGTGACTTTGCCAAAGATGGTATGTTTATTTTGTAACTCGGGCGTAGAACCGAGAGTAAAGAAAAATTGCGAACCATTATCATCCTTGCCGGCATTGGCCATAGCGAGCAAACCTCTCCGACAAAATCGCAATCTTGTGTGAAATTCATCCTAAATATGTTAAAGACAATTGTTAAATTACAATTGAAAACAAAAAGCAGAGTTGAATTAATCCAATCAATAATCATACTTTGAAGGGATGACCATATATGCTCTCGCCACCTTCTCCTGTTCCTGTTGGGTCTCCACCTTGCACTATGAAGCCCTTTACAACTCTGTGAAATATCGTGTTGTTGTAATAGCCTTCCATGCAAAGCTGTATAAAATTCTTGCATGCTTTGGGCGCTTCCTTGGTCCATAACTCTAGATCTATATCACCTACTGTTGTTTTCATCAACACCTGTTTAGAGAGATGAGAAAAATAAATACATTAAGAGAGACTGTAATGATAGCTACTCCATAACTGTTTATTTGTCATAATAACATATACGTCATACAAAATTTACACACAAAATTCAACATGTGGCGAAGAAAACACGTTACATTCTCTTTGATTTAGTTTCTCTTTTGTTTTTAGTATAAACGTAACTTTTTACGTATAAAACAATTCTAGCGCATTTTTCTTTAGTAGATAAAATAATTATTTACACTTACTTTGCCGGTTGTAGGCGGTTCTTGTATATAAATGTTACTCATGTTTATAACCTCTCTTTCACATTGAAGTTCACAAAAACGAGAGATATAAACACGTCTACGGAGCAAGCAGTGCGTACATGTTATAGTTCTTTGACTTTTCAACAGATGGCTGGTGTTTTCCAGTGCGACCTTGGCGACCTTGCAATCAGCTGTTTTTGACACTGTTCTGGTGACATTTAAAAACTGAGAACATAAGAAAGATGATAAATGACTATCCGTACAGTATCAATTAGAAAACTTTTAATTAATTATAATATACACATGTAAAGTAATATACAAAGAACATGAGTTTAAAAAATCGTGCATTTAAAACTCCAAGACATATCGTCGTATTGATAAAACGAATGGTATCCAAGATACTTGATTCCGAGTCTCTTTGTGCAAGCAGAAGAGATTAATATCTTACAGTTGTGCCTCGAATTTATTTTTAATGGATTATTTAATTTCTCTCTTGTTCGATATTTTTTATAAAATATATAATATATTGTAAAAAACAAAATCCAGTAAAATATCTCATAAAAATATACAAACATGGCCTGTGACACCTCGGAATCAACGCTTGTAGTGTCCGAGTGTTCGAGTTTCAATTTTTCGAAACGGATTAAACTGAAAGATTACATAAGGAGCATCAATGTTTCCGAATTTTCCGGGGAATGGGAGAGAAATATTCTCAATTTGATTTCTTGCGGAGACAAACGCAAACACTCTTCTTTCATAAAATCCGTACTGAACGAGATAAAAAACATGTACATTGAGAACATGAAGAACTTTGTATTGACATCGACGTTGTCCTGCGAAGTGTACAAGAGACAACCCGTTCCCTGCGAGGAGTGCAACGTTTTGTCCAGCTTGAGGCAAAACGTTATCAAGGACTACGGCGCTACGTACGATCACGCGATATTTTTGAAACGTCGTCGTTCGCTCGCCGCGAGATACTTCCTGTCTTTCTCGATAATCAGACACGTCATGAACACGGCGCATCGAGTCCTGCCAACGGTGATTTGCGACTTTCGACGTTACCGCGACCTCGGAATGCTGACGTTGCGCGATTTTCGAGAGACGATTCTCAAAGACATCAAGAGAGGCACCGTGACGATCACCAATAAATTTTACACGGAAACGTACAGAGCCGTAGAAAAGTCGAGAGCGTTGAAAATGATCTCGAGAAAGCGACTGCCGCAACTTATGAAGTGCCTGACAAACGTGTTCGTTCAGCAAATCCTGAACGTGATGATGAGATCGATCGATCACGTGATACACGTGATGAGAGACGAGCGTTATTGTCCTCAGATCGAATTCCAATTGACGTGCAAAGACGATCGGCTAACGACCGAGCCGGACGTGGAAGAGGTGTTCTCGACGTATCACGACATCATCAGGAACATCGGAGGAATTGCGCAGGATCTGATGCCCCTGGAGGAGTGGTTGGACGTCAGGGTGAAGGAAAGGTACATAAAGATTTCGCTTCCCGAATGGTTCGTGGAAAGTTCTCACCGCAGCTTGCAGGAGATACTCGACGCTCTGTTTCAGCCGGTGAACGAGCACGTGGAGTCCGTCTCCGCGGAGTTCAGCAGCGTGTACACATCGAGCGCCCGGAAGAGAATATCGTCCTTGATTTCCAAACAGCCGGACTTCGACGCGTATCTCGCGCACATATACAGATACAACGAGTACCTCGGGAAAGCAAACCTCATGCTTTCCAATCTGTATTACAAAGTCGGCAAGTTGCAGCAGAACAGCGCCAGAGAGTCTCTGAAGCAGATCTGCCGCGACGTCGTTAGCGTTCTCACGACAAAGCTCGTGAATTACCATCAGGAATTCAATCGTTCGATCTGTTCGGAGTTTGAGGATCTGAAATCGACCGCGCTGGACGTGCGGAAGGACGCGGAGTCCCTGATACAGTTGGCGGAGTACATGTCGCGAGCCTTGAAGGTGCTGATGAAGGAGCTCGAGCAGAAGATACAACGTTCGATCTACATGCTGAGCAAACTGACAGAAATCACAATACTAACCGACGAGCACGTGGATTTAAACAGAACCACTATCAACTGGCTGCACGACATTCAGCCAGTGTTCTCGCAGAACAACACCCTGTGCGAGGCGATGAAGAGCGAACTGGAGGAGGATCTTCAGCGTAGAATAAATACACTGAATTCGGAGGTGGACGCGATGTTCCCGCAACTCGTCATACTGGATGACATGGACGACATAAACAGAGTCGGGGAATACGCGGAGCATTACAAGAGCCTGATGAAGAAGTACAAACGATTAGACGACGAGATGGTGGTTATTAATTCGGAGGAGATGCTCTTCAAGTTTCCCGAAACGGAGTTTCCGAAGATAATCGAACTGAAGGAGACGATCGTGCCGTTTTACACGCTCATTCGCGTCATCTGTCAGTGGAAGAGGGACCACTCGGTGTGGCTGAACGGTCCGTTCGAGTGCTTGGACGCTTCCGTGATCGAGAGAAAGATCGCTTACTACCACAACGAGATCACGGAAATGAGCAAGAGCATGAAGGCGCGCATCAAGATGGACGCGACCTCGAACAAGGCCTACAAGTTCTCCGGCATCGCCGACGATCCCGATCCGATGCAGCAACCGGCGCCTTTGAGACTGTGCTGGCAAGCGCTGAACAACGTCAACGAGTTCAAGGTTTACCTGCCGCTCGCGGTCTGCATGTGCAATTCGGCTCTGAACGCGCGCCACTGGAAAGAGATGTCCGCGATCTGCAACTTCGATCTCACGCCGAATGCCGGAACAACTCTGAGGAAGATGATCGATATGAATCTGATGGACAATATCGACAAGTACAAAGCTATAAGCCTGGGCGCCACCAAGGAGCTTCGCCTTCAGCGAGAACTCGCGGAGATGACGAGGGAGTGGGAACCGATTTCGTTCGAGATGTCGAGGGACGAGGAATCCGGAATGATGGTTTTCAAACACGCGAACGACATCGAAGCGCTTCTGCGAGAGCATCTCATCAGAATTGAGGAGATGAGAGCGTCTCACTTCGTGAGACCAATACTGAAAAGCGTTGTCGATTTTTTCGACGTGCTCTCGACGATTCAGGAAATCTTCGATCAATGGACGCGCGTTCAATTTCGCAAACTCCGCTTGGAGCCGATATTTTCTTACCGGCGAATAGAAATCCGTCTGAATCGAGAGACTTCGTTGTACTTGGAAGCGACGGAAATCTTGTCGGAGATCAGCAACAGATTCGCGGGCAATTCGACTTTCGAGAGAATCAAGAAATCGCCGGATTTGTTGGAAATTCTAAACGAAGCTAACAAAAAATTGGAAGAAGCGGCCAGAGGTGTGAAGAATTACTTGGACGTTAAAAAGTTGTCTTTCTCAAGATTCTTCTTTCTCGAAGATTTGGAGATTCAACAGATATTATTCGAATCGACTGACGTGGCGAAACAGCACGCGCTCGTGAAGAAATGTTTTGCCGGCGTGGAACGATTGAAGTTTGACAAATCTAATCGCTTACGGGGCGTCGTTGGATCCTACGGAGAAATCGTACGTTTAAACGGTAATATTTCCGTATCAACTGACAACGAGCGCGAGGAGCAATGGCTGATTCAACTCGAGAAAGAACTGCGAGAGGCGGTTCGTCAGAATATTTTGCGACATCAAATTTTAATTAACGAAAATTTGACGTTTGACGAATCTATTGACGATTTTCCGAGTATGACGATAGTTTGCGGTCTGCAGCTTTATTGGACCTCGTCGGTGGAAAAATGTTTCACCGCGCAGCAAGGCGCGGCGACGTTAGATTCTCTGAGCGTAACGTACGCCAATCGAATAAACTCAGCAGTGAGAGAACTGAAAGGTAAATTAACGCGGAGACGCAGAAATTTGTTGACGTCGCTAATCGTCATCGCGTCGACTCACAGAGAGATCGTGAGGTTGCTGCTGGACAAAGGCGCCGCCGAACGAACGGACTTCGATTGGATCGCGCAATTGCGATATTATCGAAACGACGAGAACGTCGAGGTGTCAACGTTCGACGCGACGATCGAATACGGTTACGAGTACAATTATTATCGCCAGAACATCGTCAACACACCCTTGACCGACAGATGCTTTCGCACTGTTCTGCAGGCTTATCGGTATCACTTGTACGGCGCTGTTGTAGGTCCGACGAGCACCGGCAAGACGGAAACGATCAAAAGCCTGACGGCCGCACTCGCGAAACTGTTCCGCGTCGTCAGCTGCGGCAACGGCGTTTCTCACAACCGCATGATGCAAATATTCAAAGGGGTGATCTCGTGCGGAGCGTGGATCTGTCTCGAGAACCTGGACGGTTTGAGAGCGGAACTGCTGTCGGCTATCGCTCAGAATCTTACCCAAATGAGACAAGCGGTGTCGTCGAAATTGAAGACCGTGAATTTCGAAGGCTGCGATTTGAACCTGAACGCAACCGGAAACATATGCGTCACCGTCGATCCATCAAAGCAATTCGGCCGCGTCGATCTGCCGGACAATTTGAAGATCTTCTTCCGCACGGTGTCCATGACGGCGCCGGACGTCGACAAGATCGCTGAGATCGAACTCTTCGCCGGTGGGTTTCTTTGTGCGAAAGATCTGGCGACAACAGTGACCTTAAGCTACAAGCTGTTATCCGAATATCTGGGAAACAATCGCCAATACAACTTCAGCGCGTCGTCGCTGAAGACCGTTGTCGCGACCGCGATCAGTATGAGGCAAACGTTTCCGGACGAAGACGAACACACGCTGATGCTACGCTCGATGATAGACGTCAATATTCCACAACTGCGCAACGTCGACGTGCCCATTTTTCAGAGCATCGTGCGGGATGTCTTTCCCGAACCCGTCAAGCTCCGTTTCGACTGCGCGGACATCTCGAACGCTCTTGAAAACGTGTGCGCGAAGAGGTGTTTGACACTGCATTCGACCTTTAAACTGAAAGCCATACAAATCGTCGAGCTGATGTACGTTCGTCGCGGTCTCGTGCTCGTCGGTGAACCTCTGGTCGGAAAGACGGAAATCTTGCGCACACTCGCCGAGACGTTGTCGTTCTTGCGCGATGAAAAATCTAAAATTGGCGCTGCGGTGAGACTCGAGACGATCACGCCGGGAGTGATTGACAGCAACGCGCTGTTCGGTCGTTTCTGCGACGAGTCCGGCGACTGGAAGGACGGATTTTGCACCTCGATTATCCGTCGCTTTGCGAAAGACAGTTCGACGGATCGCAAGTGGCTGGTGTTCGATGGAACTCTGAGCGACACGTGGATAGAAAACTTGTACACGACTCTGGACGAGAACAAGATGCTGCACCTGGCGTCTGGAGAACGACTTCCGGTGAGAGAATCAACGTCTATCGTGTTTGAAACAACCAGCGCGACAGAAATCTCACCTAGCATAATATCTCGCTGCGGAATAATCTACATCGACTCGCTGTCTATCGGCTGGAGACCGTACGCGCTGTCTCACATCACGAAACACAGTATTTACGACGGTCACGAGGAAGTTCTGCGCGCGATGTTCGACTGGGCGATGGAACCCTGTTTGAATTTTTTGAAAGAAAGCGGCGACGTGCGGGCGAGTCGGGAATTGCATCTCGTCACGTCAACTCTAAATTTGTTCGAGATGTTAATGAGAGAAGCCAGGGAAGACGCCGCGAAGGACGAGAAGAAGGACAGTCACTTTGTCGTTTGGGCCCAAGCGGCTTTAATTCTGGCTCTCGTTTGGGGATTAGGCGAGAATCTAATTGACGATTCCCAGACTCGATTCAACGCTTTCTGCGTGTCGCTGTGGAACGGCACGGACACGACACGTCCGAAACCCGATGCGATCAAACAGTTCGACGTGACGTTGCCCAGCGAGGGTTTGATTCAGGACAATTTCTACATCTTTCAGGGCGTTGGAAACTGGAAACACTGGGCCGATCTACTGAAACACGAAAAGATCCCCGAAGTATGCGATTCCAGTTCGATTTTCATCCCGAACGTTAGTAGCATGAAATACAATCACATGTTCTTGAAACACGTTAAGTACCGGAAGCCTTTTCTCTTGTACGGCGACGTAGCCGTCGGAAAGTCATGTCTCATGCGCGATCTTCTGAACGACAAACTACCGGAAAACTGTCTCTCCAACTATTTTAGCTTTACTTCTATGATTTCCGTGTGCAGAACGCGGAGATTGTTGTTGTCAAAATTGAACAAAATACGACGCACCGAGTACGGGCCAGGAAAAAATCAGTTCTGCGTGAACTTCGTCGACGACGTGAACACGGGAACCTTGCAAAGACCGGGAACGCAATGCGTGTTCGAACTGTTGCGCCAACTTCTCAGCTACAATTACTGCTACGACGAGAACGAACTGAGTAAAATATTTTTACACGATGTTACGTTCGCCATCGCGATCACGGGAAAGATCGACGGCAACATTCCTCTTAGATTTCTGAGTCATTTCAACACCTACGCAATTCCCGCTCCCACGCCGGATAATATATTCAGAACGTACTCCAACGTGCTGCTTGCTAACATGAAGAAGAATCTGTTTGCAGCGGATGTCACGGGAAGTGTAACGAGTATGGTGAACGCGACGATCAACGTTTACAATTCCGTAGCGAAGACCTTGCGACCTGTCCCCGGCAAATTGTATTACTACTTCGACATGAGAGATATTTCGAGAGTTATCAGCGGCTGCGGTTTGATCCAGAAGGAATCGGTGGAGACGAAGATAACGTTCATTCGGCTGTGGGCGCACGAGATCTTACGCGTGTTCAGAGATCGCATGACGGACGAAAGCGACAAAGAATGGCTCTTCTTGAGAATCCGCGACGCAGTGAAGAGCAACTTCAAGGACTCGTTCGAGGTCGCTTTCGATCACTTGCCTAAGTCCGCGAATAATCAGATCACCACGGATAGCTTCAACGATCTGATATTTGGAAACTTCATGGACGCAGAGAAAGGCGCCAAATGCGTCAAGCGATACGAAGAGATCGGTTCCGTGGACGCCCTGAAGAATAAGATATTTGCTTATTTAGACGAATACAACGCCAGATCCAAAAGAAAATTGGATATCGTTGTTTGTCGTTACGTGTTGGAATCTCTGATTAAAATCTCCAGAATTCTCAGCATACCGGGCGGAAGCGTGTTGATGATATCTTCCGTAGGTTCCGGCAGGAAGTCCGTTACTGCTCTCGCCGCCTTCATGCAGCAGCAGAGCTTGTTCGAGATCACTACCGAGTCTTACTACAACTTAAATGTGTGGAGAGACAATCTGAAGAGAGTTCTACGTGAATGCGGAGCGTTGCGACGGGACGTTACGTATTTCATGACGGAAAGACAGATGAAAGACGCGTTCTTGAGCGACATAAGTTGTCTGTTGAGCACCGGAGAACTTCCCGATTTGTTTTCTAACGAGGACAGACAAAATATAATCGAGACGACGCGACTTCACGCACAGGGCGGTGATTGACACGCGGAACTCAGCGCGCGTTCGGTGATGAAGTACTTCGTGGAACAGTGCAAGAACAGATTACACTTCGTTCTTTGCTTCAGTCCTACCAGCGCCGCGTTCAGAACGTATTTGTGTTCGCATCCTAACTTGGCGAAACACTGCGCGGTTAATTACAATCAGGTTTGGCCCGACGAAGCGTTTCTGGAGATCGCTATGAGGCACATGAAGAACGTCAACGTCAACGAAGAAGTTAAAATTCACGCGGCAAGAGCATGCGTGCAGTTTCACAACAGCGCGAAAGAGATGAGTTCGAAATATCGTGAAACGTTCGGTAGAATGATTCACGTGACGTCATCGGCCTTTCTGCACATGCTGAAATTGTTCACGCGACTGACGTCAAAGAAACAGGAAGAAATTGTCGCGACACGGAACAGATACTTAGCGGGATTGGAAAAGTTGGAAATGGCGGCTGAACAGGTCGAGCAGATGAAGGCAACGCTCACGAGATTGAAACCTCAATTGGAATTATCCGCTCAACAGACCGTGATTACTATGAAGGAAGTGGAGAACGAGAACATCACCGTGGAGCAAGCAACGAAAGTCGTGAAAGAAGAAGAGGAAATAGCGAATAAGAAGGCAGAGATCGCGGGTGCTTTAAAAACGGAATGCGAGGCCGAACTTGCTGTCGCCATACCGATCCTGGAGGACGCGGTGATAGCGCTGAACACTTTGAAGCCGACCGACATCACGCTGGTGAAGGCAATGAAGAACCCGCCCGACACCATCAAGCTGGTGATGGCGGCTGTTTGCGTAATGCTAGGCGTACCGCCGGATCGCAGCCTCGATCCAGTCACTGGGAAGAAGTTTACGGACTACTGGGGCCCCAGCAAGCGTATTCTAGGCGACATGAACTTCTTGCAAAACCTGAAAGATTACGACAAGGACAACATACCGCCCGCAGTGATGCAGGTCATCAAGAAGACGTACATGACGGACAACAGCTTCATGCCGCACATAGTCGCGAAAGCGTCCAGCGCTGCTGAAGGTCTATGCAAGTGGGTGCGCGCGATGGTGTCCTACGACGAAGTGGCGAAGGTGGTGGCGCCCAAGAAGAAGAAACTGGCCGCGGCTCAGAGAGAATGCGACGAGGCGGAGGCGTTCCTGAACGAGAAACGACAAACTCTGGCCGCCCTGAATGCAAAGCTGGCCGCGCTCAACGACAGTCTGCGGCAAACGTTACAGAAGAAACTAAATCTGGAGAATGAAGTTGCGACGTGCACCGCCAAGCTGGTCAAAGCCGAGAAGCTGATCGCCAGCCTAGGCGGTGAGAAGAGCCACTGGATGCAGTGCGCTCACAATCTGCAGATGAACAACGACAGTATGGCGGGTGATATGCTGCTCTCGTGCGGGATCATAGCCTACATGGCGTCTTACAACACTTCGTTTCGCGACAAGATGCTGACCAAATGGAAAGAGCTCATGAACGCCTTCGAGATACCTTACACTAAGAGTTACGACTTCGTGAGCGTTCTCGGCGTGGAAATCGAGATCAATCATTGGCAGCTTTACGGTCTATCGGAGAATCGTTTCGCGGTGGAAAACGCCATTATCCTAAATAATTCGTGGCAGTGGTGTCTCTTCATCGATTCGCAGAATCAGATAAATCAGTGGATCAAGAAGATCGAACAGAAGAACGACTTGAAAGTGATCAAACTGACTGATTCAGATTACATTTCGGTTATTACTCGGAACATCGAAGATGGTGTTCCGGTGCTGTTGGAAAACGTCGGGGAGAGACTCGAGATCGCGCTGGAACCGATCCTGTTGAAGAATATTTACCTAGATGAAACTTGGTATATCGATGTCGGAACCAAATCTGTCAAGTATTCGCAGAAATTTCGACTTTACATCACCACGAGACTGTCGAATCCGAATTACACAGCTGACGTTTTCAGCAAGCTCACGATCATTGACTTCTCGATGCCGGACGGGACTCTTCGGGACAAGCTTCTGGACATCGTCATTTCGAAGGAGAGGCCGGAAATTCAGGAGAAATTTGAAGCATTGCGTATTCAAGACGCAGCCAACAAGAAGGTGCTTCAGCAACAGGAAGACAACATCTTGAGCATCCTCTCGTCAACCACCACGAATATCCTCGAGGACGAAAGCGCGATACAGACCTTGGATTCCTCCAAGACTCTCGCCGTGGACATCATGAGAAGGCAGGAAGAAGCCAGAGCGATGACGCGGGACATCAACAAGTTCAGAGACGCGTATCTCCAATTTGCCGAACACTGCGCGGGATTGTTCTGCACGTTAAATACCCTGTCCAACTTGAATCACATGTATCGCTTCTCATTTTCATGGTTCATCCAGTTGTACATCACCTCGATCGAGACATCTAACAGAAGCGTCGTTCTCGAGAAGCGACTGCACTTCTTGAAGTCTTCCTTCACGAGAAACCTTCATTCAAGCGTCTGCAGATCCCTCTTTGAAAAACACAAACTCTTATATTCGTTTCTGCTTTGCGTGAAAATTCTGATAGACACCGGACAGACCACACAACAGGAAGTTGAGTACTTCATCTCCCCGGGATCTCTTCGGGATTGCGAATATACGATTCACGAATCAGTGCCGGAATGGTTGTCGACGGATAAGTGGACGCAAATTTGCAAGTTGAGCAAAACGTTTCCTCGTTTGCACGAACTTGCGGATGATTTTCGCTCGAACGACGTAGCTTGGAAAAACTATTGCGACGCGGTGCCGTTTCAAAGCGACTCGATGCCGAAAAAGTGGCGCGACAATTTGACACGGTTTCAGAAGCTGATGCTCGTCAGGATCATAAGATGCGACAAGATCGTCGTGGAAACGATGCGTCTGATAGGAGACACTATGGAAGACGTGTTTAACACTTATCCGCGTCAGATATTCAAATCGTACGCGGAGTCCAGCTGCCTCACCCCGATTATATTCATCCTCCCGTGTTACGTCTCGCCTCTGTCGCTCGTTTCCGCGTACGCGAGCGCGCGAGGATACACCTCGAAGTTCGTTTCTCTGTCCATGGGTGACGAACAGTCGGGCAACGCCGAGATTCTGGTGGAACGCGCGCGGAGGGAAGGAGGATGGATATTTCTGCAGAATTGTCACCAGGTTGCTTCGTGGATACCGCGACTCGAGAGAATCTGCGAGAGTCTCAGTCTGTCCGGCACGTCTCTGGATTTCCGACTGTGGCTCTCCAGCCTCTCAATTCCGGAATTCCCGATCAGCATCTTGCAAAACAGCGTGAAGATCGCGTACGACTATCCGCTTCAACTGAAGCAGAGCTTGCTGAAGATGTACCGATCGGATCCTATAAGCAGGAAAGAATTCTTCGAAGGCTGTCCCGGCAAGGATAAGGAGTTCTCCAAGCTCCTGTACGGATTTTGCTTCTTCCACGGCATCGTCAGGGAGAGAAGACACTTCGGCCAGCAAGGATGGAACGTACCGTACGACTTCGATCACGCGGATTTCGAGATATCCGTCAGCCAATTGCGGAATCTGATCAACGAAGCCGACGGCGTGCCGTTCGACACGTTGATCTATCTTGTCGGCGAGTGCAATTACGGCGGAAAGATCGCGGACGATTTTGATCGGACGTGTCTGCGATGTTTGTTGGATTGCTTTTGCAACATCGATGTGATCGCCGACGGCAAAAACTCATTTTCCGATTGCGCGCATCGCTTGATACCGCAGAGATGCGAGTATCGCGACGTCGTCATTCACATCAACGAAATGCGGCTGGACGCGTCGCCGGAAGCTTACGCCTCCGACGAAAACGCTCTCATCGCTAAGGACACCGCGATCGCCAGAGAATTTTTAAATTCGATATCTCGTCTGGATCGAGACGTTCGATTGTCAAATCACGAACTTATCGCGCCTGATAGCGCACTGCGAGCGATCGACGAGATCGATGACAAATTGCCCGCGTTGTTTAACATCAACGATATACGGGACGAACATCGTTTTATCTCGGGCGAACCGTTGAGCGCGATTCTTCTTCACGAAGCCGAGTCGATTAATTGGATCTTGGCTGTAATCAAGGACTCATTAAACAATTTGCGATCGGCGTTAAACGGCGAGATCGTTTTGACGGATTCTCTGGAAGATCTGTCGAAAGAAATACGCGATCGCAAGGTTCCGCGCATTTGGAGACTGACCGATGTCGGAATCGCAACCAAGTGTTTGCCAAATTTCATCGATCTGCTCTTGAAACGTGCGAATTTTGTGGAAACCTGGCGTCGCGAGAACGACGTGCCTCGCGTCATCCATCTCGACGCGCTCTCGTGCTGCAGACGATTTTTATGCGCGATTCTACTCGCGTTTTCCCGACGTCACAACGTGCCCGTCAAACGAATCGCATTAAATCTCCGAGCGGGAGAACATTCCGATCTCAATGGAACGGAAAACGTTGACGACGCGTATTACATTCACGATTTACATCTGTCCGGAGCTAGGTGGGACGCGCAGAGGTGTTTACTGATCGGGAGTTCGACGAATGTGTTCTGGCACAATATGCCATCGATACGTTTGACATTCAGCGACGGAACAAGGTCTGTTGACGACAACGTTTACGAATGCCCCGTGTACACGTCGCCGTTACAGTGCGAAGAGGACGTCGGCACGAGCAGGAACAACAGAAGAAGTTGTATTGTCACTGTGCCTTTGGAAACCGACAAGTCGCGCACGTACTGGATAAAACGTGGCACGGCATTGTTCTGTCAAATTGACAATTAATTAACACGTGCGAGTTTTTGTAGGAAGGTAACAAATAAATATTCTTGTGTGAAAAAATATCTAATTTAATATATTCTGTGTGTATTTTATTGAAAACATTTTATACGTAAATAATGCGAAATATAAATGACGTATAACAAAAAATACTATATATATATATATATATATATATATTAAAAGAAAGAATATGTCATAAAAAATAAAAAAGAAAATTATTTTACTTGCGTAGTTGTTTTAAATCTATCTACATATATTTACGAAAAAATGTATATACTAGGATTCTAATATATAAAATGTGACGTGAATAATTTAAATGAATTTATTCTCGCGACACGTTACTCGAACGCGAAAGTATTTTTTTGCACAATGGTTCGAATAGGCCTCCATAACCGTACACATCCGGTTCGATTGCCGCGCGCATAAAGGACAATGACAGGCAGAGATCGAGAGAGATTCGAGCATATTCGAGAGGAACAGTGGTTACTTGGCAAGTGTGCGCTTTACGTCCCGGCTTCGATCTCCCGCTGGGAATTCGGTCTCGCCGAGTGAAATTCGGAGGGTTTTTAAGTCGGAGTCGGAGCCTCAGATTAAAGAGAGAAGCGAAACGGACGAGTCTCGCGCTCTCGCTCTTTAAAAGCACTCGCAGAGAGAATGGCGAGTCACGACGAATTGATCTCGAGCTTCGCGGACGTAACTGGTGTTGATGCCGAGAGAGCGCTATTTTACCTTGAGTCATCCGCGTGGCAACTGGAGGTGAGACAGCACATTTGCAAAAATCTCCAAGAAGACGAGGCCTTTTCGCGCATTGCTCGCAAAATCCGGAGTGTTTTGTCGAAGCAATTTCAGCGCGTTTTTTTTTATAACCTATCGCACCTTGTTACCTTCTCTAATGACACTTGGCTTGTTACTCACGCGACACAATTTGCTCTCACGTTTTTCCGAAATTCGTTGAAACAAATCGCGCAAATCATTTCTCAGTAAATTTTTTCTTTCGTTGCAACAGATTTAGATTTTTTTGATCTTATGCATGTAGTATCTTTGCAGGTTGCTCTTACCAGTTTTTACGAGAACGATGAGCCGCTGCTGACCGAACCTGTCAGCGATACACAGCCGTCGTCGGGAGAATTGCAAGACATGGCGGACACGGATACATCGAAGGAAAAGGCAGAGTCCAAGTCGGACTCGACGGAGTCAAAGGGCGCTAAACCGAAACAGAAATTCAGCACGTTGAGCGATCTTCAGAACAGAGACAAAGACAGCAGCTCGTCCGACGATGAGGAAGAACAAGCGTTCTACGCAGGCGGCTCTGAACACAGCGGACAGCAAGTTTTAGGGCCGGGAAAGAAGAAAAAGGACATTGTCAACGATGTGTTCAAATCGTGTCAGAAGCACTCGATCGCCTCTGATTCACCGAAACTTGGAGGACAGCAAAGGCCGAACACATTCAGCGGCACGGGATATAAGTTAGGACAAACTAGTTCCGATAGTGAAGGTATTTTTCTGGCTTTCATTGCTTGCATAAAAAATCACACATCGTCATCGCAACAATGACGTTTATTGTTGTGTGTCGCAACAGTGGTAATGGGAGCTAATGCGGATCCTCAGTCCTCCACATCTTCAAGTGGTCCAGTTATGTTGAAATTGTGGAAGGACGGCTTCACGGTGAACGAAGGTGAGTTTCGACCGTACAAAGAACTCAAAAATATGATGTTCCTAGAAGATATCAAGAAAGGTAAGATACCAGAAGACATGCAGGATCAGATACACGGTAAGGAGTTGCGACTGGATGTGGAGGATCATCGTCATGAGAACTACGTGCCTCCAAAAGCTGGTGAAAAGAAAGTGAAAGTGTTCTCCGGAAAGGGACACATGCTAGGAAGGTACGTTGGTCGCATCTCGCTTTGTCAAAAATGTTTTAGTATTCTTTGGATATTTGTTTTTATTTCTGTGTACATAACAATTTACAATATTTCAGTCCGTCACCAGCTACTGTAGGTATGACAGTTCCATCTGATCCCGTTGATCAGGCTGCCAACGAAGCCCAGGCGAAAAAAGAACTCAACATAGACGCTTCGAAGCCAGCGACAACGTTACAAATACGCCTTGCGGATGGTAGTACCGTGAAGGCTCAGTTCAACCTGTCACATACAATCGCTGATCTCAGAAGATACATAATAACGTATCCTTTGATCTATTTGAAACCTTCTTTCTTTATTTCGCGCGCTTTTTTTTTTTTTTAGATTATATTTTTGCAATAAAACTCTCGAGCCGCCGAATTGACAAGTTTCCTTAACGCGCGATGTCAGTATGAGACCTCAGTATGCTTTAAGGGATTTCAGCTTGTTAACTGCATACCCAACGAAGGAACTAGCGGAAGATAAGACGATCGAGGAGTCGGGCTTACAAAATTCGGCTATAATACAACGACTGAAGTAAACTTTTCTAAATTTCTAGTTTGACAAATGTAACAATTAGATTACTATATTATAACAAATATAAGTTAAATGATGTGAGAAGATAAAAATTTCTATGTATTTTTATCGGGAATATAATACCTCTTTCATTATGGTTTTTCTCCTCTCTTTTTAATATGTATTTTATTACCTAATTCTTGCAACATATTCCGTTTTACTTTAAATTGTGACCACGCGACCTTCACACACACACACTCTTTGTAAACTAAACACACATGAAGTATACTCGACCTATCTCATTAACCAAGACTGTGTGCGTATGTAAACTTTTTTTTTTATATCTATAATACAATAATATCGTCACTTTTGTGAATCATATCATGGATAAATTTTTGTCGCTATGTAATTTAATAATAAACACGAGAAAAAAAGGAAATCACGAAACAAGAGCTCATGAAAGAAGTGACAATAATCGTGTAGCAATAATTATAATTTTATTAGAAGCTTCTGAAGCTTCGGATGTGTATAAAGTATTGATATAACATGTGTACATACAACCGAGTAGTCATGACACGATGATTAAGGCACCTATGAAAGACATAATCGTGAAAACGTATGAACAGAAACGGGGTATACGTATGTGCGCGAATGGAGCATTATTCAGGAAAGACTTTTTGTACAAGTATCAATCAATTTAAAACTAGTCCTCTCGCTAATTTGTATCACTTTATGTCTATGTCAGGCACATTGTTGTAGTATTTCGTGAGTATCGGTGAGTTCTGTAGATCCTGGGCAAATCTCAGAATCGCGGAATCTTCCACTCCCTGACCGTCTTTGTAATTGTCACAATATTTGTAATGGTTAATCGCAACTAAATCTATTCCTGCCTCTTTGGTATGTGGATGGAAGTTCTGTGATATTACAGAATTCACGTATGCAAACGGATCGTACATGTAAATGGGATAATGATCTTTGACTACATTTCCATTGACTTTCATTGTCTTCTTCAACACCATCATATTGGAATCGGTGTATTGTTTATTATCGGCTTGCTGTGTGCAGAACGTCGTAGTATTCAGTGCGTACCGACTGACTGCCAGTCGAGTAGTCAATCGACCGAGTTTGCCAATCGAGTAACGTTCAAAATCCACCATCAGATCGATCGCCGTGTGATGATACTTGAGGACCATGTACTCGTTCCATGAAAGAACAATGGCATAAGCGACACCGTTGTACGTGCGATACAAACAATCAATTTCCATGATTTCTCTTATTACGTTCTGATCGATGTCCATGAAAGGGAAGTTCCACGGTATAACGGTGTACGTGAACTTCCAGAACAGAGTTGGATCGTTAGCGATTTCCTTCAGTTTGGTGTTAATTTCATTCGGAATTCCAGAATCGTACACGATGAAGTTGTTCATTCCGATCAGTGCATGAAAATTGACGAAGTTTATTATATCCGTGGCTTGAGTCGGTTTTGTCAACGATTGAGTCACACACACACCTATTCTCTTGTGACTCAAACTCTCGGGTTGCGATTTTATAGGAAGAACAGGCGCGTAATTGAGGAACTTGTTGGACTTGGTGAGAAACGTCACTCCGGTAGGAATCTTAACGCCATTGGTATTAACGTACGTGCAAACAAAATGATATCCTGCGTATTTTGTGTTATCCTTTCGACTCGAAGCAATTTCACTGACAATGGGAAGAAACTTAAAATTGCCTAATATAGGCTTGCTCTCATTCTCGAAAAACACAAGGCACTGCACGCTTGCGACACTGTTTGCAGTGCCGAGTGCAACCGCTCTTATATTCCTGTCGTCGAGACGGTACGCGGAGTAAACGTACAAATCGTCCTCCAGACGTTGCCAGGAGGGCATTGGTTCGTCAAATCTTGCATTGAATGCAGTGTATGTTGGAGCAAAGTTTGTGCAGTTCATGTCTGCGTTCTTCAGTTCGGGCTTGCCGAAATAATTGAAAACTTCTAGGACATACCTTAGCCTATTATATTCGTGTCTATAGACGAGCAGAGATACAAGGCTCACTACCGCGATCACAGCCAAAGCAGCTTGATAATATTTCCTCATGTTGTCTCTTTCGACGTTTCTATTTAATTTCATATGATATTGTCAGAGTTTCTTTGTGAATGCAGATTTCTTTTACGCACAATAATCTCCAACTCATAACCTTTCAGCATTAAAACTGCGACATAAATAAGCGAATATTCTGAAAAAAAGTAAATAAATAAACACAGGCTCTTTTAATCCCATAGTATTTTTAACTGAGCTGTATATAAATGCTTACTCTATTTGTTGCAAAACGATTTCATAACCAAGTCGTGTGTTTGTTGCTTCAAATTTTCTTAAATTTCGACCGCTTGACTCGTTACAGTAGTGTTTGTATAATCTTTCTTTCGCTGTTTTCTCTTTATTGCGCTTAAGTTCTTGATCAATTTTATTTATAAAACTTACACAATTTTGTCACAGTTTGCAACAGATCGACTGCATTTGTGTACATTTATCGGGAAATGTTACTGACGACGCTTGGCTCGAATCTTCGATACATCGGTTCCAATCTGTACTAAAAGTTAACTGTCTTCTTTTATAATACGTTTTGTTGCAGATATAGACAATACAATACAAATAGGATAACTATAGGAAAAATAAATAGAATATAAAAATCTTATTATATTATTATCATAAATAACATTTATATATGTACATACAGAGTAAAAAATCATTATCATATAAAAATAACATTTTATAAAGTAAATGTAAAGAGAAGTCCAGAGAGTGCGCATATATAAAGAAATCTTTCCTTTTCTCTATTTTTATATAATATTGTATACAAAATATATTATATACAGAAACGCACACACACACTACTCAATAATTTATACAATTGCATATTGTTCGTATAATAATTCTCGTACTTTGTAATAGTCCTCAGAAATACAACCTTCCAATATTACCTTACCCGCTTCGTGCTGAAATGAAACAGAATGTTACGTAAATCAGATTATACGTACGAACAACACCGTTTCTCACACGTTTTACGTTAAGTTATTATTATTAATATCACATAAATTCAACAAACCCTTCTGACGGCGATGGTGTTGTTGCAACACCACAATACTCCTCCGCTAAATTCCGACGGAATGTTACTTTTATTTAAGATCTGCTTGAAATCGGACAGTTTCAATTCATTTATGAACGTTGTTTGATGGCCTGGAACCTGAAACACAGAAGCGCGAGGTGTAAATTTAAAAATAAAATGTTTTTTTCCTGTGATCCAATTTTTCTCTCGTATTATTATATTTGTTTTTTCTCTCAACCTCGTTCAATGGCAAGGGTTCCAGCGTCAGTATTTTGTCGCTCTCGTCAATCTTTTCGGATTCGGTGTCGGCAACGGCGTCCGGACAAATTTGATCGCGTGCCGTTATCATAGCGTCAATCCACGCTACCTCGGAATCGCCCTTACCCTTCGAGAAATTCAATCCACTGACCAGAGCATCGGTTAAACGCACCTGACAAACGAAATTTGTTTTAATTTTTTGTAATACGACCGATTGTTTTAACTAATCAGAATTGAAAGGAACTTGAAAGCCGTAATGTAATTATGAAAAACAATGTCAGTAGAAATATTAATTAGATATTACTTGATAAATATGTGTTTCCGTTGTGGCGTCCAGTGTCTCTCCTCTGCCCGGAATAAATACTCTCGCGCCAGCGCTCTGTGCCTGTTGCGCTAATATTTCCGTGTCTTTAGGCGAGCCTCGGACCAAGACCACTCTCCTCGGTCTTAGCTGCGTCAAGATCTTCTGCAGCGATTCTCCGTCGGATCTGCCTTCGAAATCGATATACGTAACAGACGCGTTTACATTTATCGTACGAGAAATCTGTACACATTTGGTTGGTATATCAAGAGCGATTTCCGGATGATGATTGGTTTCTTCTTGTTTCATATCTGCATTTTCTTTATTGTCCTCTACTTCAGGTATAGTTTCTGCTATTTTGTAATCTTCCGGCCTGGTAATAAGCACAGAAAATTTTCATTTAAATATATTAAAAAATAATCTGTGTGTACGGAGATATAACACAAGCAAAAATTTGGTTTTCTTGAAAAATATAAACCACATCACTACAGTACAAAGCGAAAAATATATATACTTGATAAAAAAATATTTTATAAAAATATTTTTACTTTATGATTTCACCGTATTCGTCTACTTTGATTTTTTCCTCCACAAATGGAAACATGGGATGCTGCTTTTTACTTTGTTTAAAAAAACCCGGCTTACTTTCTTGCTTCACCAGTAAATCATGCTTTCCTCTCGCACCGCCGACTTCTATCTCGTCTTCCGACTCGGAACTTATGTCAGCAGTTTCCCTAATTAAATGATAAATTTATATAAGCGCATCAGAGTGGAAATATAAATATTAACTAAATGCGCATCGAAACATACATTTGCTCCTGTTTTATCTGCTCCTGTTTCTGCTTCTCTTTTTTTTGGTAGTTCTCCAGTTCAGTACCCTCGAGTTTCACGCGTCTCCTTATGTCCAGTACAATAGTGCGATTTCCACCTCTTTCCACCAAATCTCGGGCGAGTGTACCCGGAGATGTTCTGCTCGTTAAGATGATACTGTTTTGCGGATTACTGCACCACTGGAGAAACAATTCGCGAGAAAATCCACATTCCATGTCCGGAGTGCTCGCGAGCACCACCTAAATATAACATTTAGAAATTGATTTCAACATTCAAAATATAACATCCAATGTGTAAAGTCGTTACTTTGATGTACCTTCGGACTCGGAACTTGATTCAATTCCATCATACTGTGACAAAGTTGCAAATGTTTGAATTGGAATGGATTGTTACGCGCGCCTTCAAAACTTCTCATCAACTTATCACTCATCCATTCGATCTGCGATTTTGCAAACTCCACAACGTTGTAGCTAACGTTATTGAGAAGAGCTAATGAGTAAGCAAGTAATCCTGATTCTTTGTTGCGCCATAACTGATCCAACATATGTGCTAATTCTAGTACGCGACCAGCAGTATCTACACTGACCAGTACATTGCCACCACCTCGCAATGTTTGCAAGATATTGGCTAAAAAAAATCAAAGAAAAATTGACAATATATTTTTACTACAAATGGATATATTTGAATTATAACATAAACTATGTAAAACACATACTCATTAACTTCTCATCTCTTGTCCTTCGTCTGGCTTGCTGATATGTGGCATTAAATGCATCAGTTATTAACAGTGATGGCCTTTGTAGTCTGTCTAATTCGCAGCCATTTAAATGACGCTCTTTTTTATGATTGAAATCTACTGCATATATTATATCTTCCTCTCCAACTTTTACAACTTTCCAAATTGTTCCACCAATCATATGTCCAGCTGGCAAAGGTGTCAAAGTGACACCATAGCCTTTACCTTTCAGTGATATGCTTTGATTGTATTTTAACTGCACAATCTTATCAAATGCAGCATCAACATCATCCAATGTAAATAAATCAAAATCTTCCATGTTATGCCGTGACTAAAATTGAAACGATACTTTAGATGTTAAATTGAAGTTGTCTTTCTATACTTTTATATACTGAAAAATATACCTGATACATGTCATACATAAACATTTGGCCCATTTTGTAAACAGGTATAGTGGCATATATAGCACAATTCAGGCCACATTTGCCTACTAAGTATGGTAATGCACCCAAGTGTAATGGATCCGGATAGGAGAGCAACACAGCATCTATCTGATTGACATGTCTGAAGAAGTAGAACAAAAAAATTTTTTAAAAAGGCACTGTAACATTCAATTATCTTTTCTTACATGACAGATGTTTTATCATAAATGTATGATAATATAATATATACCTTTTTAGTTCTCTTATAAAATCTTGATCAAACTTTTCGTCCCACCCACAATCTAATAATATTCTTAATTCATCAACTTGTAATATGTAACAAGGCGGGGATTCATCCATTGCCCCAGAAATAGCGTGAAGCTTTATAATGGATGTCATTTTCTGTAGTCTTTTCTATTAGACTATTAATCTACGATTGTGAATCTGTGTGATTCTGTTTTGTAATTGATTTTTAACAGATATTTTCCTCAATCTTCTTTTCTTAACCCTAATCTATTGTGATGCTTCCAATGCCCTAGCCTAATCTGACCTAGAAAGAAAACTGAGATCGGCTACGGCCCTAGATGGGACCACATTGGCACTTGTGTAACCAAGTAGCAAGATTCGTATGTTAGTTCCAATGTGCATCACCGTGGACATAGCGCTGGCGAACAAGGAGGAAAAGCGATTACAGTTAAAGTCCGTGGCCAATCTCAATTTCCTTTCTGCTGATACAGTGACAGGCAAGAAGTAACTTTGGAATTGTTTGCAAAAGGGTTAGGTGATTCTATTGCATTAACTGGAGGTGTATTTTAGTAGAGCGTTCATCTCTTTGGAGACAATCATGACGCTCACAAATAAGGTAGGAAAAAAAAATTATTTTTTATTTTATCGCTAAGAAGAGTGTTTACTTACTTGTAACCAATTTACAAATGTCTTTCAGATGGATATTGATGAGAAGAATGCCAAAGGAGAGGGTTTCAAACAATATTATATTACAAAAATTGAAGAATTGCAATTGATTGTTGCTGAAAAAAGTCAAAATTTAAGAAGATTGCAGGCACAGCGTAATGAACTTAATGCCAAAGGTATTCATTCTAATAATATAGACACATATGTGTATTATGTGCATTATGTGTCATACTGTTTATAAATTTAATATATTCTTGAGTAACACACTACGCTTATATTTATATGTGAGAAATTTTATTACAACATAATTGTTACCATATGATTTTCTGTTACAGTACGTCTGTTGCGAGAGGAGTTGCAACTTTTACAAGAGCAAGGTTCCTATGTAGGCGAAGTAGTTAAACCTATGGATAAGAAAAAAGTTCTGGTCAAAGTACATCCTGAAGGCAAATTTGTGGTAGATATAGACAAGAATATCGACATCAATGACGTGACACCAAATTCACGTGTGGCTTTGCGCAATGAGAGTTACACTCTGCACAAAATATTGCCAAATAAAGTTGATCCGCTTGTCTCTCTCATGATGGTCGAGAAAGTGCCAGATTCTACATACGAAATGGTCGGAGGTTTGGATAAACAGATAAAGGAAATAAAAGAAGTTATAGAGTTGCCGGTCAAACATCCGGAATTATTTGATGCTCTTGGAATTGCGCAACCTAAAGGTGTACTGTTATACGGTCCACCAGGTATATAGCAATTTATTATATGAAAGTAATGTTTCCTATTATGAAAGTTTTAATTATCTCTTAAAAATTGCTATACAAATGTCTGATTGCATTTTAAGATTGAGAAAATCTTTCAGGTACTGGAAAAACTTTACTTGCAAGAGCAGTTGCACACCACACAGAGTGCACCTTTATTCGTGTATCTGGATCTGAATTAGTTCAGAAATTTATTGGAGAAGGTTCGCGTATGGTTCGCGAACTTTTTGTGATGGCGAGAGAACACGCGCCATCAATAATATTTATGGACGAGATTGATTCCATTGGAAGTTCTCGAATTGAATCTGGATCTGGTGGTGATAGCGAAGTATGTAATGAAATCCAATTACAATATATATATATATTGAAACATATATATACAATATATATACGTACGTGTGTGTTTCTTGATTGTGTTATGAACGATTGCATTTTTTAGGTTCAACGAACCATGTTAGAACTGCTGAATCAATTGGACGGTTTTGAAGCAACAAAAAATATCAAAGTTATCATGGCTACAAACAGAATTGATATCTTAGATCCGGCGTTATTACGTCCCGGACGTATCGATCGCAAAATCGAATTTCCGCCTCCAAACGAGGAAGCTAGGTTGGATATCCTGAAGATACATTCGAGGAAAATGAATTTGACACGTGGGATAAATTTGAGAAAAATTGCTGAGCTTATGCCTGGTGCATCGGGAGCCGAAGTGAAGGTGAGAAAAACTAATAGATCATATAGAAATATAAATTAACTTCATAATTGTCAGCATCGAATATAATCCAATGTTTGCTATTACAAAGAAAACCAAAAAAGTTTGATGGATCTTGCAATTAAACATATTTGTGTTGTACAGGGTGTTTGTACGGAAGCTGGAATGTATGCTCTTAGAGAACGTCGTGTTCATGTAACTCAGGAAGACTTTGAGATGGCTGTAGCGAAGGTGATGCAAAAAGATTCCGAGAAAAATATGTCCATTAAAAAGTTATGGAAGTAATCAGTTTTACTCTGATTGTTTTTATATATTACTTGTATATCTTTAACTTGCTATAGTGTTCTTAACGCAAGCGAATTCTTTTATCTATAATTGAAAAGTGATGTATTTAACATCTGTAAACATAAAAACGTATATAAAATTGAAGACAAAACTAAATCTTTATTACAATGTCCAGTAACAAATTTTATTTTACAATTAGTATTAAGATCGATATGAGCCAATTACGCCGGATGCAATTTTATATACATATATATACATATACATATATATATATACATACATATATGTATATAAACCTTTAAACATGAAAATTCAAGGTAAATATTTTATTTTGTATTAAGAAATTAATAATTAAAATTGCCGTACGCCATCATAATGCAAAACAGGTACAAACTGTTGCTGCGATTTACTAATAATAATCAAATTATAATGAAACTATTATATTGAATTTATATTTGGTACTTCCACGTTGTTTTGTTTATAAAAACAATTTGTGAAACTTGACAACAAAATGATGTATTACACATTCAACAGTAAAATAATTCCTACATATAAATTCTCTTGTAATGTTTTAACTTTCATTGTTGACTAACTGCTTCGTAGATATTCGCCCCAAGTGTTTTGAGATCGTCATTTAACACTAATCGTTGAAGCCAGTCTGCCGCTAAATCCTTCACCAGTGGGTTATCCGGGATCTGTCCGTTTAAAATAGGAATGATCTTAGCCAAAGCCATAGTAGTTTTGCTAGTGTCTACGAATTCGATCAACCCGTTTGCAGTCGGTTTGTTCGAGCTTGTCGAAGCTAGACTTTCGATGCCAGTTTCTCCTGAAGAGACTGACACTGAAGAAAGCATCGCATCTTGTTGAGTGCATCTAACATTGGCTTTCAAAGCACCATCGAAGTACGTGGCTAAATGATCAACGAATAAAACAAATCCGCTTCTAATACATTTTTGCATTAAATCCTGCACTTCTTCACTCTCCGATATATCTATTGTTTGAATAATTAAATTTGCATAAACCGACGACTCGGCAGGAACTCGTGAGAGACTCAACGACTCATTTGTATCGTGCAACATGTATCGTGTAAGCTTTTTAACAGGGTTTCTCGCGCTATCAGCAGATATAGAAGATATAATTGCCCAATACATTTGCTCCAGATCTCTCCATGTTAACTGCTTTAATAGAGACCACGAAGCTATTACTTCGTCAACTTTACTTTTGATGAAATCGGTTAATTCTTTGACACTTTCGTAAATAAAGTAACTAGAGTGTTCCAAATATTTTGCTTGCACCTCACTCTGGATATCGGTCTCTGTGCTGCTTTGTACACTTTTGTACATGTATCCGCTGATTAGATTCAATTGAATTCTAAGAAATGTAACTAGCATTGTGTAGGAATAAATTATTACAGCCGATCGCGTAACGGCTAAGACTTTTAGTTGATTCCACGATGCTATTTTATCAGCAGAACCGTCCTTTAGCTGACTAATAATAGCTTCCGTATCGGTTTCTTTGATTATGGAGTTTCTTAGTGTCGCAGCAAGAGATAATATTGTTTGATTACATGTTCTTTCCGTGCTCTCAAAATATTGTCGCTTCTTTGTTGTTTCCATCAGTATCTTTATTTCGTTTTCTTGGTACTCTCTTAGCTTGCGCTGCGTATACCGTGTTAAAAAAACGATGCCGCCGATGACGATACTTCCGACTATAAATTTACGCCTGTGGCGACTTAAAAATCCCCGAATACGTGAAAACATGACGATTATTTGTACAAGCTTCAATTCGCATATAAGCAAACGTTATTGTGGACTTTATATACTTCTTGCAGAACTATGGAAAACAAACGTTCATATATTTACAGAAAGATATAATTATTCCAGATTCTCTGATTCAGGCTGTAGACTCGAAGCTACACGTTCTAATCTATTGGTGATATAATTAGTAGTGTCAATGAATCTCTCTACGCAATTCACAAGACACTTGTGGACTTTGGATTCCAAGCGCGGTGTTGGTCTGTCCATACAAGTCTCCCAACAGATGCCTGTTAATTCGTGTACTATACCCTGAAAATCAAGAATACAATTTATATATATATATATATCTATTATAAAGAAAAACATTTGACAATGTTGCATATAATCATATATTGATTTCCACAGAAAATAAAAAAGCAGATATAGTGTTTAACAAATAACTATGAACGTTCATATGTACATACAAATTAATTACTCAGTACAAAGTACAGATAAAAATACAATAAAATATATGAATAGAAAATATTAAAACTTTAAATTTTGCTAGTGAAAAATAATTCAGAAATTTAACCTGAAATTGATGTCTCTTTGTTTCAGCCTCGATAAATCGTTGCAATTGTTCATCCACAATAACGTTTGAGTTTTCCATAAGATTCATACTTTTACTCTTTGTTCACCTATTAAAAAACATCAATGCAAATTAGGCTGACGTAAATAGTAACTCTTTTTATCACTTTTTAGGCACAACAATGCAAAGTCGCAATGCAAGTACGCGTCTAACCTTAGTTCTTAAGCCCGATCTGCATAGAAAGGGTGCGGTCAAAATCTCACTGCAAACGTTTCAAAACATCATTCTATCTTTATTTCTCGTTACATGTAGAATAAAGATAGAATGATGTTTCAAAACATCTGCAGTAAGACTTTGACCGCATCTAATAGAGATATCGCAACACACAAATATGAGAAACCGACCAATTATATTAGACCGATTTGAACACGTCAAATGCATTGCAATAGTGGTTCTTTTCAATAAACGAAGACCGGCTTTCTTTTGTGATAAAGTGAACATATTTCATCGTGTAATATTTATTGACATATGGTAACAGTGTATTTTTTTGAAATAAGAAGAAACTGAAACAATTGTTTTTTTTAAAGGAGAAAGATAAAAAGATGGGATTTTTAAAATAAAACAAAGTAGGTTTTGTTACGAAATATTTCAAAAAATCTATGTTTACTATCATATTTTAACAGTTTATATGGATAACAAAAACATGTAGATAAACAATTTAACGAAATCTAATAAGCTACAACAGTTGTTTTTTTTTTTTTTTTGTAAACTCGATATCTAATAAAATCTGCGCTTTTCGCAGAGATTTGTAAAATAATCACAAAAACCGATCGTAAAAACATGGTCTTGTCTTTTATGTTGCTCACACTTTTTTTGCAGATTTTGCACTTCAGAAAATAATATGTATATAATGTATGTTCATACTTTGGTAAGAAAAGAAAAACAATAGAAAAAGTGTAAGAAACACAAACAGATCGATAAAATTCTTTACTCAAAACGTCAAACTTCATAATCCACTATTGTAATAAAACAAATTGTTCTATTGTATGTCAGGGACACATCACATTTGATACATTATATAAAATTTATAAGGAATGTTCATATCACGTTTTATACAAGTTTTATGGGACATTATCGACACACTGTGTATTTATGTTATTTTGCTATTAAGATTTAGAAAATTGTAAAGAGGAAAAGTGATGCAAACATATTTAAATATTGAAACATCTCTCACGAGAACGTTTGCATATTTACTACAGTAGCAACAGTATGTCAAACTTTTCTAAATTATGCCAATAACACAGGTGCCTTTTTGTCTTACTTCAAGTATTGCAATAATTAATTAATCCTCTATTACCCAATTTATTTTTAAAGATTTAGAAAACAGTAATTTTTATGAGCAAAATCGCAAGATAATATCTAGAGACATATAGTTTTACAAGTAAAATTTATACTCAACTGTATTCAAGAAATTTATAATGACAATTTCGTGATAAACTTGACATTTTTGCGATACCATTTTGTTTGTTTCACAAACATGCTCGTCAAACGTGAAATTCCACACGACTGCTAAATAAACAGAAACAGAACAATACAATTTAAAATTAACGTGATTTAATTTGAACAGTAGAGATTGGACAATAGAGAATTAATATAACCAAGTTAGTTTTTTTTATATTAAAAATACCCAAATTACGTATCCTAGTAGATTGTACATTATTGTTTTTGATATTCTCATGCCAGATGTCGCATCACGAACACAATTTCGCGCCCAGAGGCTGTGACTTTGCGATACGATCCAGTCTCTTCTGCTGTTGTTCTATTAACCGTTGTTCTCTTTCTCTTCTTCTTTGCTCTCGGAGCATTTTCGTAGGATCATTGAAATCCTCTATAGCATCTACTTCCCAACCAATAGCATTTTCTTCCCACTCTTCTAATTCTTTCTGCAAATGAATGCAATTATTAAGGCCGGTATTCATAGTCGAATCTTATATTTAGGATTGTCTTAAGTTTATCTTCAGATGCTCTGCAGCTAATAAAATTACTCGCACATAATCTGAAGATAAACTTAAGACGATCTTAAATACAAGATCTGACTATGAATAGCCTAAATGTAGGTTTTTAGTAAACATATTCTATTAAACTTGTTCTTAAATAGATATTTACAGTTGGAGCAGGGTCCATGGCTGTGAATTTTGCAGCATTGCGAGAAAGGTCACCTGTATGTTTGTCCCTGATCACAATTTTGGTCTGTCTAGTGATTTTTGGAGTCATATCCTACAAGAGATTCAGAAATGATCAATTGAAAGCTTTTTCATTCTGAATTTTCTTTGCTATTATAATAAACATACACACATCACAATTGTATAAATACCTCAAAAAAATTCAGCTGTTCTTCAGCAGGAATCTCTGATGGTTTACTCACTTGTTGTCGATACTGCTCTATCTTTGCTTGTACTGGATTAATTGGTTTATCTGGTATAACAACAACTGGATTTTCCTCCCATTTGTCCCACTGCTCTAATTCCTTTAAAAAAAAACGTCACTGATCAAGATCACTAACTCAAGTCGCAATAATTTAATCATTTTTAAAGTATAATTTACTTATACATCTTTAGTTGTTATTCTTGATAAATTAGTTACATTTTTAAAATGAAAATTTATTTTCTTACATTCTACAATACTAATTTTGGAAATTACATGATAAAATACATAAGGAAGAATTAACAATGCGGTATCTAACCGATGAAGTAGTCAGGACATTCGGTACTACTCCTATTGTAGACAGAGGCACGGAGTCGCAGGACGATCTTCTTCGACGACGCAGGCAGCACATTGCACGCTTAAATATTCCGAAAAGCAGTACGAGCAGAGCTTTGAGCCGATTTATCAGAAATTCCACAGCCATTTTCAATACTAGGCCAATGAAGAGTTAACCTCCCTCCGAAGCCGGAAAAGACGGAATTTTATGCAATTATCGTGATACGAACACAAGATTGGCCATTTTGCGAATCAAATCTATGCGAACTGATGAGCTCACATTGTCTCTTACACTTCTCTCTCTTTGTGCGTAAAATCGTAAGTTTTTATAATTTTAGGAGAAAAATCTAGGATTGCTTACGTTGTAACATAACCTACAACATTGCAGTGTGATTATATCGTCGAATCGAAGTGTTCTAAATATATCGATATTGATAATTCTTCGATTATCGATTATCGAAATATCTTGAATTGCGAGTATTGCGACTTCACAGAAAGAGATTTGATTGTATCTTGAAAAGCCAAGACATCAAGAGAGAGAGAGAGTAACTCTAGCAATATATATTTAAATATTTTAAATGTATTATTCTGTAAGTGTTAATAGTAATTCTATTTAAATAAATAATATATATTCTTTTTTTATCACATTCTATTTTTTTTATTCCACCACGAGCTAATAGATCTGGTTATATTGCTTCAAATCAACAATTTTGCACTTAAAATGAGAGGTATATATATTTGGGAGAGAAAGAGTGAGAAATAAAAAATTCTAAGGGCGAAAAGTGCAAGCAGGCCTGATGATATTTAAAATATTTATATAGCAGTGTCAACAAACATCCATTGGTTTTGCCAGTTTGCTTCAGAGCCAATGAAAAATCGAACAACAGTGACCAGACTCTTACTTCTAGGGATTTTAGAGCGGAAAAGCGATAACAGCTAATTTGTGTGGTGTTGCAATCTTTCTCTGATTTTAATATACAATTAGTAGCTAAAAGCCTTGAACAATAATGTTGTTGTTAAAACAACAAGATTTTAAAATATAACTTTTTACTTTAAAAATCTTTCAATGTGCATATACGTAAAAGCACACATAAAAACTGCCATTATACATTAACTTTGTTTCTGCATATAGTTAAAAACTGTTTACTTACAAAACAGCTAAGCGACCAAACCAACGACTAGCGGAACTAGCATCACCGCGAAGAGCGATAAACGTTCTGCATAAAGAATTTAATAGAGTACAAATTATGTCTATATAATAAGGTTTCTAAAAAAATTAATGTAATTGTGCAAAAACGGAAGTTAATTTTTATATACTTGCAACGTACATTATTATTTTTGTTTTATTATTCTTTATTTTATAATTAAATTCTGGCTGAAATTAATTCAACAAGTTTGTTGCGTCTCGCAAAATTGTGCGTTGCGAATAAATTTTGCTTGTCGAAAATCTTGCATGTACGATTTTAGACGCATATGCTAATAATGTCGCATTGTGCGTTGAAAGTTACGTGTTGCATATACGTTCGCGGAGAAACGCGCAATATTGATCGTGACTTGCAAGGTTACGCGGTGTTTAAATACTTAACTTTCATTTTACATGTGTGCCGATCGTCAATATAAATAATCGCTGTAACGAAAACGCTGCGACGGTGCTTCTGTAAACTCTCTTCCAACGAGAAAAAGACAGTTTTTTTCCATCTTTACTTTGACGACAGATTGAAAGAGGAGAGAATATTAAAGCGAATAGAATGCAATTTGAGAATGGCTTGGTAGTTTATGACATACGCAATTGAATTTATTTGACAAAAATATATCAAAATAGAATAAAAGCAAAAAATCTTAAAACTACCGTGTAATAAATTGTCACACGATTATTAGCGTTATTGCCCTGTAAAGTAATATCAATATTATGTAGATAATCTCGAAAGTTTGACATTCTCTTAGTAATAATTGTAATCGTATCCGATGCGCGAGGCTATCGGATTAATCGGAACGCCAATGGCGGGTTCGGTAACTTCGATCTCCGGTTTTTGACAAGCTAAAGCCCCGCATCTGTTCTTGCAGCACTTTAAATCCGCTCTGCAATCGCTATCGCTGCTGCAAGTCGACGAGCATACCCATCTTCCCGTCGGTACCGATGGACAAGATCCTGATTTCTCTGCGAGACAATAATCACATATTGTAAAATATTATATTAAAATTTCTCACACACACACACATACACAGTTTGTTTTCGTACAGTCACTAAAACGCTCTAAAAGTATCGTATTAATGTGCTGTTTCAAAACACAATGGAGAAATTACTCACCTGCCTGATTAGGTGTTCGCGGATTGGTGACGGGCATCGAGCAAATAGCACCGCCGCATCGGGTCGGACAACATTTGCCGATTCCCGCACAATGCGCGTCAACGTAGCAAGTACGTCCGCAGGATTGTACAGGTAAGGCAGGTGGACACGAACCTGGTTTTGCCACATATCTGGTTTGCGCTTTTGCAAATGAGATTATCGCCAATGAGACTAAATACACTGCTAACAGCTTCATTCTTTTGCTTTCGAGCAATGCGGTGTTTGTTTTGTGATCGCGAGTGTATTTTACAAGCTGCACACACAATAAATGTTTTCTTGTTGGTAAAACAAAGAAATCTGTGTCTCAAGAAAAATACATTTAAAGCTGTTTTCAAGTAAAATGTTTTACATAGAGATCAATATTTTCCTTATACTTTCAATGGTTTATTCAATTACACAATTTTAATTAAAAAATCTAAAATAAAATCTAAAATAAAATACACCAATACTGTTTATAACAAAAAATTGTTTCAAGTGTTTCACTTTTTTAGAAGTTAAAAAAATTAAACAATAATGAAACAACTTGAGAACTAATTTAGAATAATATATCAACGTCTTATTTTTAATACTACATTTAATAGAGAGAGAAAGAGATTGATTGTGACTGAATATTGATTTATCTATTTGTTTTCTTGTTAATCTTGATCTCTTGATTTTCGTGTTTGACTAATTTTACACTGCGTAATACACTATCCCCGTGAAAACAAGAATCGCGTGAATAAAAGACATTTTGCACTTGGAATGTACACTTAAAACTTATAATTACTGAGATTTGTGTCATACTTTGTTTTTTTTTACCAAGGAAATATAGTCGATAGCTAAGGTGATCACAGTCTTCTCGTTTTTGCAACTCAACAGAGCATGACACTTCCAATATATATATGCCTATATCGTCATCAGCTTTTTTCCCCCTCTCAGTGATCGTCAAACACCGCGTTTACTCTTTTACGCATTTAACTTTGTAATAGTAATGTATACCATAATATATATCTTTCTTATGACAAAAATGTTTGAAAAATATTTTTATTAATTAAATTTTTATTTGTTGTTACTTATTATAAATATAAACAACAAATGTTTTCGCCACAAATAAATTTCTCTTCTTTGACTGTTATCGTTTTGTTATATCGCAACACACAATATACGGATTTGAATGTGGTCATAAGCTACAACTGGAAAACCGTGGTAAACCGCAACTAATTAGAATTTTGATTAAACAGAGACCCAATTCAACAACCGGAAGGAAAGACGTGTGATTAGCGGACGGTTGTCGGTCATTCGTTTTTTTTTATCTTAATTATTAAAATCTGAATTCTCTGCATTTAATGATATAAAAGTTATTATTCACTCAAAAAATATTCATATATCAAACATTCTTTATAAAGAAAAAAGATCTAAAAGTATATGACAAAATGTTAATTATAAATTATTAATTATAAATGTGTAATTTTTTTGGAATATGCCTATTGTTTATTACTTTCCTGTCACATACATAAATATAAAATAAAATCGCCGGCGAGTATAACAAAAGGTGTATAAAATATTCACGAGTATACGCGTTACTTTTAAACTTAAACGATAAATGTATCCTTGGTACTCAAACCTGAGAAAAAAATCGAAATGAATATAAAGAGAGAGAAAGAATAAACGAATAATAAGATTAATTACAAAATACTTTATCAAACCTTTTAATTGTAGTTTACTTATCAATAATTTTTGAAACATTCTTAATTTGATACACTGCATCTATTATATTGAAGAAAAAGATAAGACAAAGAGAGCACAAACGTTGGCATTTGCGCTTTTCAGGAAACTTCGTATTTTATCACTCTCATACGTATTTGTCCGCGTGTGCATGATAATAAATAATGTAATTTATTACGTATAGAAAATTTTGTTTTTTGCAACGGCAATTGTGTTTTGTAAATATCTCCCCTTTCCAATATCTTAATTTGCGTGTAATCTAAGTATATCGTTTTGTGCGAACAATAATAAATATATGTAATAATTTTCGAAATCATATTAGGTAAATTCATATATTTCTTGAAGCCAATTTTCAATTTTTTATAACAGTAAAAATGACTATGAGTAATACTACTAGCAATTATGTCTTGCTTACAATCAGCGAGTATCCTTCAGCAAAGATACTTTGCGTCATAATTATCTGCTTACGTTGAAATACACATTAATCTTATACGGTCTAATGTTTAATCATTAATATTACAATTCAGTCGTGGTTTGATACATACAAGATTTAGTATGTAAGTTTAACGAGAACTTTTTATTAATGTCTTATATTTTGCCGTGATTATCTTATTGATTGTTTCTGAGTTATAATTGCAATGAATAATCAGAATCGATTAAAACCAGAGTTTATATTTACTTTATCACACACATACAGAGTGCGGTAAGACAGATGATACAAAAGGAATAATTGTTTGAGCATAAATAAGAAAAGACTGAATAAAAAATTTTTTCGTGTGAGGCTTAGTTTTCAAGAAAAACAATTTTGGGAAATTGAAAAATTGATGTATTTGTCAAAAAGCAAATATATCAAGTTTCTTTTAATATGATATTTTCTTTTTTAATGTATTAGTAATTGTAATTTTAATCAATGTATATTAATACAAAAAATGATTTTTCCGAAAACTAAGTCTCGCATGAAAAAAAGTCATCTCGCTCTCGGTTGTACCTACTGTTGTGTTGCACTTTGTGTGTAAAATTATAATTGCAAATATGTAATACATAATTACATATTTATCTTTTAATTTATATGTATATATACTTGTTTGTATTTGCAATTTTTTTATATATTTACTTTTATTACATATATTATTGTATATAATGACATATGTACACACGTGTGTATCTCTTAGTCACAATTTTTATTTTAAAATTATGAAAAAGATTTATGTGTGTGCGCACATTATATAATCTATATATAAATTGAAACACGAAAATTTGCATTTTTGATCGCATGATTGAACGATTGGCGTTTGTTTAATTTATATCGGCGTGAAGAGAGGAAAAAACCGCTAGGGATTTTCCAAGATTGCTGAAGATTGCTAAATATAAAGACTACTCTCGAATGAATTGCATATTTATATTAACGTTGTATTACGAGATCGAATTAATAAGTTAATAAACCTCGTGAGTTTTATTTACTATTGAAACATCAAAAAGCGTTAGAAAAGTCAGCGTTTTGACGCTCGAAGAGACTATTTCGGAAGTCAAAGAAAGTAAAAACAGAAAAAATATTTGGAGACGAGACTAAACAAGAAAAATCGGACGTAGGAATGTCGAGCACACAAATTGAACTTGACGGAGGATGACAATGAGAAAAGTACAGATACTGAAAAAGAGAATGGCATCTATACGGAGGTTGAAGAAAAAATTTCCGGGTGACGTAATCACACCGTTCGAAAATATTAATTAAGCAGGAGCTGTTTAATGTCGACGAAAATGCCAATCAAGATTCAAAACTCATACAAAAATATCAAAGAGGAACCAAATACGTATATATGTTACGTATTATTTTGAATCAGCCTCCTAATTTTACGAGTAAAAACTTTTTAATTTATAAGTTTTTAATTTATATCGATGAGATCTCAAGGAAATCGCGATCGATACGACATGCAGCAGAGAGTTCCATAAATGGAAATGTGGAATTAGAAATCGACACTGACGCTCGATCATCGACTTAAAATCAACATCACAAAGCCGCTGAGATCTAAGACACACAGAACCAAATATAAAGTATATTTAATTTAGATAAAAAATATCAAGTTCAATCACACATTTGTTGTTATATTTGAATCAATCAATGTGTAAGGTCGTAGTTCTCGGCGGAACGGGAGGTGCAGGCGGTTTCTTTGGTATGGCTCCGATAACCTTGACAGTATCACGATCCGTGGCAATGGCAAGGTTTACGTATTCTGGAATTCTGGTCTCACTTTCAGTGACCTCCTTTGCAGTTTGCGTAATCACGTTGACGGTCACATCAGCCGTCGTGTTTTCCCGTTCGTATTTCATCTCGACGGTCTCTTGACCTGCAGAATCAACCTTGTCGACCGCAGGTGGCGAGAGCGATGGCATCGGCGCCACCGTAATATCGGAACGCGCGATGTCGTTGATATTATTATTCTCGCGCTCCTTCGCGGTCTCTTCCCGATTTGCCGATGTCGGCTCTGTACTCGCGCAATCGGGGATACACATGCCCGGTGATACGAGCGAAGCGAAATTGGACGTCGACGGATCGATATTCACGTAACTGTTGTCGACTCCAGTTTGTTTCGTCGCCTGTGTTTCCTTCTGATGCACATCCACTGTAACGTTCTGAATGCAGTCGAGAAATCTTGGCGGTTCGCATGGTGAGATCGGTGTGTTCGGTTCCCTCAGAGATCCATCCGCTTTGAACACTGCAATAATTGTGGATTGCTTATTTCTAACATTTGCGACAGTTTTCTACAATAAAGAATTGTTTTTGTTATTTTCAAAACGACTCTAAAAAATGACCTCCAAGGTTTCAGATGTCTTTGATAATTTGAGAGAGTCAACATCATCGTGTGAACAAATGTTTTTTTTGGATAACTTAAGTTAATTACAATGGATAGGTAATCTCGAAGGTGGAAACGCGATGTAATACTCGTCGTTGACCCTGGACGGTGATTGAGTGATTTGCCGGAGATCAAGATCGCGTGCGAGGGAGGCACTCGGTGACGGGGAATACCCGGATGCCGGTGAATATCGTCCTGTGAACGGCTTCGGTGCAGGTGGTATCTCGTAAGATGTTATGCCAGTCTTCTCGTCCCTGACATTTTGCATCTAAAAATGATTTTATCTCGATAAAAAGATAACTTTGTTTACTGTTACATGCAAACTTTCTCATTTGTTAGTTTTAATATAAAATTATTCTTGTAATTTGTTTTCGTAAGTATTATCGTACAAACCCTTCTGTCTTCAGAATCTGAATGAGTGCCACTGTCACCCAAACTGGCACCACTACAGCCGCTGACAGTGCTCATTCTTCCAGATGAGGACGAGCCTGAAACATTTCGTAAAATCATATTTGACCAACTTGCATATTACAGTAGTTTTTTAAATTAAAAAATATTGTTTTTCAAATTCTCTTATTTCGAGATGCTTTTAAAAATATCTTGCGTATCGTTAACAATTATCGTGCTAGAGATTTTATTCTTACTGGATATACTACGAAGACTTAAACTGCTAACAGGCCGACGGTCACTTATGCCACTGTTAATATTTTCGGATTTGCCCGAAGAGTCGGCAACAGCGGACTCTTTCGTATCTGCATAACAAAAAAAGTCAGAAAGTCACAATTAGTTTTCGCTTAATTAAGAGACAAGAAACAAGAATTTTCGAAAAATATCAATCAATACGCTTGCCTTTCTTTCCTTTCGAAAAGAACTTTCGTATTTTATCAAAGGGCGTCACAGTCTTTATGTCTTCCTTCATCTTCTTTTGTATTCTGTCGTACTCCTCTCTCATTGCCATAAGTTGCCGTTGCTTGTCTTTGAAGCTTTGCTGCACGTCGTTTCGTTTCTGCCAGTTCTCGACGAGTCTCTCCACTTCCGATATCGTAAAGACGTTGTTTTTGAAGTCGTTTATGATCTCGAGAAGCTCGTCCTGCGGACCTGATGACGGTTCTTTCGACTTGGTGCTGCTGTTAGACGACGTTCTGCTGTACGGAAGATTCTGACAGACTTTCTGACCGCTATCCTCTCGCATTCCCGTTGAATTCGAATGATGACACTCCTGTCGAGTGCCTTGTGTAGGCGTTCCCGTCCGAGACGGCGGTGGATTCGTCGTGGTCGGCGTTTTCACACCTTTAAAGATGATGATACTCCTCGTCAAAATTTTATTATTAATTTTTACTTTAAATAAAAAATATGTTTGTTCCAGAAGAATATTGAACAATTATATTACGATAAATATAATTTGCATAGCGAAGAGAATTTAATGATATGATATATAAATTGTATAATATTACAATATATATAAATAATTAGGAATTTATAATTTTCATATAAATTATATGATTGTTATTTTATACAATTATGAATTCATTATAATAACATGTTTAAAATATAAAAGATCGTAAAAACACACGGAATACGCTACCGACGGGATGCATTCTCATATATCCCTGAAGTGACAGATCCAGTCCGTTCGGAGCGATTCCAAATGTAGGTGTGGACGGCAACATTACTGGCTTAGGTGTCGGCACAATTGAGTAATTCGCGGCTAAAGGATTGCTCGTGGCGTTTGTCGTTTGGAAAGTTGAGATCAAAGATGTTACCGGTCTTGCGGCTGGTGGCACCGAGTAAGCTTCGCTCAAAGGTCTCGGTCGACAATAGTCCTCTTTCTCGTTGCCGGTTTCGCTCGCGACCGTTGACGAGAGATCGTTAGTCGAATCTGTTGTCAAAATATATTCAAATGTCTCATGTTTTATATTTTATCTCAAGAAAGACCAAATTGTTTCAATTATTTGAATATAAAAAAAATTCCGACACAGAATTCGTGAAAAGTTTCTCAATTGTGTTTTCAATACCTGATGATCGATTTGTCGTCTGGCTCATGACTTTGAGGTAGCTGTACATGTTGGTGAATTCGTTCATTTGCTGTTTCGTTCACCGGTATCCAAAATCACACCCGAAACATGCAATACAGTCAATAAAGTCAATATATCGGTTAATTCATCAAACCGCTCGAGTTATCGATTCGAATGAGTGACATGCAAATTCGCGCAAATTTTCTTCTCGAGAATTAGCCTAATTTGTGATAAGCGAGAAAAGTTCTGAAAGTAGAACACACTTAAAAAAAGCGAAAACGACGATTTTATTAAAAAAAAAAAAAAAAATGCGTACTAAATTCAAACTTGTTAATTTTTTTTTCGCATAGTCTTCAACCGACATTTATTCAGAAAAATCAATTATTGAAAAGAAATTATATAAGAAATATAAGTGAATTTTTATACATATATATAAAAGGTTTTCCTTCTCTTCTTTTTAAGTGTGTGTCTTACAAACTTTTCTTCTAAAGTAAGTTCGCGCAAAGAATGGGCGGTCAGGTCTTGAGGAAAACGATGAATAAAATATCGCGGAAGTACCGATTGTGTTCGACTATTTGCGGACGTCGGTCTAAAGGCGAGGTTTTTGTACCATGTAGCCCCGCAGCTGATGAGCCAGTTTTGTGTGTCCAGCTTGTTCAGCAAACTCTGCAGGTGTCAACTCAGAGACGTTCCTCAAGTCGCACGCTAGCTCGCTACCCGGACATTCCAGTAATTGCCATGCCAGTCTCTCCAGACCAAACCGCGCGGCAAAATGTAGCAATGTCGGATATTCTTCTGGACCTAAAAACCAAGCTTCAAGATTCGAATCGATTCCTCAGAGAAATCACAAGTAGAAAATGCCAATTTGATTCTTTTATTCAAAAAATGACTCTGAACACCGATCGGACGGATTACTTACTTGAATAATTTTTCTGAGCTGGCACCATTCCGCTTGGAGTAGATAGAAGATTAAAGTGAGGAGGAACGTTCTTCTGAAACGCGTGAAACATCCAATTGTCCAATTGTTCGCGATCCGTTGAACTGAAGCCAAAAGTCTGCGACAAATAAAGAAAATGCAATAGTATCTGTTTCGTTATGTGGATTTCAAATTAAATCCGGAATTAAATTAATCTGTTGCGAGAGATCTTTGAATTAAATTACCTGACACATAAACTCGAGAGGATTGTCATGCGCTCTCAGAATCTGATCTAGTTCTCTTAACCGACTCTCGCACTTTACTTGTCTGACACCAAGCGAACATCCGTTTTTAGATATCTTTATGCCAACCAACATCGAAACCTCGAGACATCTTTCCGGTATCGAGAATTGTAGCGCGTATGGATTTCTTCTTTTCACATTTTTTATGTCGATCGCGTCACCGCAACGATCAACGACTACGGAGACATTATCTTTCGGAGTTAAGGGATCGTTCAGCAAAACGATTATTCTGTTTTGTCCCTATAAACAAAAATTATCGTTTGCTCGAGAAAAAACTCTTCTTCTGAGAAAAACAAAGTTTTACAAAAGTGTTTTTAAATTTGTCGGAGCGATCGGTACTAGCGATCGAAGGTGTTGCCGGTAGTGGTTTGCGAATAACGTAAAACCACTACAGTGCTTATTGATTAAAAGATGTTTTGCAATTATTATAACTTCAAAGTTTTTTAAATATTCAAGTTCTAACTAATTTCTCTCATAATTAGAATTTCCACAAAAAGTAGTTTAAAGAGAAAGCTTTTCTATACAAAGATACAATTACTTACTAGCTTGACTTTCTTGGGATGCACGGAGAACGCAACTTTGTCGCTTTTAAGTGCTGGTGGTGGCGTAGCGCCCAAAATGGCAACCGCCGCGCCCAGCAATTCGCCCACAAAAGTCTCGTCCTGATCCTTCACAAAAAACTTCTTCCACTTGTCGTAAGACACCAGACTAGATCTGAGCGTGTCGTTAATATGACTGTCGTGAACGCCCAGCATCATTGCCAGTACTTTCTCAGCAATCAGATGTTTAGTCAATTGCACGGCATGTTCCAAATTAGCTCGTACGTGTTCCAGTAATACCGGACATACAACGACAATTTGAAGACGAAACGATCGGATCTTGTCCTGCATCTTCGGACCTATCGGCTCCTCGATCGTCACGTGACATACTCTGAAAAAAACGACGAAAAAAATTGTCGGTTAAAGAATTTGTCTGATTTCAAGAATTGTTGATATTTTTCTCGACAACTTAAAATCTAATTTGAAGTTTTTCACAAACTTACTTGAACGGAGGTCGTCCTTGCTGACGACTGATTTGCTCGAAACATGCCGTTAAGTAGTTCACCCACAAGTTCGAAGCTTCGCTCTCTTTGCTGGAAACGAAGAGAATATCATCTTCTGCCTGTTCATCTTTTGACAAGGTCGTTAACGAACGTGATCCTGGAACGTGGTTAAAATAAAAATTGAATATCCATTAATAAGATTGTAGAGTTTAAAAGACTTAGTATGAATATACATATTATACTAATATATACATGATTTTTTATACGCGACTGCTCTCTTTTTAATGTACAAAGAGCTTTCTGTGTACATATGTACGTCACAGGTAACCTTGATTTATCTTGTGGCTCGGAGAATGCATTTAATTTCGTGTGACGCATGTTATGAAACACGCAATGCGACCATAATATATTTGATGGAATAATTGCGCGGATAACGCGGCTATTTCGTGCTACACGCGAAAACAATGATCACAGCACGACGAAATTTAGTTCTGTTAAAATTTTACCGTGAAATCGGTACACAGTGTCGCAACCACTGGCTCGTATCAATCGAATTGATTTTGTGATACTGTTGACACAATACGGTCGCATACAGATACGCTCTTGACAGTCATTTTGTTACAATTAAAAGCTAGCGATTTTATGCAGTACATCATAAATTGTAATATAATATTTGCAATAAAACGTTTTTATATTTTATATGTTAATATTTGGAAAAAAACTTTTGAACATTTTTATTGAGAAACAATTGATCGTAAAACAGCAGAAATATTTCAAAAGTATTACCTCTTTTATATATTTTTTATAGTTTTATTATAAAAATAGTTTTTATAAAAAACTTAAACATTTTTATTAACAAGGAAGTTTTATTATCGCAAGAATTCCTGCTTTTTTGAATGTAAGACGCGCAGTTTCCGGTTTTGGTGCTTCCAGCGTGTTTCAAGTCAAATTTCATTACTCGTGAATCCATTTAAGTTCAAAGTGAATTTCTGATAATAAATTAATTCATGACGTTAATATCATCTTCGATTTCCGGTTTTGGTGCTTCCGGTATGTTTCAAGTCAGATTTCATTACTCGTGAATCCATTAAGGTTTAAAGTAAATTTCGTGCTGGTCACACAGCCTACGTAAAACTGATAATAAATTAATTCATGACGTTAATATATCATCCTCTCTCTTTCTTTCTTTCTCTCTCTCTCTCTCTCTCTCTCTCTCTCTCTCTCTCTCTTCCCTTGATGATCTATATTTTTCACACGCGATGTGTATACATTCATAATAATAATACACAAGCATACATTGCAACTCATGCAATATTTACTCATTTAATAATTAATAACAAAATAATGTAATTGTTGTATAATAACAACAAAATTTGACATTAAAAATCAAACAGTTCAAACGTTGTAATATCATTTATTATTACTGTAATCTTCGATTTTTCGAGCACACTTATAATTTTTATTTTTGTCGTTTTATCTTCAAACTGAAACCGAGAGTTAAGTCATTTATAGGTCACATTCGATTGTTTTGTTTTTCAATTTGTTTTTCTCGGCATATGATATTTTGATAACACACCTTAGATTCAAAATACGTCGGGGAACAAAGAGCGAGGAAACTACCTTTGTGTACTTCTGTTCTCACATTGATTTTGATCAAAAGTTAAACTCAAATTCGCACATGAAGTAACAATTTAGTTTCCAATTAAAGTTACATGAACAATTATACTTTCACTTAAAGATAAGATATGTTTTGCTTTTTTATAAGTTTATTTTTTCGTATTTTTTATTTACTTAAAATACGCTACTCCAGAGTAATATTTTTAAAATAATTGTCACAAGAAAGTCATATTTTGTGAACCGTGTTTCGTAAAATGTAACTGTCACTTATTACATCTAACAGACGAGAAACTGCAACGATAATATCACAGGAAATAAAGTCGGTTTGCAACGCACGTGGGTCGTGTGTTGCACTTGAACGATAATAATCGCTGTAAAAAAAAAAGATCAAACGCTCTCGAAGACTTAAATTACTCGTAGACGTGTGATGTTCGTTGATTTTGCAGCACACGTATTTGTGTTCACGTAATAATTCTATTAGTACAAGAACATTGACTTACGAGTTATTGAGGAAAGATCTATGAAAAATGGCCGGTTTCGTCTTTTTGGCCGCGGACTGGCGAAGATATCTTTTATCATTTCTGACTCTTGTAATTGTGTGTGTGTATGTGCTCGAAGAACTCAAAGAAACATTTTGAAAGACGAACAACACATCAAAAACTGCACTTCCGTTTCGTATAAATCGCAAAGTTGTAATTTAACGATTTTAATAAATCGAAATAAAACCACGGAATGTATACTCGTCCAAAATTACGCGATACAATACTTTGGTAACGGATTTCTTCCCCGAGGTAAGATCATTGCCTTTTCGTTCAATCTCGAATGAGGACTAGTCCACAACCAACGCGACTTACGACTGTGTGTTCGAAGACTCCCTCGAGAGGAAATCGTACCGTTTTATTTCGAGGCCCCACCCCGCGCGTATTGTTTTCACGCTCGCAGCTTTGCCGGGTCGAATTAGGCGATGTCCATAATTTTCTGACACGCACGTTGTATATTAAGTTTGTGCGAGTTGTTCATCTCTCCGAATTATTCTTTCCTGCTCCGACTACGTCAAACAATAACGATATTATACAATCGTGGGCCGAATCTGTGACGATAGATTTAATTAGATTCTCATTACGAAACTTCAATCTTTATTTGATTCTTTGCATGTGAGGAAGATTTTTTTACATTAGGTATATCGTACATGTAAAAATTATATATTTTGTTACAACATTAGTGTAAAATAAATAACGCAAGATATTTTTATTTTAAATGTTAATGTAATGAGGTTTTTAGACGAAAAGTTGACAAATAACTGATTTAAAGATGACGCTGCCTCGATATCTCATTTGTATTCGGCCCACGATTGGTTTTGCATTTGATTAACATACCACATATCCTCCTGCATCAGGACGAAAGATGACGTCTTCATAAAGAATTTGTGAAAGATGCAACGCAAAACGCGCGCGCATCAAAAAAAGAAAAACATTTTATAATAGTTTTATCATTATAAATAATAAGGTAAGTAAAAAAAGTGTGTAAAATATTTCTTTGTGTGACAAATCGGAGCGTGTGTACACGTGTAAAAATAATCAATTTTATGTATGCTAATCTTTACGTACACTTTTGTTAATTATACACATTACTTTTTGTAAGAGTGGTATTTTATATTAACTTTCTGTTCAGCAAATATTAAAATCAATTCATTATTACACACCATTTATATATTCCTATTTTATATCATTTATTTCTTTAATTAAGCAATTATTTTTATTGTGATACGTAAAACATAGAGAACATAATGTCAAAAGATAATTACCAAAATATTCGGCGCTCCGTTTGGCATAATAATCCTCAGCCTTTATTTTCATCTTTATTTCCTTATTACGATTTTTCAACACGTGTAAATTCATTCATTTTGTATCACTGCAAAAAAGAACTGCGATTGAACTGAACCATTACTCGACATACAAGACAGATTTGATAATGAAGCACTTTTGACTTCAAAAACCCGCGTAAATTAAAATTGGTCAAACGAGCAACTTTAAAATTCGATGCTTAGATTTGTTTAAAGTTATTTTATATTTATATATTAAAAGTTCTATGTAACTTGAATGTTTTAAAACAAAATTGTGTACTATTTTTTAAAAAACATAGTTTGAGTAATTTTAAAATAAAAATACAATATATATAGTGCAAGGAACATTTTTCTCACGTATGTCGCGTCGAGCAGTAAGCTCGTTTGAACTATGCTCGATACTTTTAATTAATAATGTAAAAGTAATTAATGATAAAAAACTGTAAAAAAGAGAAATTTACACGAGAGAGTGATGAGTATAAAACCGATCTTCAACGTGATGCGCGGCCAAACTGAACAGACATCCGAGCGTTTCTCGAGAATACACCGACCATCGCGATGCTTACGTCCGGCGCAGGCGCGTCGTCAAGACATCAAATTTCTCTCACAAAAAGACTACGATTTTAAGATGCACGTATTAATCTTTTGTGAATTCTTCTTTTTCTTATGACGACATAACTGACGTAAAAACTATTTACGTTCAGTTTATGGAAGAAACGTATTTTCATTATTTTCTGTACAATAATGTACTTTTAAAAGAAAAAAGTGAAAAGAGAAAGATTTATGTTTTGAAGTAAGGAAGATTTATAAATGTGTGGAAGAGATTCGCGCGTGCTGCACAATATCTGTTTTTGATATAGCTTGGAAATACAGAGAATAATATTTCGAACGCTTTTATTATATTTTATTTTAGACACACACACAGTTTTCTAAAAGCCGGGACGTAAAACAGAGACTCCGTTCACACAGATGAATCAAAATTCTTTGCTTGGCGCAACCAGGGCTTTTAAAGAGATCGTTTATCGGCGCTTTTATTTCCGCCGCTCCTTCTAAATCACTTGTCGGTCTAGCAAATAATTCACCAACTACGCGTTGTATATTTTTTTTTATTATAAAACTTGTAATTAAAATTAAATAAATACAAGTAAAAATATTTTCTGTGAGAAACTTTGTTTCTTTAGCTACAGTTATTCTTAAATAGATTTAACGTCAGAGCACACATATAACTCTAAAATTTTCCCCGGCACAACATTAATTAAATCAGAAATACGCGTAATTACACTGTACGGAGTCCCACAGTAATATGCGTACGTCTAGTTATGCATTTGAGATACAGAAATTATACTGCTTCAATTAATCAGATCAGAAGAGAAGACTGAGTCACTCACTTCAAGAGACTGACGAGGGAATAATAACCGTTTTGAAGTCTATGAGAGAGGAGCACTATCTCAAACTCGAGGCTATCTCCGTAGCACTTTGCGTATTATACATATCACACATACACACAAAATATTCCAGACAATACTTCTTCAAAAAATCATTGAGAGAGAGAAAGAGAGAGAGAAGAAAGTGATTCTGTTTAAAATAATTTGTGAAAATTATACTAAAAACATAATTTAAATTAATTACAATAACCACAGACCTGATTTATTATTATTTACACAGAAAATACAAAACCAGAGCCGTTCTTTCTTCTTATTGCAATAAAAACAAATCTGTTGTTCTAAAAAAGAAAACGTAAATTATTACACGGTAATCTCGTACACGTAATCTACTGACTTTATCTACATAAAAATCGAATATCCGGAAATAATAAAATGACGAATGTGAAAACTATTTTTCCGTGGAAAATATGACGTATATCGCGAGAATGTCAATTACGGATACGCGCGAAATCGTCATACGCAAGCTAACGCAGCGCGATGTAACCAATGCATTCGGAGCACACACGCACGCAAACGTACGTATATATATGCTGTTTATAAATTTCTCGGAGGGACTGAAGATGATAAGTTTCTCGGTGGCATTTATAGGTTCCTCGCTTTCTTGGAAATCTCGACTGACAAGAGAATCATTAGCCATTACTGGGAATAATAACCGATAATAAAATGTTCTCGTTGAAAAACGATCTTTGATTTATATACAAATTTGTATAATATATATACAGAAAGATCTTTGATTCTGTCAAATTGTCGGTGGTCTATAAAATTGTTTATCTGAAATCGAGTTTTTCTTTTAATGAGGACAGCGAGAATAGCTTCTATAAGTTACAAGAGATTAAAAATAGGTTGTACAAAATAGTTTTTAAAAGTACATCACACACAAACGTACAATAAAGATTTATTATACTCTTATTTATGTGTAAAAAATTATTATGTATAAAAATTATTATTTATATATAAAAAAATTATATCAAAAACCTTGACATTGAAAGAGTAGATGATAGAAACGATCTCACGCCTCAAGGAAATAATAAATCATTCTTTGTGTTTCTGCTGCATCATTGTTTCGGACCGCGGTGTGGTCTATTGAAAGATAAAATCTCTGTATAAGCTCGGGACGTCCAACGAGACATCTATATCTCGTTCCGACAATCCTTTAAGCAGAATAGAATCGATGCAGGTACTATCGAATCGTGTCTTTCTCAAATCTTATCTGTCCTAATTTCTTTTTCCACGATTGTCGTCCTAAGAAATGTTGCAATGCATATGTTACACGTATAACGCGTTTTAATCTTTAAACCGTTTCTATCATCTTGTCTTCTAGTGATAGAGCGCTCAACTGGAAGAAAAAATGGTGCGTGACCCTTCTTCTATCTAATATTCATTTAAAAGAGGATCTGTTTAGAAGCAATTTCAAAGTCTATCTCTTTTTTTTTCCTTTTTTCTTCGCGGGAGAAATACGAGAAGTTTCTTATATAAGAATATAGACGACTCGAAGATATAACCAGCACGCTGTGAGATATGCACTATATTAAATCTCTCCCTTAGAGCAAATAATATTTTCTTTTTATCTGAACGCGTATCTCATTTTAAGCTTATAAGGATAAAGGGAATAAATATATTCCTTCTTCTCTTTGCTATTTAGTTTTTATCTATATACTTGCAAAAGTATTATATTGTCGTGATGTCGTAACAAAATCGTTCTTTCTCTCTCGCTAATATTTTTCGTTTCTTTTTTACCTTTTTTGAAAACTTTTAATTAAAACTAGAATCGGCGTAATTATCACGTATACGGGAATCGAAAATAGTTAGAGGTCGATTGAAGAGATCGATTAATGAAATGTGCTCCAAATCGGGAGAGAGGCAATGCCAGAACATTTATACACTGGAAATCCACACGTTGGACTCGCTTTATTTGGCACGTCAATTTAGATTCGTGCTCGAAAAGGGATTCGAGAGGCGCGATCGGAGTTGGAACGACCATCAAGTACATAAACGAGCTCTGATTGGTCAATACGCGATGTCCGGTAACTACGATTTATCCAGTCCGAACCAAAAGTCGCGTTTCATCGCGTTACTCTTCGACATATTTCGCTCACTTTATTGATCACATTGATCGTTCGGGAATGAATTAAATTTGTCTCCACGTCGGACCATAGATATTTTGGTATGAATTCTTACAAAATTGAGTTTTGTCTGCAAATAAAAGTATAAAAATAAGATGAATATCGATATTTTTTAATATCGATTAACTTTACTTAGCGACTAATACAGCAAAAATAAAAAATTCTTGTCAGCAATAAATAAAGGTGAGGTTACCTGTACATAATTTTTGCAAGAATTTGAATTTATTTTAACAAATTTTTTTGTTAAAAGTAAGCATTTTTAAACAAGAAGTTATTATTTAAGTACTTTGCTGACGATTTTCTTCATAATATTCGTAAATATTTTACACAACGTATCACACGACGAAAAATATTAACAGTAAAAAGATATAAACAATTAACAGTTGTGGGTTTTTTCAGACAGTTTATACAGTATCTGTTTCTCTTCGGTTTCTGGACAATCTCGGAGAACGTAAACATTTACAGCGAGATCAAATATCGAGAGGGGTAGAAGGATATTCCTTTCCTTCTTCCGGATGTTTCGTCGTTCCCGGAACGACAACGTGCGCGCGCCCGTCCGTTTATGATAATCCGTAGCAAATCCGAACAAAGCAGACACAGTTACATGTCTGAATGTGGAACACGAGTCAGTATGCAAACACTAATTGTGCTGATTGAACGGATTAATTAATGCAATTTCCGAACTCGAAGCTCTCGACGGGATAAAGATATAATGTCCAATAATAATTAACCGCGAGAGAGAAGATGCACAATATGAGATATTACATCAACGTTAAAAATAAAAACAATTAAAAATTAATACAGAAAAGTGCTTGCTCCAATATTTACTTTAATTATTATCGTTTAATTTATTTATCACAAAAATGCAAAGAGAGTTTTATAAAAATATATTAATTTGTTTTTTTTTTTAATAATTCTGTTTGACAGTTGATTTATTTGTCGTATCGTGCCTTGACGTGTGTGACGCCTCCTGGAAACTAACTGTCAACGTTGCGCCGGAAACGCTAGATCTCTCTGTGCCGGAGTTAACACCAGGAAGTACAACCGGTAAATAATATGAGGATAGAATCGAATATGCAGACGGAATGCTTAATCTCGCGGTTACTGACCTCTCGTCTTTCAATAGATTTTATGCGACTCCGCGTCGTTTATCGCTTATAACACATTCATTTTGAGCGAGTATCGCACCGCGCGAATTTATCATTTTAAAGCGTGATATGCGCTTTCGTAGATTCAAGCGCGTCTAAGAGTCTGGTGGATTTTTCAATATTTGTTTAAAATGAATTGCAAAGATAAAATGAAAGAGAGTGTCTTCTTTTACTACTCTCTCTTTTCCTTTCTCTCTCTCTCTCTCTCTCTCTCTCTCTCTCTCTCTTTCTTTTCTCAGACGGCAGGAAAGAATCTATGGCAAAAGGGGAGTGCGCATATTCTTTCGATAAGGTCGTAGAAATGTGCTGGTACAACCGTCTGTGACCTCGTGTCAACATATGGACGGATATTTCCGTTTCGGTGCCGGCGCAGCGACGTGGCTGTGCAACGATTGCAACGGAAGAGACACGTGAAAACACACATTCCCGAAACCAATCTAAACTTCACAAATAACATTTGGATATCTGTTTTTCTCGCGCATCTTTGTTCACGCGTAGCAAAAATAAAGAATATTTTTTTTGTGAAAGAACGAACTCTTCGGAAAATGTGATAACGCGTGTACGTAACACGAGATACTGTATTTTCAAAAATTGCTCGTATCCACAAATTCGTAGGAGTGAATGTAAAAGCACTTTTTAGGAACCGAGTTTGTGACAGAGCTCGAATTTTTTATTATTTTTTTCCTTGCACGAATTCGAAGCTATATGTAATTTATAAACTCGCAAGTGTGTATAGAAATTACTCTTTGACCGGATGTGCTGATTTGACCCGAACTGTTTAAGTTAATTAATTGGGATAACGAAGATAATTCGCTACACACGAGTCAGATCCTTGTCTTACTTATACACATGCGTACGTACTTTTATCACCGGCCTCCCGCAAAGTGGAATTGTTATTTTTTTTTTGTCTGCTTCGTGTATGTGACTATCTACGATTCATTTCCGGCTGTAATTAAAGAGCGACCGGATGCTGGCCGAGGTCATATTTTCGCTGTTAGAGGCATATGTGCCTCGTACACACAGTCTCGCCCGCCCGACTTTCTTAATTAAGAAATCGCTTGGTAGTTCACGTGGAAGCGCGCGCTTTGTGTTCCACATACATACGTAACGCTGTCAATCGAGATATTAAATCTCAGCGACTATAAAGCTTTTAGTGTGTAGAATGTACACACATGTGTGTGAGTGTATGTATGTATATGTGTGTGCACATCTATCTATGTACACAACGTTACAAAAAGTTTATGTACAAAGTAACAATCTTTGACAGAAAGACTTTGATCGCTCAGCTAAAACAAAAATTTGTCACATAGTTTTTAATATATTATTTACATTATATAATATGTAAAATATATATTACGTATATTATATTTTTAGTACATTATATATTTTAAAATATAAGAATATATCAAATATGTTTAAATTTTATTAAAATCAAAGCAAGAAAAACATTTGTTTGCTCTTACTTTGATAATTTCGTCGTTTTTCTCGAGCATTTATCTACTTATCAATTAGTTATTTGCAAAAACACACAAGTCTCGTTAGTTTTGTCACAACCAAAACAATTTTAGATGCATCCTTCGTGATTCTTCGTGTAACAGCTCACGTAACGTCGTAAATTTCGGAGTTTTATGGCGACCGACACACGTTCGGACGTCGGAAAACGACGAAATCGTTTGCCGAATACTAAAGGTTGTGAACTTCCGGAGCGGACTTTATCCAAGCCGCACGTGCGTGTTCATCTGCAAATCGGTCCCGGATTTTATCAGTTCGACGATCGCAAGATCGCCGAATATACTCCTGAGACTGCCAATGCTATTTAGATAGGATTTTTTTATCGACACTTTAGAAATAATGCTCGCAATCCGAATCAAGTGTATCCAGTAAAATTTATAATTAATGACAACCTTTTGTTTTTATCGATGTTTTTGGCCAATAAAAAAAACCGGGAAAAAATAGTTCGTACACCGAAATATAAAATAAAATTAAAATAAAAATTAGCGAGTTGCTTTTACATTAGAAAGATTAATATCTTACAGGCAGAAAATAAAGTGATTAATGGAACCATTTAGTGACAAAAGACATCTTCACAGTTTTCACATAGAAAGGACACTCGATACTCGTTTCGTACAAAAAATGTTTATTGAGCGCGACGCTGCAGCCTACAATTGTCACTTCACAGTGTCGTAATTAAAGCCCGGAGTGACCCAGAAGTGCCATCTGAATAGAAATTGGAGAACAATCAGTGCGATCGAAATTGTGTTGCAGTGGTCTCTGACTTTTATAACTCGACTCGGAACGCGCGCGATGATTCGCGCTTGCAATGCGGGCGTGCGACAGACACACGGGACGTGGGAATGCGAGAGAACTCTTCACTCAAGTGCCTGTTCTCGTCATAGAAATAATCATCATCATCCGCGATGAAAAAAGAATACGCGCGTAACTCGATAAATAACCTCTGTACAAGGTTCCAAAATTATCAGACGCGAGCGACAAAGTTCACTATTCGAATGCGAAAAGTAGTTCGCTCAGTTGATTGCGAGATATATAAATGAATTGCGCAATCGCATAATGAAGAATTATGTAAAAAACTTGAAAAACAAGATCTACGCGAGAGACACACCTTTGTTAGATGAGGTCTTGTGTTTTCTCCGCCTCGCCTTATTGCCGGAAACCTGTCTGCCTTCGTTGCAAGAGGAACTACAGATATCGTCGACCGATACCGGAGCTGCCGCATCCACTTCCAAGTTTCTGGATCCTTGTCGTTCGGAAACGGCGACGTTACTGGACGCGCCTGTTTCTTTTCCGAGATAAGTGCCGATCGAGTGTCTTCTTCGGCAAGAGGAACCGGCCGTGGGAAGACTGAACGAAACATTGTAGTATCTGAAAAAGATTTTCCCGAAAAGAAATTTGACATTTCGCGAATTGTTTTCTTTTCTGTAATTGTTTATAAAAGATTTCCTTTACACGCAAAGGAAAAAATAAGACAGACACGTAAAGCATTTACAGTTTTTTTTAAAAAAAAAATCTTGGATAAATAATAGACTCGGTCTTTATCTACCTCGCATCATTCCCTTCAAAAACTTCATTATCGTCGTCGTCGTCGTTGCTGTCATCGTCGTCACGATCATCTTTGGCGTTGCCTGTCAAACCGCAGTAGACCATGTCGTTGGACAAAAGCTCGCTAGCGGATTTTAGGACCCTTCTACCTCGCCCAGGACGATATCGGTCCTTCTCGGAATGCGAGTGCGACCTACGTCAGGGCAATTTCTTAGCGACTTATTTGAATTATCCTCTCGAATTTATTCAGAAAGCTCACGTGTACCTGTGAGGCAAATACGGCGACGGTGGTGCGATGTCGGACGGCCTCGGGTCGCCCTGTAGGAACTTCTGTGTTTTCTCGTGATCCGTGTTCGCGCTCACGGACCTGAAGAGATTCCGGAAGCTTCGCCTCTTGCCGGAATGAATCGCGCCGTTTCGCGACAACATCGGCATCCGCTCTTCGGTCGGGGTCGACGCGCGACCCTCGTGCTGCAAACTGGACATGGATTCCGGAACGATGACACCACCCTGGGACGGAGCCGCGCCCATCTTGCCGCAAGCTTTCCGCCGAAACAAGGCGGAAAAGCCGTGGCCTCTGACTGACGTCGGGGACGTTATCGTCTTTGTTGTGGTCGACGACGACGACGACGACGCCCCGCCGGATAGCGAGAAGTACGACGGATTATCTGTGAACATACGGATCGAACGGATCCTTCAGTTCGGATTCTCAGGTGAATCTCTTTTTTTTTTCGATTTTCTCTACGAGAAGAGTAAACACGTCCGTGGGCTTTTCGTACGTTTGTTAATAATCGAACACTACTTCGGCAATCGATATCCCGGGAGACGCGCAATCAATCGCGACCGTAACGTTCATCATTAGTTCGTGCAGTTAATCAATCGCGCGCGATTGTTACTAATTGAGAAGAACATTGTTCAATTAAGCAACACTTCTTGGTGTCCCGTCAAATCTTCGTTGACCGCACAGATTTGCAACATCGGCATCGGGGGATTGTTTTTATCTTGTCAAAATTCGCACGTTCTTCTGCGATTATGTTGCTGTTGTCGCGGTTGGAGCGCGAGAGTCACAATCGCAGCTCAACCAGCAGAGGGTTCACCTGTGACTGTGGGAGCTGTGCTTACGTTCATGGGACACCATAATCGAGCCTTACTACGACTATTGGGCTCAACCAATGGGGGGAATACGTCCAAACCGGACGTTACATTGTTCCCCCACCCGATTAACCGAGCAGGAATACGCGGTAGCTGCAGCGGAAATGCGCCACCTCGATTCACAATCTTCGCGCGCCGCTACTCTCGACAGTGAGATGAGCATTTGTTTGGATAAATCCTTATCGGACTTCCTTTTGTTAAACTTTAACTCTCATTTTTATATTAATGGGGTGACATTTTTTATTGAAAATTTCTCGACGTGAAGAAATCATCAGAATTGTCGATTTGCTACGCATATCTCTTTTCTTGAATCAACTGCGTATTTTTATAATTATCTCTAAAAATATATCCAAATAATTTTGTCTGACAAATGTCTGAAACCGATTGTTTTGGTGTTTATTAATCAACATTTCTCATTGCGAGTTGAAAATTGATATTACATTCTGATAACGTCGAGTTTTGCATTATGCAATTCGTGCGTAAAAATTACAAAAAACAAACTACTCCTCATCCGAGAATAAAAATAAAAGAGAGAGAGAGGGGGATGAGGTTCACGCGCGATTATGCGTGAACGACGTGCCCCGCGTGTCGATGACGATCGCGTCGTTGAAATCTGTATGCGATCTCCGCGATCTGTCATTGTGATTGCACCAGGAAAGAATAAAACTTACCGACTGCCATGGCGACCTTCTCCGTATAAAGATGCAGTGGACGAGCGCGAATACCTAGAAACAACATTAATGTTACGAACAATTGTATAAATGTATGTAAATATTTTTATTTGATTTAAAATTGAGTCCGCGCGTCACAAAAAATGCTGTTATATGAATACAGATGTCTGAAAAAACTTTTTAAATTTTTCTGCTTTTCTATGTTTATTTTTATTTTTCTCGCATTTAATTTGCTGAACTGAAGATTAGCGCTGAAATCTCAACTACAAATGTTGTTGCGTCACATACACTATCTCTCTTTCTCTCTCTCCCTTCTTCTCTCTCTCTCTCTCTCTCTCTCTCTCATCTGATTGAGGAAATTATACACGGGAAAGTCTCCGCGAGAGACCGTCGGTGCTTTCATTCATCTCTCTCAAAATACGCATGAATATTATATTTAGCACGGTGAGAGGCGCGCACATGAAGAACACGACCCGTTTACACTTGCATGAAGAAGGGGGTGTAGAACGGAGTAATGGGGGTCGAGCACGAAGGCGACTCATTCACGTGTTATGCACGCGACATTATCACGTTGTCCTCCGCGTGTCTTGCACACATTTGCCACCGTTATCTAAATGATATGATATTTATTCAGTTCATCATCGGAAGAAGAGAGAGAGAGAGAGAGAGAGAGAGAGAGAGAGAGAGAGAGAGATTGCTTCCGCGCAAAAAGATTCTTCATTTTTAGACAAGGGCTATAACAATAAAAGATTGCAAAATAATTTTTATATGAAACGCGTTTTTAAAATCTTTCTGACTTTAATCTCGTGATTTAATCTTTAAATTTATCTGTAATTATTTTATTGACACAATTGTTGAAATTCTAATTTGTAAAATGTATATATTGTTTGTTTATTTTCTTTTGTATATAAAAAGAATTAAATTTTTGACTAAAAACTTTGAGCAAGTTTTAGAACTCGATCTCACACAATTGTTTGTCAACGTTAAAATGACGTTAAAAAACAGGAGCGTCCAAAGACGCGACGTAATTTTCTCCGAGTTATATATACTGGGTTTATATGACAACTTTATTTTCGTCAACCCACGTGGCTGCTCTCTAGATGAGATTAACCGGGAAATCTGTACGTTTCCTCGGAATTCAGTTCGGCGAATACGCGACACCGCGACAATTTTCTGCCCTCGTAGTTGCTGTACAATGATGGCGGTTACTATTTTCGTATACGACCGGGAGAACGTGCTCGGTAGAGACGTGGAGATAAATAGAAGAGGAGAAAGAGAGAAAGAGAAAGAAAGAAAGAAGAGGGTAGAAGAGCCGGGAAAAGGGTGATTGTACTCAAGAAAAGCTGAGCTCGTGTGGTGTGTTGTGTGCTCCGATACGCTCCACCTAAATTAACCAGAGCTACGAAAAATGTGATCACATACGCAATTAATGAAATTGTCAAAACATAGTAATCATCTTGTGTAAAAAGTGAAATAGGTTATTATACTATTTCGTGTAATTAAAAAAAATCAATCTTTACTTTTTAGCAGAATTGAACTTTAATGTATACAAATAAAAAATTCATCAAGCACGACTATCCTATTTACGTCTATTGCTTCTGTTTGTCAATTACATTTTAATTTGTTTCAAATTAATTCCAAGAAATCGCGCGCGACGCTTTGTTGCGCACTTGGTGTGATCACAAATGCGACAAGAGTTTTTGTACGAGCAAGACAATTCTCGAAAAACTGTCGAAACAGTCATCAGTAGTTTTGCGAGATTGAGTTGTGCCGCGTTTAAACGCGGTTTCCCGAACAAATCGCGCATATTCGCGGCTATTAATAGAGGCCTGTTCCTGCGACCGTCGCGGAGGACTGGCCGCAGCGCTTGCCGCATCGCACCCTGCACCTGCGGCAAGCGCACGGGTCCGGGTCTGAAAAAGAAGCCTGTATCCGGCGATGCACGTGCCCCTGTAAATCTCGCACATGTGCGGCACACGCTGTGTCCAGAATGCGGTGCGTTGTTCGCGCCGTGAAGACGCGCCGGCTTGGTGCGAGGCGTGATTGAGAGGATCTTCCCTGGAAAAACGGCTCGACTCTCCCCCCGTCTACTACGAGAACCTACTTCCTACTGTTTTTCGTGTTCGGTACTAATTGTTTCTCAAAAAAAAAAAAAAAAAAAAAAAAACAAGCTTTCGATTTTACTAGCTCTCTTCGCAATCTTCCGAAGAAGAAACGTAGAGATTAATTTGATATCGCGCCTCAAGATTGCATTCTTGATGCTCTCTTTGTCTTTAGAATTAGTTGCGATAAACGAATTACATATGTCTGAATGATAAATAAATTATATTGAGTTGCGTGGAATAAAAATGAAAGAAGTAGCAAAAATAAGGATAGACGCGAAAAACTGTGTTAAGTTCTCAATAAATAATACGTATTTCTTTATATTGTTTGACGAACAATTGAAAATTACTTATTGAAGCGCACGAACACGCGAGAAAGAAGTCGGTTCAGAAAAATGGAGATAAATTCAGTCTTGTAACAAAAGTTTTCAGTACATTAGAAAACAGAATAAATATATATAAATTACGTATGTATAAACTTCTTGATGTCACACTTCTTGAACTCACCTTTATTTCGTCCTTATTATAATATTCTCTGCATTATTCAGGTTTTCTGTCTTCTATAATCCGCTTGAAAGTCTTCAAATTTATATCCAATAGAGAAGTTATCTTTAACTAGCAGCAAACAACACGTTACTTTTCACTCAAACTAAAAACAAATGTGTGTGTAAAGTTATATTATCATTTGTTTATTTATTTCTTCTCTTCCGACTGAAACCCACAAAATGTTCTCAACACAAATATCAGATCTTATCTTATCTGTGTTTACAAATTTCAATAAAAGTTAAAATTTTTGTATTTTTTTATTCTCAGGTGTGATAAACATCGATCTTCGCTCTTATCGTACGTATAAAGATAATGTGGATCTGAAGAATACGACTCGATTGCATTAAAAAAAAAATCATTCCGGAAGTTATAGCGAAATAAGTGACGGATTTCGTAAAAGTGTTTTCTTTCAGACAATGCGATAGTGTCATGAACATCTCATCTAGTGTCTCCATGTATGCTTTATACACAGTCTGCTGCAATTTACTAGTTAAATGACAATCGATCATCTCGCGCGTTGTTACAAAGTTTCTTTTTTTTTACCGATTTTTCCACTCGGTTACGAAGAAAACATAAAGAGTGTGCAGTCTCTTCTTTCTCTTCATACTTTAAAGACACTTCGCGTTTTCGTTCATTTACGTTATACCCATCTCTCGCGAGGGGAAGTTTTACGCGGGATAAAATCACATGGTCTTCTACGAAACTTCCCCGGTCAAATCGCATCAGTGCCGAGGTTTCACGAACTTTGTCAGGGTCATGCTCGGTCAGGAATCGTGCACGGTACGGCGCAACACTTCATGAAGCACTGACAAGCCAAGACCAGGAGAGTCCCATCGGCAGTACTACCATATGATCGCTCGCTCGTTCGCTCGGTTCGCTCGCTCGCTCGCTCGCTCGTCCATTTGCCCCGATGCTCTCCTTCTCTTCTTCAGCTGCCACCACCCACGCATCTGGCAAGTCGTACCGAAGAAACGCCCATGTGTAAGACTCTGTACGAGAAACGTTATTTTGGGACAGACGAGGACGTTCGAGGTTTTGGGACACCGAATATAAAGGCAATACGTCGGTCCGACGTGATGTTTGAGAAGAAACCGTACCAAATGTGCACATTTTTTTTTACCCTTGTCAGAATTTTATCCTTGCCTTCGGAAAATTGATTCCTCCATATATTTTTCTCTTTTCACACGCTTGTTTTACACTTCGGCTACTAGAAACACAGTTCACATAATCTCAAACGAAAGATAAGCACAAGGTTTTGTGTGAAAATTAAGTTTAATTTTTTTAATTGTGACGAAAAAAAAATTGGTAAAAAACGAAAACAATGGCAAAAGAAGTATGAAAAGATTTACTTGTGTTTTTTTTCTAAAACTATTGTAATTATTTTTAGCATTCTAATTAGTATGTATTTACACTTTCAACTTATACGGTCTAAGATTAAATGTTTATAAAAAATACCTGCGTATATATACCGCTCCGTAGGTACAGCTCGAAATGTATTTGCACACCCGAGTGTTTAGCGGCGATTTCTTTAAGAATATAACGCGCGCACGCTTGCGTGTCTGTTACGCATATGCGTGCGGAAGCGGAGCGGAGCATGGATTTCCTGTCCGCGAACACGTGCATATCTTCTCGAGCGGTGAGAGGGTTCGACCCTTTTGACACGTTTCACTCAGCTGTATGTCTTGTAAAACCCTTTGAGCGATTACTATACCGTGAACTTCTGACAGCGAGTGGCCGTTCGACGTAAACTGGGAAAATAAAAAGAAAGTTTTGCCAAATCGCAAATGTTCGGTTTTACATACTGTACAAATACATTGTTTATGGATAAATATTAACAATCGACGACAATATATAGTAGCAATAATTGTTTTGTCATTTTTATTTTTTTTTTCTAAGTGTCACGCACGATTGTTCAGAATTTAAAATCCAGCTTTCTTTATCGCATTTCTTCAAAGAAAAAGAAAAAGAGAGAGAGAGGCAATTTTGAGAAAATGTGTATTTTCTTTTAAATTTATAAATATTTTTCGTGTTAAAACAAAAAAATCTATACTACTTCGAGAAATGCTAAAACCAGTTTTACGAATTCACCGGCGAGAAATTTTGAGTGACAGGCTTCGTAGGTAAAATACTGACAAAATGTCTGACACATGTTGACTGCATACGTACATATATTCCCGGCAAACCATTAAAATGCTGCAGGTGTACTATGTTATTTGTACACTTCGTTTTTTTTAGTTTTGACGATACTTGACACCCAATAAATTTTCAGGATGCTGATGATTTCCACGAATTAAAAAAAAAACTTTTAAATGTTAAATTTCAACATGAGATATTTTTTTTTCAAAATACGAAACTGTTTTTAAATAAAAAATACAACATTGTATTTTCTTTTTCTCTCTCTAATTAGTTGCTTAATTTACTAATACAAGGTATCAAAAATTTGTTTTTTTTTATACTTATACACTTTCTATATTTGTAAATTTATTTAATTTTTATTTGTGTCGTCGCCTCTAAACAATGTTGCGCGTTGTTTAAATTCAACGTAAAACGGTGGCATCAACAGTTGTAAAACCGAAAGAGTCGGCGATCACTATCTGTCGTCTTCGCCAGCAGAAGCAACAGGAATGCATAATTGATCCACACGCATTCACTCACGTTTCGGTGCGTCTCGTGTTCGTCCTTTCTCGTAATTCTCTCGGATTTAAATTTCTAATCGAGTTCTCCTCTCTCGTATTTCAAGATGCCACTTCGCAAATATTCACGTTCGGTTCACTTTGTGAATTGACTATTTTCAGGTGACACGTCTATCTTTTTTCGTAAAGTAAATAATAAGAAGAGAGAGAGGCAGAGAGAGATTGTTACAGTATATTTTTATTGGCGGATAGTAAAATATATATATATATATATGTCCCTTCTTCTCGGTCGGTAAGGTTGCGAGATAAAAAGAGGTTCAAGGCTGTTTAGCAGCGGCTAGCGAGTGAAAGCCGCGAGTCTCCGGAATCTCGAGCGAGACGCGTTGAGCTCAATATCGCGTAGTGCTCCTTACGTATGTACACACGTACGATCGTGTTGCGAGAGAAAGAAAACGTCGCTACAAAATCTCCCAAGAGAACCAAGTTATTAATATTATATGATTCTTTGTGGCTTGTAAGTGTACTCTTCTTTGCGCGCGGTTCCTCCACGAGATAAAAAAAATAATTCCGAATAACAAATCGCGATCTCGAAAACGATCTCGTAAAGATCGCGTTGTGAGCTCGATGTTATAAGTGTTATATAAGAGCGAATGTGCGTTGTGTTTTCATTGACGTAGCAATTGTGAATTTGCTGCTCTCTCGGAGCTGTTTCAATTTAATAATTTAAAATCGTAGAGAACAAACACGTACATTTAAATTTACATACGTGCAAGTTTGACATTCTGATCTTGATATATAGTTAAAAACTATATCAAAATTATTGATTAATTAGTTATGGACTACTACGTATATACAGTAGTAGGCCCCTGATTTTGATCTTTTACTAAGTTCAAAGCTGCTGTAGAACGTATATATTATATACAGTAAGACCTGCGTGAGAACAGCCGATTCGAGTCTCGTAGAAAAACGAGGCACGAACTTGAGATCTTTTCAAGAATCGTCTCTTTTATGGTCTTATTGTTAGTTGAGAACCGAGAGTTAGAGTGTAACACAATATACGAGTGTGCGAGCAAGGCTAAGAGATTTTAACACCAGACAGGAAACGAAGGGATAGTTAGGCTTTCGACGTTTATAAAAGCAGAGTCAAACCACATTTTTTTGAATGATAATGATGTTATCGGTGCGGTCGAGTGAAAGAAACTCGGTTGTCATCAAGCGGGACGTATTTATACATCATAGATAAAAATTATTTCTGACTCCAAAGTTTTCGCAATTACTTTCATGTACTAAGCAAGAAATTATTTTGCGATTTTTTTGATGTCATAAGATCCTTGCAAGAATGTCATCGGATTAAAAGAATTTGATCGCTCTAATTGCAGAATAAGAGGAGCGCGACAACGCGCGTGAATTTTGGGATATTGCATTAAGTTCTGCGCAATTCTTTTTTTTTTTTCAGCAAGAAGTGGAATGACGCGCAAGGGTAGTTAAAGCCACAATTCGCAACTGCGCAACGAGCGCGAAGTGCGCCCGTATTGTTAAAGGGGTGCGGGCTCGGGATCGCGTGAGTACGCAGTCGCGCGGGATTCCCCGGGAATCGGGTCTTTCCGGGTCTGCGACACGGTTTTCCCCTTCAACTCTCGGCTCACTTCAGTATCCGCGGTAGTCGGTGACGTGCCATTCGCTCGCTCGCAACAGGTGACAGGATTTCTCGACTCGGGGTCAGAGAGGACGACTCAGATTTCGACGAGAGACTCGAAAATCGGGCAATATAGTTGTCACATTTCGGCTAGTTTTTTAACGTCCGTTGGGAGAAGAAAGGCGAAAGAAAAAAAAGAGCGCTAAGATTTACGGAGACGGTCGCAAAATGAGTGTCGAGGACGCCATCAATTACTCGCCCAGCGAGGAGGAGGACTATTACAAGCTGTTGTCCTGCGACGAGAACTCCACGGTGAGAGAGACGAATAGCGCGTCACGACGAATTTATTCTCGTCGCACATCGCAATTGACGTTTGATTTTCCGATTCAAATTGACCGCTAAAAGCGGCTGATTTTCATTTTGCGATCGCAATTGACACGCATTTTGTTTTTTCTAACATTTGAAAAATTCAAATTGATATTTAATTCTGCGAAAATATAAAATTGACAATTTGACAAAGTAAAAAAAAATAATTGTGTTATATGAATAAATGTAGATATTGCGATTTAAAAATGTTGAATTCTTTCATCCTTTGCGTTAATTTCAAAAAGTGACGAATAATTTTCAGTCTAGCGTTTGTCTCACGAGATAAACAAGTCAGTTCTATTCCTTAGTCTTTGTCCTTCAAATTTCTATACTCATTTGTCTAATTGTGCTTTCAAATAGTTTTATAAAAGGCAATTTATATTAACGCAAATTTAATAATTGAATATCATTTTAATTATCACTTATACGTTTCACATGTTTTATGCCGCGTTTTATCAATAAATAAGAGTGTATAAAGCGTGTTGTGTAGAGTTTATAAATAAATAATCTCGCTTTTGTGTATGTACGAGAGAGTAGAAATATTAACAATGTTTGTGTTACGATGTGTTAATCATGACCTTTAATAACAAATGTATATTAATTTTCTCCTCACCCGCGCCCGTTACGTTAATTAAATTATGTGTCCAGTCTCTTTTCTAAATTAATTAGGCTTTCGAGAAGGAAGGTTGCAATTTAAATTCAACATTAATTGAATTCTCGATCAAACACAATTAGTCGCAGTTTCAGTCGTTCACGGGTGCTGAAGTTGTTGAATTGCGTAACGATATTCTGCGCTCGCAAATAAAAGTCGCATTTTCCATCGAGCGTGAGATCGTTCTCAATCGATTGAAAAACATTTTCTTCGATTTTTACGGCAAACGTAATCGTTTCGTTATATTGGCAGAGAAGGAAAACGATTACTTTCACATACTACAGAACAAACACATCAAAATGTGATAGAAAGGTTATTTGCCTTTCTCGAGTTTATCTTTTTATTTTTTTACGCACTGTCGTCTACGTTCCGACTTCTAATAAATCGTTTATACATCAGCATGTTTGTAATATCTCGTTTTTCTGTCGGCGAGTAATACTCGTGACATTAGATACCTGAAATATGCATGGAATGTGTTTACAAAGAAACGCAAAGCAACAAAATGATCGAGAGATAAGTTTTTTATTGCTAATATTAAATAAATACGTCGCAACAATTTTTTATTTCCCAAAAACTGTTTGTTCGAAGTATTAATTAATTATAAAAATCTGTGTCTGTAAAAAATTTGCAAATGTCTTTTTGACTTTTGCGTTCGAGACTGGCCGGGATGAGTAGAAAAGAAAAAACAATTTTGCAATAAAGTAAATTAATCTTTAATCTTGAATGACGTAGATCGTTTCTATCGCTTTTCTCTAAAATCAGGTCGAGCAGATTACGGCGGAATATAAGGTATTAGCTCTTCAATATCATCCCGACAAGAATGAAGGTGATAAGGAGGCCGAGAAGAAATTTCAACAATTAAAGGTGCGTTTTTTACGTACAAAGAAAAGTCGATCATTTTGCAATCTACTTAAATCGCGCGCGCACACACACACGTTTCATCAAAAGGGGTTCTAATGTATTGTGTTTATCCCTCAGTACGCGAAAGAGGTTTTATGCGATCCTGAAAAGAGGAGCATCTACGACAAATGGCGAAATAGTGGCATCAAGATCAGTTACAAGCAGTGGCTCGGAATGAAGGAGCACGTGCAGCAGGTGAGCCGACGATAGTTTACGATCGATGCAACTATTCTCTTGTGTCTTCGACACAATAAGCTACATTTCAGTAACATCAATAAACTCGAAGAGTAAAGAAAAAAGAGAGAAAAAATCTCGGCGCGAGACAATAGAATTCGTTACCACCTACGTCGGAACAAAATCGAGGTTTCCTTTCGCGTACATATTATCAATCGTAATTCGCAGCGCGAACGCGCTTGCGAAGCGAATCAAATGACTTCATAATTGTACCAACGGGAGGGAGTCTCTTTTAGCTAACGACCCATATTACGATTCGCTGTGAAATTCACTTCGTCTAGGTTTCCACACATATTGCTTTTCAGACTATGCACTGGAGCACACCGAAGACAAAAGACAGAATGCTGCCGGATGCGGGAGGAGAAGCGGGCGGTTCGCCGTCTCACCTCAGAAGTCACCCCACAAACGCGCACAGGAGAGCCTCGGAGGGTGGCGTCATGAATCTGTACTATCGCTCGGGACAGGGCGTACCGTTTCAAGAGCCGAACGAGGTCGTCAGTAAGTTTCGTAATTATGAGATTTAAAAACAGAAACAAAAAGATCTCCCAGCGTGTACACTTCTCTTTTCGATGCCGACTTCTACATATTGTACCAGACTCTATGAAAGCAAGAAAAATGTTATACTAGACAAATATCTACCTGCGTGTAGGGGCGTTGGTCAGATCGTCGTTAGCATGCCGTTGTGTGCTTCGTAAGAATACGCTTCACTATCTGGATGAAACTGTTTGTATCGATATTTTTTTTGTCTTACACACGCGATTTTACAATCGTAACATTTTAATTTTTTTTTATCACTGCGACGCGATTATGTTGTTCTTAATGTCGTTTCAAAAGAAAACACGACAACTTTAAATAATCATAACTATGTGAAATATATTTAATTTAATGAAATATATTTAATTTAAAATTGCAATTAAATTAATTTTCTTATATCAGACATATTTTTCTCATGTTTACTCAGAACGCGTACTTGATCTAACGAACGGTCCTGCGCGCGCGTACGTGCCCGCGATAATCGCTCGCACATATGTGTCGCCTTCAGATTTATATTTTGTTATACTATACTTAAGCACGCGCGAGACGAGAGAGGAAAGAAAAAAAGGAGAAACGCTGGAGGACGTTTGATATAATATGATTTACGGTCTCTTTCTCTATCTCTTTCTCTCTCTCTCTCTCTCTCTGAAATCTCCCGAGTAAACGTCCGTTTGACTGGTCGCGAATATTATTACACACACGCAAGTCTCGATCGTGCAATTCTATTGTATGTCTCTTGATCTTACGAGATGTTTAGCAACAGAACGTTACATATATATATATATATATATTATATATTAAACGATGTAGTATCGGGGGCTGTATAGTTGTCTGTGATTCCGCAAAAAAAAGAATTTTCCACTAGAGATTTAATAAACACTGATCGTTTCAAACACTTCGGAATGTCGTTAAACACTTTGGAACGAAATACTTAAATGCCCGCCAGGTAGTCGCAAATTTTTCTCCTGCATGTTTAGCTGTGCTATATCGCTGTGAATCGTCGTTTTTCACGGCGATTTATATGTATACATATATGTGTGTGCATGTGTGTTTTTTTTATTTTGATTAAAAAATCCCCGATTTAACTGTCGCGTATCGGTAGCAATGGTGGATCAATCGTCAGAAAAAAGTAATTTAATTCCCTGAATAGGATCGAATTTATTGAATGCAATGTTTTAGTGGAAAAAAATAGAACGCGCACATGTGTACGTATCCATTGTTCTCTGTGAAATAAATAAAAAGTCGTAAACACACTGTCATAAATAAATACGTAAAATAAAAAATACCGTGAGAAACGTGATAATATTTATTTCGCACGGAATAGAATTTTACTGTGCGCGAAACTGTAACTCCATAATTCGTGTTTTTCATATGTATTTTTGTTCGGAAAATATTTGTCTCTTCCGCGAGAATTTTGACAGTGTCACAAGACGGAGCGTTTAAGTATTTCCTTCTTTCATAAGAAAGATCGACGATGGCGCACTTGTACCTGTATGTCCAAAATGTCAAACGCAAACTACATCGTTCTTTCGCGCCGACGATTGCGCAAGCAACGCGTCTTTCTTTTTCGGGTAAAGTACAATCCGAGGTTCACGTTTTTCTAGAATCGCGGAGGAAAAACGGAAAAAGAGGTTCAGAATCGATACAATTTCTCGACGTCGCGCAAGTGCGAAGACAAATTTTACGCTGACGAATAAAAGCAAAGGTCGCTCCCGCGCGCGTTCTAAACACGAGAAAATTGTATCGATGAATATTTATATACAATTAAAGAAAAATAAGGTTCTTAGAGAGCACATACATGTATAAATAGGTATTCGCGGAAATTTATGCTTTTTACTCGCGTTTCCGCGTGTTTGCGTCTTTCCTCAACGCTCGACACAGCGGTCGAGAAACAATTCGTCGGTGAACTGCGTTTGACATACTACTTTCAAGAATGCCTACTTGTAAACAATGATTAGTAAACTAAACTTAGTGACAGTTAATCGTGAATGTGTCGATGTGTATATTCTCTCTTACAGTAATTTCATTAGTACCGCCTTCTCTCTCGGAAGAGGAGAGTTCGTCCTCTCGTTTTAAAGTATATTTGATGTCATTTGTGCATTTCTTCATTTTTCGAGTAAAGCGCGTCGAAATATTCCTCGCTCGCTTGAGGTCAAGCATAAACGAGAAAAAAAAAAGAAATAAAATATAATTTTAGATTTTCCTATCGAGACAATTACGGCTCACGCGATATTGCACGAAGCGAATATCCGACGCGTTTAACTCGAATAACGCGTTTAGCTGAATCGGAAGTGACTCCAATGACATTAAACGTACGCGCGGTTGTCTCTAAATCGATCAATCTTCTTCCTCGCAAAACAAAAAGAATGTGATTCTCGTAACCTCTGGCAAGTTTCTAAAACATATCACGGCAGGTCCACATTCCGTCTTTCCCCTTCGTTTTTCCCGAAACGAAGGAAGACACGAAGCAGTCTTGTGCGAAGCAAGACAGAAGGATATAAGCGGGATAATAATTGAGGCTGTTGGATAAATGGAGCGCGCTTATCTGCGCCCACACACACACACACACACACAGAGAAATGAATTGAGTAAACGGCTAGTAAATGTGGATAAACGGAAAGACGCGAGAATAGTCTCTATATCATTTTCAGCAGTGATTTGATTTCTATGCTGCTGAATGAGATTTTCTATATGGAATTTTACGTTTAAAGAGTTATGTAACGCAAAATTCTCTTTCGCAGCTCAAAGGAAATAACAAACGCAGTGGTTTCTCAACAATAACGTTTGTTCTTCCAAGAGTCTCAATTCTCCTACTTGATCTTAAATGTCAACCTAACAACAACGAGGATTTAACTCGTTGCTTACTGCGATCTGATCGCGGCGCAACGTCACAAATACGCAAAGCCAATAAGGAAGAGGGTCAAGTGGCAATTACACGGTTATCTTGTCACAGAATTAAATCGCTGTACCAATCGAGAGTTTCCGTAAGAGCTATCTGTGGAATTAGAAAATAAGAAAATTCAAAAAGAAGATTACGAGGAAACAACAAACATTATTCGAGATTAGAAAATAATAAGAAAATATTGTCAAGAGTTTTTCGAACTCCAAATTTAGTTTTATTTTTTTTTTTTTTCTATATCGCTTCTATTGTTTTTTTCTTAGAGCCTCTGTTACAAGGAAGCTAAAGAAAATGGCTTGCTGCTCGACTCATCTTCCTATATCGACTCTACGTAAGCTAGACGTCGATGCGCGCGGTCAATCAAATTAGTAGAACATGTAAGCGTTCGCTCGCGCTTCGTGGGATTCGCCACGCGATCGATTCCTCTCTCTGGACTTGCGAGACGCAGATGCACAGCTAAATTAAATGACTTTATCTCCGACACAAGAGAATCGTGTCCAATAAAATCGTGTATCTAATAAATACACTCGATAAATTATCTGCTGTCAAATATAATTTCGCTTTATATTGAACGGGAGCGAAATTTTAATTTCAAGTTTTCAATGTTCAGATGAAAGTTTTTTCCTTGGAAAAAATACGACGTTTCGTAAAGAGCGAATTTATTCTATAATTTTTTTATACATATATGTTTACGATACAGATGGTGCGGTCGTTTCTTTCTCGATTGCGTCACCACGGACCATTTCTGTATACGAAAGACATGAATTTAAAGTTTATAAAAAATATAAATAATACACATAATAATATAAATTTTTTATTTGTAATTTACTGGCATACTGTACGATACGGGCTAATTGTGTAATGTAATTTGTACTCTATGACATAAATTTTTCATGTTTTTTAAAATTTTTACATTTTTCTCACACACGTGTAATGATTAGTTTTTCTTCACAAAAAATATCTAGAATAAATATTTATCAGAATAAGACCTAAGCAGATAAGAATTGGATAGAGGAAGAGGGTTTTAATCTCGTCGCGCGAAGAACGCACCACGAAGTTTATAGAATAGATTAAACGGCACCGGGCAACGGGCGTTCACAAAATGTCTTTAGACTTAACTTTGTCTTCGAAACTTGTTTAAAAACTTTCAAAGAAAGTAGGCAATTAGGTTGATAAGTCATTAAAGCTGAATGAGGATAGTTTGAGGAGAAATAACAAAACAAAACAAAAATACACATACTTCATCGATTCAGTATCGCTGATAACATGTTATCGCGCATGTGTTAGAAAAACAAAACTGGAAATATTATTTTTTATTAGAGGATATTATAGCGTGTAATTAAAAGCACAAATATGTATGCAAAGGAACGGCATCTGAGATCGCAAATTCGACTTGATACCTCGTTTATTGAAAATAAGACTGTTGCTTACATGGACGATTAGAATCAGATCGAAACAGATATAGAAAAACAGAATGGCAAAGACTTTTTTTTTTATCTTATATAAAAAAATGTGCGTCTATACGCACCGTGAGAGCAGTTTGAATGTCGAAAATTTTTACGACACGATTGCAAAGATCGTGCGGCCAACCGTGCCCGCTGCTGTCGAAAGTTCACTGGACCACCCTGTATATGTGTATACTATACCTATATTTTTCTAGACGGATATCTGGGTTCGCGGAGTGTTTACATACCTATACATATACATATATATATTACCTATCTACATATGTCGTTTAATGATTGACCTATCGCAAGAAGCTTCTGGGAGAAAGGTCGGAGGTCTGTTCAGATGCCTGTCAGTATGATGCTCATGTCGACGATCCTAATTTTCCAATTTTTTTTTTGCGTTGAATGTAAGATAAAAGTCGCGCAAAATTCCACGCTGGAATTTATTTGATTTTCTTACTCGAGAATCCATGCAAATGTATGTTAATGTCATATTTAACATATTTAGTTCAAGCGCGTATTCTTCTTCAAAACAAAAAGCAACATCGCATTGAAACAATTTAATTTTAATTCCATCGACGCTTATTTTCGCATTTGTAAATAGCGTAGTATTAACAATGTGTTCACATTACATTAGATCTTTCTAAATTAATTACGCAACGCTAATTACGTTACTTAACGTTTATACAATGGCTGTCTTCCACTTTGACATCTACGGTTTAATGATCGCAGAGCTTCGTCGAGAGCTTTTGAATAATTACCTGCATACAACGTTGTTAAATTATAATTGCGCTTTGGCAAAAATAGAGCGGCTGTTAGTCCCTGTGAATCGATAAACACTTACCTCACACAAAAATATTCAATTGCGATTGCCAAATGTTTAAGAGAGAGACTGTTCGACATTTTATATATACATATATATACATATATATCTTCTTTACACAAATTAAAACTTTAATGTATATAAAACATTTTTCTCTCGGCGTAAATAAGTTTTTCTTCAAAAAGATGTTCGAAAAATTTTCGGGAGAGAAACACACAAAAAATAATATAGTTATCTAGATGCAAAAATTATACTATCGCTTAGTACATTCTTTAGAGATTAAATTTCTTTCCATGATGAATCGTCCGATTGTCACTGTTATAACATTTAGATGGTGTGTCTCATATCAGATGTTAACTTGTACGTTAATTGGCTAGTGATTACGTGATGTAATGTTATTTAATTAATTATATAATTGCACGGCAGCTGAGAGATCGAAAAGACAAAAGAATTCTGAGTTAGTTGGAAAACTGCGATTGTTATCGTTGAAATATACATGCAAATTGTTTTATTGCGCAACTTACTGGTCGGAGTGAACAGTATTTTCGATCGCGGTTCTCCGATGAGAGAACCGCGCGAATCTCTCGTGTGCCTGAACACATTGTGAATGAAATATAGGTGTGTGTGCGTATATGTGTCTAAAATACAACAACTTATAAATTAAATTGCGTAATCACAAAAAAAAAAAAAAACAAAATACATATATTGTATATTCGTCTCGCGCTGGTCGACGCGACGATGTATTACTCATGTGTACCAATAAAGACATTCAATAAATGTGTTTACTTATAATGAAACATTATCGCTCACACTTTAATCATCATCACCTTGCTTGGGGAGGAGGCGCGAAAACACGACTCGCAAATGAGAGAGAAGCTTTTACGATGACATTTCTCTCTAATTAATTACGCCTCCGCCGCCGAATGTATGTCATTCGAGAAAAGCTAACAGTAACTTAATCTTTGAGGCGTGTACAACGTGTACTGGTGTGGATATGAAACAATTCCGAGTAAATTAATTATGTTTTTTCTCATGCATATACATATTTCACCTTGCCGTTCCGACACACGTAACGACAAATAACAATACTCTTTGTGTGGGTTCGCGATCCCTTTTCAGACCGCGATCATCACAATTCTCGATGTATGACGCACTTCATTAAGGAAATTAATCGCTATCAAGCTAATCAAATGTCACAATGGTTACTATAGGTAATTGTCGATTACCGGTAATAATGAAATGATTGTTTCACACACATCGCACTTTCCCTCGAAATTTCCTTCGAGCGAAATGATAAACGAACTCATATGTCTGATTTAGTTTTTGCAACTGGTCTCGAAAATGTATTAAAGATAGAAATAAAGTTTGAGATTAACATGTGTGCAACAAAAAAAATAGTTCTACTAGATGTAAAATGAAGAATGTCATTTGTTCGATTCATGTAAATGGTTATTTAAATAAAACAAATTTCTTTTGCGTTTTTTTTTTTTGAGAGAACAACAGCTCGGTATTTTTTTGCTATTATGTTCGATCGACTGTGTTAGGTTTCGGGGTGTAGCGTTTTCATAAGTTTATATACGAGAAACTTTGTTTTCCATATAGAATAGGAGGCTCGGCGCACCGCGCCGGATGATTGGGAACTGGAGCGAAACATTTGCTTCTCGCTTCGAAGATTTCTCCGCAATTTCGTCGTTTATCTGACGGCTGCTCTGCTTCTCTGTCCGTGATTTTTATTCACACGGAATATATAAACTGGAATGCGCGGGCGGTATTTTAGATATGTCATAACGTTGAATATCTGAGCTCCTGCTTTTTCTTTTTTTTTGCGTATCACAGATATCAAAACTTCGCGAGCACAATATCCGAAAAATATTTATCCGAAAAAAACAAACGGATTTGCTTGAATGAAAAGAAAAAATAAATAAATTCACGAATAGCTGGAATTTGTGTTACGTTGCAAAACTTTGTCCGAGCTCTGTTCGATGTAGTTTGTTAAAATTAATCGCGTTTCTGAAGTTCAGATGTTTATGAAATATTACTCCCCAGAACTATCTCTCTCACTGAATGACAAACTTTTACAATCGCTAGTAGTTTCGCGCGCGTATGTGTGCGTGCCAGTTTGCATACGTTGTCACATGTCAGAGTCGTCGCCACACAGAGACAGGCACGGCATATAAACCCATTCTTTCATTTATACTCAAGAGAGGCGTATAAATGCCACTCCACCTCTTCACGTAACTGCACAGAATGCACATCCCTCCACTGAACTGCAAACAGCCCTTTGAATGCCATTATCCTGCCTACGTTGTTACTACTTAACGTCGCCGTTCGCAAGTGTGGCTGCGTTAGATAAGAGAGAGAGAGAGCTGGCCGTTGTTCCCGATCGGCTTTGCCGACATCGGCCGCCGCCTGTGTTCGAGTCTGTGTGTGTCAATTTAAACTTTGACCTACCAACATCATTCCGAGCGCGAATGCGCCATAGACCACCTACGCATTTCTCTTTAACCTTCACGCAGTTGTTGTTGTTCGAAGAGAATTTAATGTACTTTTCTTGTGTGTTATCCGAGGAAGCGCAGGAAAATCATTTCTATACAAACACTTGTCATTTTCTTATCTTGCACTTGTAATGTGTATTGAAAGATTATCATTATTATTATTATATATATAAAATGTTGTATTTTAAAATTCTCGTAATTGTGAATATTTGAAAAAACATTCAAAAATACTTTTGAAAGGAAAGTCTTTTCTACGCGCTTGTCCATGTACACAAATATCTTTTCATCGATGAATAAGTCAAAACTTTCACTTCCTTTTGAAAATAATAATTGCAGAGATAATATTGGTTTTACACATGACTCATGTAAATTAATAACATTTCGCAATACTTTTGCAATACTTTTTTACATTAAATAAGTGATGTCATTCGTCTTCTGTTTATGAGACTTAAGTTACTTTAAAAAAATTAATAAATGAGTCAGAGATAATTATAAATAAATCATGTTCGAACTTATTGCTTTATTGTATGTATTGCTATACGTTAAAACTTTATTGTATGTATTAAACTTTATTGTATGTATTGTTATACATTTTCGAAGAGTTATTTGTATCAGAAATAAAGCAACACGTTTCCGTAGTTAATTCGTATCGGCATCAAGTAGAAAGAAAATACTTTGACGACAGGAAGGAGGACGAATCGATATCCGCGCGCGTGGCTTTTCCGTAAGTCTGTATAATGATTATACACGTTTGGGATACAGCTCTCCGGAAAATTGTGTCCTCCGAGTCTAATAAAGAACGCTCATGCGCGCCGCAGAAAGAGAGAGACGCCAAGATATATATTTTCTTCTATTTTTCCTGTACACATACACAAATTTTTCCCTTCCTACGTTTCCTCTCTTTTAAAAGTAAGTATACTATATAGAAACAAAAAAGCACATTGTCGTGGAGCTTTGTCATAAATTATCTATGTGGAACGTCACCTAGGTCGACGCATGCATATAAGAACCTTGAAGTGATAGATAATATTGATAGTAAAGATAATTTATATATTAAGAAATATAATGCCTTTATTTATAAAAAAAAATCTGCGTTTCTAGACCGCGAGTTGAAGAAATGACTTTTTACAGTAGTTTTCTTTGCGTCAATTAGACGTAATCAGATAAATAATAATTAAACAAATGCATGTACACAATTGCGCATAAATACAAAATATATTATCATTGTTTTACAAAATATACATATTTTCGCGGGGACGTCTGTTTATGTGTCTATTTCAGTCGCTATTTACTGCTATTGGTTGAAGTTGAAGCGGCGCGTAGAAGGGGAAAAACCTGCAGCATCGATTTATCGCTCGCAGTGTATATTGTATCCGTACGAGTTGTGAACTGCGGAGGTTTAGAAGCACAGTATTCATCACTGGACCGTTTTACCGACAGTGAAGTAAAAAAGAAAAGTACACAATAATTTTTTATATTACGCTTGTAATTCTATAACGAAGATAGGTGACAAAGCATATTAGTAAGAAAAA